TGAGTGTGTGTATGTGTGTGAGAGAAGAGATAACCTACAGCCTGAGAAACAGGCGTCACATTAGTGAGGGTTGGACGGTGTCTGGAGGGAGGGAGAGAGAGAGACAGAGAGAGAGAGGAGAGAGAGAAGGAGAGATAGATGTGTTACGCTGTGTTCATGTGTGCATACAGTCTATAGTTAGTAGTGTGTGCATGTAGCTACTTGTATTGAATGTGAGAGAGCATGTGTCAGTATATTGCGTGTGTGATGGCTGACAGGGTGCTAGGAGCCCATAGGGTATAATGAGAGCTGTTATTGAATGTGCGTCACCTATCTCTGAGACACAGAGCCACTATCTGCAGACAGCAGACCACACACACACACACACACACACACACACACACACACTCAAGCACACACTATCCAACAAGACACAATAAGTAATCTGGGTGTTTCTAAGAATAACAGCTGCTTGTTTATCTCTCTCTGGCCCTTTTAATGGCCCCCCCTCCTCCCCCATTATGAAGATGGCTTGTTCTAATACATTGCCAAAACCACCTCAACACCCTCTGGACTCTACCAAACTGACCTTGAGGGGTGTGAATGGTCAAATCCAATGACCTTGCAGGACAGACAAGGTTAAACTGATGATTCACCCCTCACAACTGTTGCGTGTGTGTTTCCACAATTTGTTGGAGCATTGAATCTGACAGAGTTTTACCGGGTCCTGCATTTGGGTGTAGTGAGTGTGTGTGAAAGCAATGTAAAGAACCACCTGCCCCATAAATAAATGGCCCCAGTCAGAGATTTATAGGGGAATTACCAGGGCTTAGCCACACATCCTTCCCCCTGGAACACCCCTTTAATCCAATCAGCACTGAGCTGACCCCTGACCTCTAACCTCTGTTCTATCACCCATCTCTAGCTTCAATCATCTGGTTGTCAATTACAAATTACTACACCACTGATAGTCTGCATAGCCTCTCTGCATATGCCACGTTCAAAACAACTGGGAATTCGGAAATCTCCAACTTCTGACTTCAGTGCGTTCAAGACAACTGGGAACTCTGAAAAAAAACTAGCTCCGACTGGTAAAATCTTTTGAAAGGTCATCCAACTCAGAATTCCAAGTCAGAAACTCAGACATTTTTCTAGAACTCAGACTTTCCGACCTGAAGATCACTGACGTCATGATATGACCACGTTTTTTTCAGAGTTCCCAGTTGTCTTGAAAGCACTAATAGATCTGACATAACTGGAGTAAGCAACCAATAATACCAATTCAATACTCTGTTCTACTCTTGTGCCCATTGGCTAGGGGTCAGTTTGTAATAAAGCATGACATGGGAGCTCTGGGCTAATGGTGCTTTCAAGACAACTGGGAACTCTGAAAAAAACTAGGTCAAATCATGATCTTCAGGTTGGAAAATTGGATCTCAAGAAAGATGCCAGAGTTTCCGACTTGGAATTCCGAGTTGGATGACCGTTCAAAGCGATTTTTCCCAGTAGGACCTCGTTTTTTTCTGCAACAGTTCTGTTTGTGAAAGAAAAGTTCAGGTGAACATTGTGAACGATGTAACCAATGGGGCTCCAGTAATTCTCTTCTAACAACAATTTAAGTATTCTGTGCTGCAGCTTAACAGCCTTGTGAAAGAAAGAAACGTTCAGGTGAACAAATGAAAAGGCTCAAAGACACTTAGCATTAGCTAAATACATAAACAGAATTTGAGTTTGGTATTTTACATTCTTTCAGTAGAGAAACAAAATCTAATAAAATGGAAGTACTCTCTTATTTGGCATGGTGTGGAGGTGCTGGGGTGGGATATAATTAAGGTCATAGAAACCCACCTCCTTTGTCCCAGTCCAGCTGAACCCTGATCTTGTCCGACTTCTCTTCCATTCTCATTAGGGGCCCCGTGTAGCTCAGTTGGTAGAGCATGGCGCTTGCAATGCCAGGGTTGTGGGTTCATTTCCCACGGAGGGCCAGTATGAAAATGTATGCACTCACTAACTGTAAGTTGCTCTGGATATGAGCGTCTGCTAAAATGTAAAATAATTAGTTCTTGGTCCACCACTCCTACAGACAAAAGGTAGGTAGAATCTCAGCTCTCATCTTGGTGGTCTTGTAGCTTTGCAGGAATGCAGTGTCATCACCCGACAGCTTCTTTTCCACCTCAAGGATTCTGTTGGACAGAGATGACATCACTTTACTCATTTCCTCCAATTTTTCCTTCATCCTTTTACTCTTCTCCTCCTCTTCCTCCCTCAGCTTGTTTGCTGGGCCTGCACCCCGCCATTTTATTCTGTAGGGCCTTCAGTGGTGTTCTGAGCTCCTCCCTTCTCTGGGTAGCAGCCTTGTCCACGGAGCAGAAACTGTGGCCTACAGTACATGCTCAGGCATACACTCCGCACACAATACACACTCACACTCCAGGCAGAACAAGCCTAGGTTATGGATGTGGAGGCCACACACAGTGTGTAGGCCCTTGTAGTGTGTTTGGGGTGTTGGAGCCTGTGAGGGTTCTCCATTTGAGTTGTCCTCTGTAGTTTCCTCTTTTACCTTCTTTTTGGGCGGCTGGCCGTCCCTGCGCTGCTTCTCCCTTCATGGGGTCTCACATGCGTTCCGCAGGGCTAGGCTGGCAGGGGGCTGGTCCCCGGGAAACGTCTGTCTACAGACGGGGCAGTCCTGGGTCCCTCCCTGTTTCCAGGTGGCCTCCAGGCAGGTCCTGCAGAAGCTATGGCTGCAGTAGAGGTTGACGGGGTCTGTGAAGATCTCACAGCTGATGGGACATGACAGGTCATCCCCAAGGGGTGAGAGACAGGCTGCCATCCTCTCTGGATAACTGGAGAGAGAATGAGAGAGTTTTTCAGATCATTGAGAAAGAGCCAGTGTCAATGAATCAGGGCTCCATAGTGTGACCATTTTACTCACATATGCGCCGAAATATTTTGCACTGCGACCTGGAATTTTTATTTAGGAGCAGCAGTGCACCTAGAATAATGAAGTATTCTAGCTTTATTACCTCAAATATTTCAGTTTCCAGGAATTGTGTACAGATCCTTGCGACATGGGGCCATGTATTATCATGCTGAAACATTAGGTAATGGCGGCGAATTAATGGCACAACAAAGGGCCTCAGGATCTCGTCAAAGTATCCCTGTGCATTCAAATTACCATCGATAAAATGCAATTGTGTTTGTTGTCCATAGCTTACGCCTGCCCATTCCATAACCCCACCGCCACCATGGGGCACTCTGTTCACAATGTTGACATCAGCAAACTTGCTCGGTACAGTTGAAACCGGGATTCATCCGTGAAGAGCACACTTCTCCAGCATGCCAGTGGCCATCGAAGGTGCCCACTGAAGTCGGTTACTACGCCGAACTACAGTCAGTTCAAGACCCTGGTGAGGACGACAAGCACACAGATGGGCTTCCCTGAGACTGTTTCTAACAGTTTGTGCAGAAATTCTTCAGTTGTGCAAACCCACAGTTTCATCAGCTGTCCGGGTGGCTGGTCTCAGACAATCCTGCAGGTAAAGAAGCTGGATGTGGAGGTCCTGGGCTGGTGTAGTTACATGTCTGCGTTTGTGAGGCCGGTTGGACGTACTGGCAAATTCTGTAAAATGACATTGGAGGTGGTTATGGTAGAGAAATGAACAGCTCTGGTGGACATTCCTGCAGTCAGCATGCCGATTGCACGCTCTCTCAAAACTTGAGACATCTGTGGCATTGTGTTGTGTGACAAAACTACACATTTTAGAGTGGCCTTTTATTGTCCCCAGCACAAGGTGCACCTGTGTAATGATCATGCTGTTCAATTAGCTTCTTGATTTGCCACACCTGTCAGGTGGATGGATTATTTTGGCAAAGGATAAATTATTACAAACATGGATGTAAACAAATTTGTGCTCATAATTTGAGAGAAATATGGTTTTTGTGTGTATGGAAAATGACTGGTATCTTTTATTTCAGCTCATGAAACATAGGACCAACACTTTACATGTTGCGTTTATATTTTTGTTCAGTGTAGTTGGTTTTGGTATTTTAACCTGCATGTCATGAACGCGTCTGCTGGGGATAGACAAAATTAACATGCGCACGTGGACGCATGCGCGGAGCCGGTTTGGTCGTCATGTTGAGGCAGGGGCGGAGACGGAACAGTTATAGAAAGCCGTGCAGAGGCTAAAATTCGGGAACTGGCTCATATCATAAATTGTATGAAAGAGATAACGAGGAAGAAAATAAAAGGTTGACAATGGCACCTGAGCATTGATAGATAGCCTAAGTGGCGTCGGCTCTATGATCCTGTGGCGTGCGATCTGCCTCTCTCACGCAGTCTCGCACACACATAGCGGAGTAGAAGAGTGGAGAGCGCGCGCCGGGGAGGGAAATTCATTCCCGTACACTACTCCAGGCTCCAGCCCAGTGGTTAGGCTTTTGAGCCCTCTTATTCCAGCTACCCATATTCGGAAAGACATTCCATGGATTTTTTTAACAGTTCATTTTTTTTACTCATTCAGTGACGGGCTCTCTCTTCTTTCTCTCTCTCTGTTTTTCTTTGTATAGGCTACCTCGCGCTGTTGTCTGGAGTTATTTTGTGCATTTACTTCCTTCTGTTGTTTTGCAGCCAGGGAGAGGTGAATATTGACCTCGAGACGTAGCCTATGGCATTATTACAGGGTTGTGGTAGTACCTACATGCTACATCCATCCACTCAGAGACCACCCTGCGATGGTCCAGTGTCCCATGTACAAGGTGAACTATAGGCTGTTTCAGCCGAAGCATACGTTTTCTCTCTATCACCCATAGACTGACCTGGATTAACGTTTGAATTAACGACAGCTTTAACGGAGACCCCTAGGTGGCTGTCACTCCCCCGGTGTGAGCCCAGTCCTCTGCTGGACAGAGAGGGTTTAGGGGGCAGCACTGAGGCTCAGTGGGTGGTATGATGACTGACTTCCAGTTCCCCTCCACAAGCTGAGTGACACTTAGATGCTGGACTTTTCTGGTTTACAAATATGATGAAATGGCAGCCCCGGAAGAAGGTAAGGGACTTAGGGTTTCTTTCTGGATGCCCATATTGGCTACAAGTTGACTTGCAATGCACAATTAAACATTGGATCATGGCATGGGGGTTGTGTCATATTGTCTTTGTGTTCTGCCAGAAGTTGAGCGTCCAGTCCAGTGCAGTCCATACATGGCGATTCACAGTGCTTGACTTGGACTGAAATAGGTTCAGTTTGCATTTAGTTGCAGGAGCTTCACAATACTTTTGAGCTAATATTCTATAAGAGGAACAGGTGCTCAAGCAGTAGAACATTTGAAGTGCTGGTACTCAGCTCCGGTGAGCTCCTTCCCAAGTCAAGCACCGGCGATTCACATAAAGGCTACTAGCCTTGGATCACACACACATACACACACGCGCTCTCTCTCTCTCTCTCTCTCTCTCTCTCTCTCTCTCTCTCTCTCTCTCTCTCTCTCTCTCTCTCTCTCTCAATTCAATTCAATTCAATTCAATTCAATTCAATTCAAGGGGTTTTATTGGCATGGGAAACATATTCAAAAATTGAAATAACAATAAAAAGTGAACAGTAAATATTACACACTCTCTCTCTCTCTCACACAAACACACACCAAGTGGTAATAGGAGGCACACACACGAGAGAGAGACCAGTGTATAATCCTCAGTAAACAATGATTTACCCTGGTATATATCAAAAGGAGGAGAGGAAAATAGGAGAGGAGAAGAGTTCATCATTTAAATGGTCTCTAATGTACTTAATGCCTATCTCTCTCTCTGGAGGTATAGTACTGTGTAAACCACCAGGTGTGTGATGTGATGATGGATAAATAACTCCTGAATTGTCCTCATTAGAAAATGAGTAATGACTGTTTAAGCCCTATCTGTGTGTCCTGTGTGTGTGTGTGTGTGTGTGTGTGTACATACCTGTACCTTGCATGGGTTTATTAGTAGAGTTAATATGACTAAAACACCCACACACCAGGACCTAGGACTAGAGTAGTGTTGACAAAGTGTTGATTGATGATTAGTTGAATCAGTTGTGTTAGTGCTGGGCTGGAACAAAATCCTGCACAGCTTGTATCTCTCCAGAACTTGGGTTGTTATAAATACAATTTATGTTTACCCTAGCTTCAGAAGCAGACGGTGTGTGTGTGTGTGTCTGTGTTTGTGTATATTCAGTGGTGCATTAGATATTCATCTTGTGTGTTGACTGTTGACAGTCTCGGTGAGACTCTCTCTATGATAGTGTGTGTGTGTGTGTCTCATCCAAGTGTGTGTGTGTGTGTCTATGTGTGAGATAGAATGTAGAAAGACTCCTCATAAATAGTTTCAGTAGTGTTTGTTTGACAGCTTTCGTTGTTGTGGATGGAGTGAAAATCGAAATATTATATATTTCTTCCCCCATTCTCTTTCTCTCCCTCTTTCTTTCTCCCTACCTCCCTTTTCTTGTTTCCCACTCAGTGGGGTTTTGACTAACAATGTGCCCTGATATAATTTTACTTACAATACAGCTAAGCCTCTTAAAACCATACTCCACCCCTCCCTCACCCCCTCTCCCCCTCAGCACGAGTGCAGTGTAAGTCCCTGTGTGTAATGGTGTCAAAACAATAACCACTGTATTGGGGCACTAACCTATGACAGAGTAATACTTTAGCTACAACAATTTTACAATGGTCCAGAGTTCATGCCAATGTTGCAGATGGAGGATATAACTCTGTGTGGACAGTATAGTAGTCAATGTATTAACCCCAAGTGTGTGTGTGTGTCCCTCTATCTCTCTCTTTCTACGCTGTTTCATTTCATGCCAATCAGCCATGTAGATCCTCAAAGCAGATACTGTCAGTCAGTCACTGAGAGCTCTCTGTAACGTAGTCTATCCATGAGGTACAGTCACTGAGAGCTCTCTGTAACGTAGTCTATCCATGAGGTACAGTCACTGAGAGCTCTCTGTAACGTAGTCTATCCATGAGGTACAGTCACTGAGCTCTCTGTAACGTAGTCTATCCATGAGGTACAGTCACTGAGAGCTCTCTGTAACGTAGTCTATCCATGAGGTACAGTCACTGAGAGCTCTCTGTAACATAGTCTATCCATGAGGTACAGTCACTGAGCTCTCTGTAACGTAGTCTATCCATGAGGTACAGTCACTGAGAGCTCTCTGTAACGTAGTCTATCCATGAGGTACAGTCACTGAGAGCTCTCTGTAACGTAGTCTATCCATGAGGTACAGTCACTGAGAGCTCTCTGTAACGTAGTCTATCCATGAGGTACAGTCACTGAGAGCTCTCTGTAACGTAGTCTATCCATGAGGTACAGTCACTGAGAGCTCTCTGTAACGTAGTCTATCCATGAGGTACAGTCACTGAGAGCTCTCTGTAACGTAGTCTATCCATGAGGTACAGTCACTGAGAGCTCTCTGTAACGTAGTCTATCCATGAGGTACAGTCACTGAGAGCTCTCTGTAACGTAGTCTATCAATGAGGTACAGTCACTGAGAGCTCTCTGTAACGTAGTCTATCCATGAGGTACAGTCACTGAGAGCTCTCTGTAACGTAGTCTATCCATGAGGTACAGTCACTGAGAGCTCTCTGTAACGTAGTCTATCCATGAGGTACAGTCACTGAGAGCTCTCTGTAACATAGTCTATCCATGAGGTACAGTCACTGAGAGCTCTCTGTAACGTAGTCTATCCATGAGGTACAGTCACTGAGAGCTCTCTGTAACGTAGTCTATCCATGAGGTACAGTCACTGAGAGCTCTCTGTAACATAGTCTATCCATGAGGTACAGTCACTGAGAGCTCTCTGTAACGTAGTCTATCCATGAGGTACAGTCACTGAGAGCTCTCTGTAACGTAGTCTATCAATGAGGTACAGTCACTGAGAGCTCTCTGTAACGTAGTCTATCCATGAGGTACAGTCACTGAGAGCTCTCTGTAACGTAGTCTATCCATGAGGTACAGTCACTGAGAGCTCTCTGTAACGTAGTCTATCCATGAGGTACAGTCACTGAGAGCTCTCTGTAACATAGTCTATCCATGAGGTACAGTCACTGAGAGCTCTCTGTAACGTAGTCTATCCATGAGGTACAGTCACTGAGAGCTCTCTGTAACGTAGTCTATCCATGAGGTACAGTCACTGAGAGCTCTCTGTAACGTAGTCTATCCATGAGGTACAGTCACTGAGAGCTCTCTGTAACGTAGTCTATCCATGAGGTACAGTCACTGAGAGCTCTCTGTAACGTAGTCTATCCATGAGGTACAGTCACTGAGAGCTCTCTGTAACGTAGTCTATCCATGAGGTACAGTCACTGAGAGCTCTCTGTAACGTAGTCTATCCATGAGGTACAGTCACTGAGAGCTCTCTGTAACGTAGTCTATCCATGAGGTACAGTCACTGAGAGCTCTCTGTAACGTAGTCTATCCATGAGGTACAGTCACTGAGAGCTCTCTGTAACGTAGTCTATCCATGAGGTACAGTCACTGAGAGCTCTCTGTAACGTAGTCTATCCATGAGGTACAGTCACTGAGCTCTCTGTAACGTAGTCTATCCATGAGGTGATATTCTCATCTTTATTTTTCTCTCCTGCCGTCTCTATTCTCCTTTCTGCCTTTCTCTTTTCTCTGAAGACAGGCAGAAATAAAAAATAGTTTTTCTTTCATGTCAACTGAGCGTCGATACAGAGTTCGTAATGTACAGTTTCTCGCCCCAGCCATGAAAGTATGTGGTGCGTGTGTGGGTGCGACGATGGAGAGAGCTTGTTCCTGTTTAGATGTTTTATTTAAATGAGCTCTGATCTCCGAGGCTGACAGTGATCTCTGGTGCTCGTTAGTGTCTTGGCTCGCCACCCTGATGAACCCCTTATCTGATTGTGTGTGTGTGTGTGTTTGTACTCTTGCTCCATTAGTCAAGTCTGTAGGTGATTAAAGGCACCTGTGTGAACTGGAGGCTCCAGACATCTCCTCTCTTCCTCTCCTCTCCTCCTCTCATCCTCTCTTCCGGACTATTAAGGACTGCTCTCTAAGAAGAACATTCTCAATCTCTTGAGAGTGCCGATGCAGTGATGAGGATAACGGAGAGAGGTGGGAGGGAGGATGGAGGGAGGGGTTATTGCAGGAGGATGGAGGGAGGGGGGATGGCGGGAGGTGGGAGGGAGGGAGGATGGAGGGAGGGGGGAGGGAGGATGGAGGGAGGGGGGAGGGAGGATGGAGGGAGGGGGGTGAGGTTATTTTTTGCGTGTCCATTGTACCTGTGCCAAACCTTAGAGGTGCTTCTGGGACAATACTCCACTCTACCCAGTGTGTTTGTGTATGTGTGTGTGTGTGAGAGAGAGATAGAGATTTGGCATTGGGTTGCAGAATAGACACACATACAAACAAAATGTGGGACCATTAGCTCCCAGCACGTGGTCAGACTCCACTAGGCGTGATGTGACAAAGTCATTTGTAATGTTAAATAATTCAGAGAAATATGCTAGTGCCACACACTAGGAGTTTGAAGGAGTGTCTTGTTTATGTGTGTTTGTTTGCAACAGCCAGTGGCGTTCGTTACATGGTCTTAGAGGCAGGCAGTGGGAGAGCAAATGTCACAATGACTGAAAAGGCCAAGAGCAATATGGGATCTCTCAGGGGAGAAAGAGATTACATTTACATTTTAGTCGACACTCTTATCCAGAGCGACTGTCACGGTACACTAGTGGATGTGGTGGTAAAGTCAGGCGCAGGACACAGCGGATAAGTCAAACGACTTTACTGAGACAAAAAAATTATAATACAAAAATAAATGGCTTCGAAACACACATGAGGCAAAGAATACGCGCAACGCGTAAAATACACAAATGCAAACAGGTACCGACTAAAGACAAACGACAGGCGGACAACAACACACAACTCCAAAACATAACACAGGGAAACTTATAGGTGACATAATCAGGACAGAATACGAAACAGGTGCACTAAACTAGACATGACCAAACAAACATCGAAACATCAAACGGTGGCAGCTAGTACTCCGGGGAAGACGAACGCCGAAACCTGCCCGAACAAGGAGGAGGGGCAGCCTCGGCGGTATTCGTGACAGTACCCCCCCCCTTGCCGTGCGCCGGCCTCGGGGACGGCCAGGAGGACGCGGAGCAGGGCGCGTGGGATGGTTTCGGTGGAACTCCGTCAGGAGGAAGGGATCTAAGATATCCCTCCTAGGCACCCAGCACCGTTCCTCCGGACCGTACCCCTCCCACTCCACGAGATATTGTAGACCCCCCATCTGACGTCTCGAATCCACGATGGACCGGACTGAGTACGCCGGAGCCCCCTCGATGTCCAGTGGGGGCGGGGGAGTCTCTCTTATCTCACAGTCCTGGAGTGGACCAGCTACCACCGGCCTGAGGAGAGACACATGGAACGAGGGGTTAATGTGATAATCATTAGGCAATTGTAACTTGTAGCATACCTCGTTCAATCTCCTCAGGACTTTAAATGGCCCCACAAACCGCCGACCCAGCTTCCGGCAGGGCAGGCGAAGGGGCAGGTTTCGAGTCGAGAGCCAGACTCGATCTCCAGGTGCGTATACTGGACCCTCACTGCGGTGGAGATCGGCGCTCGCCTTTTGTCTACGGATAGCCCGCTGCAGATGGACGTGTGCAGCGTTCCACGTCTCCTCCGAGCGCCGAAACCACTCATCCACCGCAGGAGCCTCGATCTGGCTCTGATGCCATGGTGCCAGAACCGGCTGATACCCTAACACACACTGGAAAGGGGTCAGGTTAGTAGAGGAGTGGCGAAGAGAGTTCTGGGAAATCTCTGCCCAAGGGATATAACCCGACCACTCCTCCTGCCGGTCCTGGCAATACGATCTCAGAAACCTGCCCACATCCTGGTTCACTCTCTCCACCTGCCCATTACTCTCAGGGTGAAAACCCGAGGTAAGGCTAACCGAGACCCCCAAACGTTCCATGAACGCCCTCCAGACTTTAGAGGTGAATTGGGGACCTCGATCGGACACTATATCCTCGGGAACCCCGTAGTGCCGGAAGACGTGGGTAAACAAAGCCTCTGCGGTCTGTAGGGCAGTAGGGAGACCCGGCATTGGGATGAGACGACAGGCCTTAGAGAACCGATCCACAACGACCAGAATGGTGGTATTCCCCTGGGAGGGAGGTAGGTCAGTGACAAAGTCTACCGAGAGGTGAGACCACGGCCGTTGTGGAACGGGCAGGGGCTGTAACTTCCCCCTGGGCAGGTGTCTAGGCACCTTACACTGGGCGCACACTGAGCAGGAGGAGACATAAACCCTCACGTCCCTAGCCAATGTTGTCCACCAGTACTTAACACTAAGGCAGTGCACTTTCCGGCCAATACCTGGATGTCCAGAGGAGGGTGACGTGTGAGCCCAATATATGAGACGATCACGGATCTCGAGCGGCACGTACGTCCGCCCCACTGGACACTCCGGAGGAGTAGGGTCGGTGCGTAACGCCCGCTCGATTTCTGCATCGATCTCCCACACCCCCGGTGCCACCAGACAAGACTCTGGCAGAATGGGAGTGGGCTCAATGGACCTCTCCTCTGTGTCATACCGCCGGGACAGTGCGTCTGCCTTACCGTTCTGGGACCCTGGGATGTACGTAAGCTTAAAGACAAACCGGGTCAGAAACATGTTCCACCTAGCCTGACGAGGGTTCAGTCTCCTAGCTGCCCGGATGTACTCCAGGTTACGATGGTCAGTCAGAATGAGAAAAGGGTGTTGAGCCCCCTCAAGCCAATGCCTCCACACGTTTAGGGCCTGAACTACGGCTAGCAGCTCCCTGTCCCCTACGTCATAATTTCGTTCGGCCGGGCTGAGCTTTTTTGAATAAAAAGCGCAGGGCCGGAGTTTAGGAGGCGTGCCTGAGCGTTGAGACAATACTGCCCCAATACCGGCCTCTGACGCGTCCACCTCCACTTGGAACGCTAAAGCGGGGTCCGGATGCGCCAGCACCGGAGCCGAGGTGAACAGGTTCTTAAGTTTATCAAACGCCCTGTCCGCCTCAACCGACCACTGCAAACGCACCGGGCCCCTCTTCAGCAGGGAAGTGATGGGAGCTGCCACCTGTCCAAAACCCCGGATAAACCTCCGGTAGTAATTGGCAAAACCCAAAAACCGTTGCACCTCTTTAACAGTGGTTGGAGTCTGCCAATTACGCACGGCTGACACACGGTCAATCTCCATCTCCACACCTGACGCGGACAACCGATGACCCAAGAAGGAGATGGACTCCTGGAAAAACAGACATTTCTCTGCCTTGACATACAAGTCATGCTCCAACAGCCTACCCAACACTCGGCGTACCAGGGCTACATGCTCGGCTCGTGTAGGCGAGTACACTAGAATGTCGTCAATGTACACGACCACACCCTGCCCATGCAAGTCCCGGAAGATCTCGTCCACAAAGGATTGGAAGACTGAAGGAGCATTGACGACAAGCCTACCAGACGAGCTAAACCACTTCTATGCTCGCTTCGAGGCAAGCAACACTGAAGCATGCATGAGAGCACCAGCTGTTCCGGACGACTATGTGATCACGCTCTCCGTAGCCGATGTGAGTAAGACTTTTAAGCAGGTCAACATTCACAAGGCCGCAGGGCCAGACGGATTACCAGGACGTGTACTCCGAGCATGTGCTGACCAACTGGCAAGTGTCTTCACTGACATTTTCAACATGTCCCTGACTGAGTCTGTAATACCAACATGTTTCAAGCAGACCACCATAGTCCCCGTGCCCAAGAACTCTAAGATAACCTGCCTAAATGACTACCGACCCGTGGCACTGACGTCTGTAGCCATGAAGTGCTTTGAAAGACTGGTCATGGCTCACATCAACAGCATAATCCCAGAAACCCTAGACCCACTCCAATTTGCATACCGCCCCAACAGATCCACAGATGATGCAATCTCTATCGCACTCCACACTGCCCTTTCCCACCTGGACAAGAGGAACACCTACGTGAGAATGCTATTCATTGACTACAGCTCAGCATTCAACACCATAGTGCCCTCAAAGCTCATCACTAAGCTAAGGATCCTGGGACTAAACACCTCCCTCTGCAACTGGATCCTGGACTTCCTGACGGGCCGCCCCCAGGTGGTAAGGGTAGGTAACAACACATCTGCCACACTGATCCTCAACACGGGGGCCCCTCAGGGGTGCGTGCTCAGTCCCCTCCTGTACTCTCTGTTCACCCATGACTGCATGGCCAGGCACGACTCCAACACCATCATTAAGTTTGCCGACGACACAACAGTGGTAGGCCTGATCACCGACAACGATGAGACAGCCTATAGGGAGGAGGTCAGAGATCTGGCCGTGTGGTGCCAGGACAACAACCTTTCCCTCAACGTGACCAAGACAAAGGAGATGATTGTGGACTACAGGAAAAAAAAGAGGACTGAGCACGCCCCCATTCTCATCGACGGGGCTGTAGTGGAACAGGTTGAGAGCTTCAAGTTCCTTGGTGTCCACATCACCAACGAACTATCATGGTCCAAACACACCAAGACAGTCGTGAAGAGGGCACGACAAAGCCTATTCCCCCTCAGGAGACTAAAAAGATTTGGCATGGGTCCTCAGATCCTCAAAAAATTCTACAGCTGCACCATCGAGAGCATCCTGACTGGTTGCATCACCGCCTGGTATGGCAACTGCTTGGCCTCTGACCGCAAGGCACTACAGAGGGTAGTGCGTACGGCCCAGTACATCACAGGGGCAAAGCTCCCTGCCATCCAGGACCTCTATACCAGGCGGTGTCAGAGGAAGGCCCTCAAAATTGTCAAAGACTCCAGTCACCCTAGTCATAGACTGTTCTCTCTGCTACCGCACGGCAAGCGGTACCGGAGTGCCAAGTCTAGGTCCAAAAGACTTCTCAACAGCTTCTACCCCCAAGCCATAAGACTCCTGAACAGCTAATCATGGCTACCCGGACTATTTGCACTGCCCCCCCACCCCATACTTTTTACGCTGCTGCTACTCTGTTAAGTATTTATGCATAGTCACTTTAACTCTACCCACATGTACATATTACCTCAACTACCTCAACTAGCCGGTGCCCCCGCACATTGACTATGCAACGGTACCCCCCTGTATATATAGCCTCCCTACTGTCACTTTATTCTATTGTATATATAGCCTCCCTACTGTCACTTTATTTTTACTTCTGCTCTTTTTTTCTCAACACTTTTTTGTTGTTGTTTTATTCTTACTTTTTTGTTTAAAATAAATGCACTGTTGGTTAAGGGCTGTAAGTAAGCATTTCACTGTAATGTCTGCACCTGTTGTATTCGGCGCATGTGACCAATAAAATTTGATTTGATTTGATTTGATTAACCCATATGGCATGACGAGATACTCATAATGACCCGAGGTGGTACTAAATGCTGTCTTCCATTCATCTCCCTCCCTAATGCGCACCAAGTTGTAAGCGCTCCTGAGATCCAGTTTTGTGAAGAAACGCGCTCCGCGTAATGATTCCGTCATACTCGCAATCAGAGGAAGAGGATAACTGTATTTAACTGTGATCTGATTGAGATTACGGTAATCAATACACGGGCGCAATTCTCCATCCTTTTTCTTCACAAAAAATAAACTCGAGGACACAGGGGAAGTGGAGGGCCGTATGTATCCCTGTCTCAGAGACTCGGCTATGTATGTCTCCATAGCCGCCGTCTCCTCTTGAGACAAGGGATACACATGGCTCCGCGGAAGTGCCGCACCCGCCAGGAGATCTATCGCACAATCTCCCCGTCTATGAGGTGGCAAACGCGTCGCCCTAGTTTTGCTGAACACGAGTGCCAAATCCTCATACTCGGGGGGAATGTGCATTGTGGGCACTTGGTTCGGACTCTCCACTGTGGTCGCCCCTACGGAAACACCTAAACATCGCCCGACACACTGGTTAGACCACTCCTTGAGAGCCCTCTGTTGCCACGAAATGGTGTATGGTGTATGGTAGCCAGGTAGAGCTCCACTTGAAGGAGGAACCCCTGACACCCGGCTGCGGTGCCATCATATGCCCTCGGGAGCGAGAGCCGTATGCCACTGGACTCCGGAGCTGGTATGGTGGGGCTGGCCGATGGTGGTGGTAAGGTAGGAGGAGGTGTGGGCAAACCTCCTCTCTCCCATCGGCGCAGGGTGTCCATGACCTCCTGCATGGCAGATCCGAGTTGCTGGATCCTGGCGTCCTGGTAGCTGACCCGATCCTCCAGCGACTCGGTTCCCCCCGCTGCTCCTGCTGACTCCATAGTAATGGGTGTGTTGTTCTGTCACGGTACACTAGTGGATGTGGTGGTAAAGTCAGGCGCAGGACACAGCGGATAAGTCAAACGACTTTACTGAGACTCAAAAATGATAATACAAAAATAAATGGCCTCGAAACACACAGGAGGCAAAGAATACGCGCAACGCGTAAAATACACAAATGCAAACAGGTACCGACCAAAGACAAAGGACAGGCGGACAACAACACACAACTCCAAAACATAACACAGGGAAACTTATAGGTCACATAATACGAAACAGGTGCACTAAACTAGACATGACCAAACAAACATTGAAACATCAAACGGTGGCAGCTAGTACTCTGGGGACGACGAACGCCGAAACCTGCCCGAACAAGGAGGAGGGGCAGCCTCGGCGGTATTCGTGACAGCGACTTACAGTTAGTGAGTGCATACATTATTTTTTTTATTTTTTTCATACTGGCCCCCTGTGGGAATCAAACCCACAACCCTGGCGTTGCAAACGCCATGCTCTATCAACTGAGCTACATCCCTGCCGGCCATTCCCTCCCCTACCCTGGGCCAATTGTGCACCGCCCCATGGGTCTCCCGGTCGCAGCCGGCTACGACAGAGCCTGGATTCAAACCAGGATCTCTAGTGGCACAGCTAGCGCCTTAGACCACTGCGCCACTCGGGAAGGGAGAGAGAGAGAGGGAAGAGAGAGAGATGGGTTGAGAGAAAGAAAGAGAGAGAGAGAGAGGGGGAAGAGAGTAGGGGATGAGTCTGTGTGTGGGCTTCTCTCATAATCTCATTGCAGTGTCTTGTGGTGGTAAATTGAACAGTAATTGGCAGACAATGAGCGTGACATGATCAAGTGTTGGCTGGCTCACACACACACACACACACACACACAACAGCTAAATAACCTGGAGCTGTGCTGACATGCACAATATGAGAACATAGTGAAGGAGACAGCTGGATGGAAGAGGAATGGAGAGCTGAGAGAGGAGAGGAATGGATGGATAATTGAAAGGCAGACGAGACGTCGGCTGATCTAACAGGCCTTTTGTTCCATGTCTCACTCACTGTCATGGTAGGATGTAAACAGTAGCTGTGTCGACCTCTATTGACTAGTTGGGATATATTGAAAGTTAGTTGTACATGACTGAAAGGGTGCTGGTTGGTAGAATGAGTGTGTTTACATTCATGTAAGTGTAACAGGGTTGGTTATGTTTCCACTTCACACTGCAGAAATATGTATTCAATGTTTATGTATTCCTATTAGTGGGTGGAATGTAAATATCAATAAAGTGTTATGCCATTGGTCATGCTTGCAGATAGGGGGAGATTGTGAACGTCACTTCTTCCCAGTCTGATAATTCAATACGAGCGGTAGGTCACGTTCTGAAATACTATATTATTTATCCTTCTCTGTGGTCTGGCCATCACCTTTTGACTCACAAAGAAACAGAAAAGCTTCAAAAGGCCCAGTCAATCTCACACACACACACACACACACACACACACACACACACACACACACACACACACACACACACACACACACACACACACTGGCGTCCTACTTCACTTCACTAGCGAGGGTCAATGGCACTTCTTTGACACACACACTCATTTATTCTCCATGTGACCCCAAACCAATTCCCTTATTTTTCTCCCTCCTTTTTCTCTTCCCTCTGATAGCCTGACTCATTCCCCTGCTTCTCTCAGACACATACATACACTATTGGCATTCCCTGCTCCCCTGACACACACACACAGAAATGGCCTTCTGATTCTGTTAGCAGCGGGGCTGCCTCCCTCCGAATGTAACAGTGAGAGAGGTCACAGCTAGAGTCACAGCAAGGGCACCTGGGATTGAGGAGAGGGGTCAAAGTTGACAGTTCTGTATTTTGAATGTACAATTAGTTGTTGCTTTTTCATTTAGGCTACCCCACAGCTCAAAGTAGAGTGGGTGACTAATCTCTCTCTCTTTCTCTCTCTCTCGCGCTATCTCTCTCTGTTCCCACTCTCTCCATCCCTCAGTAATACTGTAATTTACTTCTTAATTAGTGTTAAATTCTCCACTTACTGAGACGAGCAGCCAGTCCTTAGGGCACCAGGGAGGGAGAGACACTGCATGGTTCAGTAAGACTCAGGGCAAAGAGAGAACCAAGGCTTAGTCTCATTGGCCTTCTCCTATGATGTATTCACATTTAATTGTATGAATCACTCAATGTACTCCAAAGCTTCTTGTTGTTATATCTCTCTCATGCAGATACAGTATACACAGTGATTCATTCTCAGACCGTGAGTAACTGGTTTTGTCTGGTTTGGTTTGGTTTTACTGCACTTAAGGTAAGATAATGGGGAGGTGTATTGATGTGGTGAATTGAGGAGTTGAGTTGTGGTAGATATTTAGCTATGCATCATGTACCAGTATTGAGTCTCTCAGCTGACACACAGTCCCTGGTTCACACACATGAATCTGTCTTCTGTCTGCATATCCTTTCTTATCTCCTTCTCTCTTTCTCTCTTGTCTTTTTTTTTCACTCTTTCCCTCTATCCCACCTCTCTCTCTCTCCTTCTCTCCTTCTCTCCCACCCTCTTTCCCTTTCTCTCCCCTCCTCTCTCACCTATTGTCTCTCATCTTCGCATCTCTCTCATCTCCGTCTCGTCCTATCATCTCTCTCTTTCCTTCTCTCTCCTCTCTCTCTCTCTCTTTCTTTCTCTCTCTCTTTCTCTCTTTCTCTCCCCCCCTATCTCTTTCTCTCTTTCTCTCTCTCTTTCTCTCTTTCTCTGTCTGTTGCATTGCCATCTGTTCTTGATTAATGGGAGTAAGGAGCGATAATTGAAGCATCTGTTCATCCAGAGCACATCCTCTGCTCTACACACACACACACACACACACACACACACACACACACACACACACACACACACACACACACACACACACACACACACACACACACACACACACACACATACACCTCCTTGCTCCATGTATGGTATGGATCGGAAGGACCCTGGTAAGTGTAACTTCTAACGGTCTGTCCCTCCAGCAGGTTGAGGGGATATAGATATATCACATAAGGATGTAGGGGTTCATGGGGTTCTGGAAGAGCTGCCAGACATGTGCTAATAGACAGACTGACAGATCGAAGGGGGGGAAGAGAGGAGGGGAGAAGAGAGGAGGGGTCCGGACTCGACCTGCTGTCACAGAGAGCAGTTTGTGAATTTGGCATCGTTATAGTACTGGTGGGGGGCTTTGAGTATAGACTGATGCATACACGCACGCACGCGCGCGCACACACACACACACACACACACACACACACACACATTCAGTAGCAGTATTCCTGCAGCGCTAATTGCTGATGTTGCTATAATAGTTTCCTCTGATCCCCTCTCTTTCTCTCAACAGTATTATTATAGTTATTATAATTGTGTTCATTTAAATAACCATTGTTTAATTATTTATTTAATTCCTTTCTTTATATGCTGACAAAAATGGTTTAATACATGTACAATCTATTTGACCAAATAATGATGAGAGGGCAAAATGTGAGGATGAATAGCTGTTGAAGGTCCAGTATATCTATTATTTCTCTCTCTCGCTCCCTCTCTCCTTCTCCCCCTCTCCCTCCATCAGGCATACTTCCGTCAGGGCGTGGCCCTGCAGTACCTTGGTCGCCATGCCGACGCCCTGGCAGCATTTGCCTCTGGTCTGGCGCAGGACCCCAAGAGTCTCCAACTATTGGTGGGCATGGTCGAGGCTGCCATGAAGTCCCCACTACGAGGTGTGGCATGTGTGTGTGTTTTACTTGTGCTCAGGGTCATAACACAATATCTGTACTTTCAGCTAAGATTTGGTGTAACTCAAAGCTGCTTCTTGTGACATCATCCACACTGAATCATACGGCTTCACTTTTATCAGTGAAAATACAGAAACACAAAGTGTGGGTGTTTAAGAACCTTTCCTAGATAAACCAAATAAGATGGAGAAGGTTCCATCAGTCTGAATCATCATTCCTTTATTTGTCATCATCCCTTCATTTACCCACAATCCATCATTTATTTATATACCACAACCCCGGGGATAAGACGTGGGCGTGTCAAAGCCCCAGGGAGAAAAGACAGGAGGAGAGATGGAGGTAGATGACGGTGTGAGAAAATAGCTTTTTCACAAAAGAGGAGTAAGTCAAAGAAGAAAGGCAGGAGAAAGAGAGAAGGAAAATGGTGAGGAAGAGAGAATAGAGAAAGAGAGTGATAGAAGAAAGAAAATATATACCTTGAGGCTGATCATTAGCTCCTCCACAGGGTTTTTCCTCCGTAGATTCGTTCTCTCCATAGTTGATCTGGGGTGTCAGACTCACAGCACACACTATAACTATTACAGTGGTTGTATTTGGTCATTATAAGCTTATTCAACTTTATTTTCACTTTCAGTCAAAGTGTTGTTGTTGTTCTGTGTGTGTCCTATAGACTCCCTAGAACCCACCTACCAGCAGCTGCAGAGGATGAAGCTGGACAAGAGTCCGTTCGTGGTGGTGTGTGTGATTGGTCAGGAGCTGCTGACCACTGGTTTCCACGGAGCCTCGGTTGTGGTCCTGGAGGCGGGGCTAAAGATTGGCACATGCTCTCTGAAGGCAAGGCAGTTTGTGTGTGCGTGCGTGTGTGTGTGTGTTTCTATGTGTGTGTGATGATCATTGAGTTTCTTCTCTCTTCTTTCTGAAGCTCCGAGGTTCAGTGTTCTCTGCTCTCAGCTCAGCCTACTGGTCTCTAGGCAACGCAGAGAAGAGCACAGGATACATGCAGCAAGACCTGGAGGTCGCCAAGACACTAGGTACACACACACACACACACACACATACATACATGCTTTCACACACACACACTATTGGATGCATACACACACATACACACACTAGGTATTGGTGAAGAGAGAGAGCTGTACGTGTGATTTAAGACTGCGATAACCCACTGAGTGGAAGACAAGGCATTTGCTATGGTAGCTAACACGAGTCATCAGGTCTCAAGCAAGGTTACTCATCATGTGAGTTTAGTTCACTGAACCACCTCCACTACATAATGGATTAGTAGAAATCTGTAGGCTTCAAACCCAAATGGATAGGAACGATTAACACCATCTTAAAAAGCCTTATGACCACACCCACCTCATTATCATGTCTTCCCAGGTGACCAATCAGGCGAATGCCGGGCTCACGGGAACCTAGGGTCCGCCTACTTCTCCAAGGGCAACTACAGGGAGGCTTTAACCAATCACAGACATCAGCTGGTCCTTGCCATGAAACTCAAGGACAGAGAGGTACCTAGTGTGTGTGTGTGTGTGTGTGTGTGTGATCGCTCCATTGTGTACTTCTACTCTTTCCCTGTCTTTTATTCAGGAGCCATGCTAAGTTGCTCTCAGTCAAAGCAATGTGACAATGTAACAATGTCTGCCCTTGAGCCACACCACCCACTCACTGTTTATGACTGGAATACAATGAGAAGCAAGTCTTTGTATTATGGTGAAGGCAGAATTTCCATTAGTTGTTTAACTTGACACCTTGCCGACCTGACTGTGTGAATGTCTGGACAGCTGTAGAGTTGTACTGTATCCTCCATGTGCTGTGTGCTCTCATGTCGTTGTGTATGTTTTTTAATATCTAGTGTTTGTTTAATATTGTACGAAACATGCCTTTCGGTATGTTAACCTTGTTTATGCATGTTCTGAATATGTTATACAATTTGTGTGTGTGTGTGTGTGTCTGTGTGCACAGAGTGTGCACAGAGTCATTTAAATGCATCCTAGATGTCAAATCGATAAGACACCTGACACCATGGATGAATGGGTGCTTGAACAGGTCCATTCTAGCGAAAGCAGCGTGTGTGTGTGTGTGTGTGTGTGTGTGTGAGATTGTGTGAGTGTTAAGTGCTTTAGATCTGAGGACATTGAGGTGTGAGTGAGAGAGGATTATTGCATCTCCTCTCTCCAGTCAACACCACTGGTCCACAGCCTGAGGCTGTTCAAACACACATATCAACATTACTCTACACCTCCTCATCTCTCCTACTGTGTTTCCTTTTGTTTAGATTGTGTGCGTCTTTCTAAGATGCCTCCTGTGGCCTCCTGTGGCTTAATGTGGGGTGATAGTAGCCTCAATGTTAGCAAGGCGGGCCAGTCACAAGAGGGTTGCCGGTTTGAATCCCTGGGCTGACAGGAAAAGTCTAACAAGTGTGTGTGTGTGTCTCTAGGCTGCGTCCGGTGCACTGAGCAGCCTTGGCCATGTGTACACAGCGATAGCGGACTACCCTAACGCCCTGGCCAGCCATAAACAGTGTGTGCTGTTGGCACGGCAGACCCAATGCCCGCTGTCAGAGGCTCGGCAGCTGGGCAACATGGGAGCTGTCTACACCGCACTGGGAGACTTCACCAACGCTGTGCAGTGTCACCAGCAACACCTGGACATAGCTAAGGTGTTTAACTAATGAACAATCATACACACGTATGAATGCACCAGGGTTGGGGTCAATTCTATGTCAATTCAGGAAGTGAACTGAAATTCCAATTTCCAATTTATCATTTCACTTACTACTTTTTTATTCTATCTATGCTATCTATTCTCAGTGTTCCGTGTTAAAAGCACTGAAGTAAATCAACGTTAAAGTTATCTGATGTGATCTGTAGACCCTAGGTAATGGCCGTGAGGAGGCGCGGGCGTACAGTAACCTGGGCAGTGCCCACCACAGCCAGAGAGACTTTGACAAGGCTGTCTCCTACCACACCCTGGTGCTGCAGCTGGCTCAGGATCTGGAGGACCGGACCATACAGATGAGGGCTTACGCCGGCCTGGGACACGCTGCTCGTTGCATGCAGGTAGTAGACCACACACACACATAATGTTACACACACACACACACACACATGTTAGTCCCGTGTAGCTCAGTTGGTAGAGCATGGCGCTTGCAACGCCAGGGTTGTGGGTTCGATTCCCATGGAGGACCAGTATGAAATAATGTATGCACTCACTAACTGTAAGTCGCTCTGGATAAGAGCATCTGCTAAATGACTAAAATGTAAATGTAATGTTACACACACACACAGCATAACTCCCTGTATGTTCTCCAGGACTTGGAGAGGGCAGGCCAGTACCACCAGCAGCAGCTGGACATAGCAGAGGAGCTGCAGGACAGAGCTGCACAGGGACGCGCTTCATCCAACCTGGGTAAGACATGATGACAGCGTCCTACACTCTCTCTCTCTCAGACAGTTATGTGCTCTGTGTTTCCCCCTTGGGACCAGAAGGTTGTGAATTGGATACTATCACAGATACAGGAGCTGTCCCCCAATGGCCTGACCAGTTCAATGCCACATCGACCAGCAGCATTAAGGAGAGACCGAGAGGCCAGGTCTATAGAATGAAGGACAACAGTACAGACCTTTTTACAGACAATCCTGGGCACTATAAACCGATACATCTCTGTTTAATATCTACATTCTATGATACAGCATTGTTTTGTTGAAGGGGTTTGTTCAATTTCCCTCTACATCCCACAAACACCTCACTTGCTCTCAGCCCAGGTATGACAGCAGGAAACCAGAGCTGTGTCCTATCACATGACTCCACTAGTGCCTCTCTGGCCAATCAACACCGATGTTTTATTAACAAGGTTTAGGGTTCTGCGACAATGGCGAAATCTGAGACCTGCTGAATCTGACCCCACTGTTGAGTGGACAATAACCTACCTACCTGTGTGTGTGTGTGTGTGTGTGTGTGTGTGTGTAATCTGAGTGTATACTCTATGATTGTGCAGGACTGCTGACTTGGGCACCATGGAGAGATCTATTTTTCTTCGCCTCTCTCTCTCTTTCTCTCTTTTCTCACGCTTTCTGTCTCTCTCTCTCTCTCTAAAAAATACATCACATAATGTATTATAACAGTTTATATAAACTATCTTTAAACTAATAATGAACAGTTTCTAAACGACATAAACCGCTTCATAAATCGTTCAAAGTACACCTTAATGATAAGTGTTATCAGTTTAATGTGATATTTAATGGAATCCATCTGACAGTTCATTTACAGCTCAAGTAGGTCATTGGCTGAAGGAGTCTAGTAGAACTCCTTAGTGGTTTGTGACTGGGCCATTTAAAGCTTCACTACCAGCATTACCATGTTAGCAGGCTGAAGCTGGTTGGGGAGTTAGTCTTGTCTGAAGGCTTGCCCAACACCTAGATAACCTAGGACCATATCAGCACAAAGTATAGACACACACACACACACACACACACACACTGACTGTTATACACTCACATCCCAGTGTGTAGAATAAGGGTAGCGACTCTCCCTATAAGCTTCCAGTGCTGCCTCAGCCAAACAGACTGTTATAGGATCTCTAGTAATATTACATTACTTATAATCCGCTAACTCTGCTGGCTATCTCAGAGCTGCTGTTGGGGAATACCAAAGCCTTATCGCCACACCACTAACATGCCCCCTGGCACCATCAGGTGTGTGTGTGTTTATGTGTGGGAGGATGCCTGACCCCAGGGGGTTAATGTGCGTTAGTATTCCTGCCGACTCTGCAGGTTGCTCTGTAATCCTCTTATCTCTGCACCCCTTATGGGGCAGCTCTCCTTTTCCTAATACACACACACACACACCTGAAAACGCTTACTTGCGCAACATACACCATCATCATCATCATCATCATCCACATACCTCTTCAATGATAGCATAGTCCTGTATTCCAAGATTGTTTCAGTTTTTTAGCTTCTTGTTTTCAGGCAGGCTAATTAAAGTCAGTCCATAGAGCTCAGTGTGAGGTTCTGTGTACTTGCTAGTGGAGACAACATACACTGTCAGTGGGTTATGGGGTTACAGGGATCACATTTCACGCTTACTGAATCAGTCTCTCAGTCACTCACTCTCTCTCACACACACACACACACACAGAAATAGAGACAGACACATGCCTGCATGCAGACTAGATAAAGTTTAGTTTCACACTGTCAGGGCCATGTTCAGCAGGACACAACGTTGGCCAACTTTCAGATATAATTATGTAGAACCATGGCCAGATGTTTTGAGTAGGGGATGCTAACGGGAAACTAAACACCTTTTATAATTAATTAATATTTAGTTTTAGTTTTCTACCTTATGCACATTAAGAGTGGGAAATGCGCTCTACAAATGTATTATTATTATTATTATTATTATTATTATTATTATTATAAAGCACTCCATGCATCCTCTGTAGCTCAGCTGGTAGAGCACGGCGCTTGTAACGCCAAGGTAGTGGGTTCGATCCCTGGGACCACCCATACACAAAAATGTATGCACGCATGACTGTAAGTCGCTTTGGATAAAAGCGTCTGCTAAATGGCATATTATTATTATTTGCAGACTAACAGTAAGATACAATTCCTAATGTGATGAGTAGACTAGGTCTAGGAATATATTCAGTAGGCCTAACTGTAGTAAATGAAGCCTAATTTAATTTAGCTCATGACTGTTTGCAAAAAATACCGTTCTGAACAGAGCGCACATTCGGAGATCCGCACCAGGGGTAAACGTTGTCCTTTTATAAATGCATTTTATGCAATTCTACATCAGCCATTTTGTTTTTATACCACAAAAATGACAAATGAACTGAGATCAATAAAAACGATACAACCTACAAAAAGATGGGAGACACAGATTGTAAAATATGATATCCATCTATCCTGGTGGAGGAAATGATAGTCCTAAAAAACTTTCCAGAGGCACAGACCCACCCAATGATAAAATAAGTGAAGGCTGGGCAGGGCTGGGATTCTGGGAATATGCGCATTTAACAGCATGGCAGATGTTCTCCACTGGTCACTCAATATTGGGAATTGAGAAATTATTTTGGTAGCCTAACTACAAATAGATTACAGTCTTATCAGCAGTTTGATTTCCAAATTTCCAAGCGATGCTGATTGTCTCCCATTGAAATGAGTCGACTTCCGTCGGAACGCATACAGTTTGACGCAGTTGGTGTGCACAAGGCTTAATGCCTCGGTCAGACCAACAGCGTCATTGCATCCCAAATGTATACAAGATATGTGTCCCAAAAAAGTTCAACATTCACCTTTTGCTACTATTTCTGTCATGTCTACACACAGTGGCGATTTTAGCATGTAAATCTTGGTGGGGCAAACAAAGAGGCAATCCGTAATTTCGATTAAGACATTAATGAGCGAGCTAGGACGGACATAGTCAATATAACTATTTGTTCAGCACTTTTGAAATGTACAGCAACAGAATTCCGAACATGGGCCGTTCTTACACTATTCTCCCTGTACACCAAGTCAGAAGTGTAGGATAAATAAAGGGGGCATGTAAGCAGACAATGAAAGCTCTTACAATATTCAATGATTACATTTATCTAAAACAGGCTATAGGCTACATGTGCACCACCAAGTCAGAACAGTAGGCTAAGTTAGGAGGGGGAAAGGGACCAAATGATTAGGGTGAGGCACATGGGCTACTAACAGCTTACTACACAACATACACTTAGTATTACTTTCTTAGCTACAGTATACATATCTCCCTGGCATATTACATCATTTATGCAGCAGCATAAAATACATTATTGGACTCACCTTGTTGTGATGTTGTGACTTGGAATTCAGAGTTGGATGACCATTCAAAACGTATTTTCCCAGTCTGAGCTTGTTTTTTTCAGAGTTCCCAGTTGTCTTGGACTCACTGAAGTCTGAGATTTCCCAGTTCCGAGTGTCCAGTTGTTTTGAACACGGCAGAAGTCAAGCTGGATTGACAGCATGGTCAATGTATTCAACCTTTTCTGGCCCATGGTGTGTTGCAAGTGAATGTTTATCATTTTAAGCTTGGAAAAGAGACCCTTAAACCCAGACTTGGACCACACACCCTCTCCACTGAATAGCAGGTTAGTAATTGCTTTGCAAAGCTCGCAGTTAGCCACTGATTCCTTCCAAACTATTGAATTTACTTGTTGTGTAATGTTTATGTCCAATGGCCGATGAGCACTGTTTTATCTATAATTTCTCTTCATATGACAAGGATTTAAAAGGATTTGTCAGTAGATTGGGGAATTGATTCATGATGATGACTGCTTTCTAGCTTGCTAGCTAAGATTTTGAAAGGATGATGTTGACATGATCAGTCCAATCAAAGCAATGGTAGATATAACGTGATTTGACGTAATTGTATCTGTGGCAATGACCTTAAGCCTTCTTGGATGGGCACTTCTAATGTAAATCTATGGCAGCACCCAAGGGGCTTGAATTTTCGAGGTCTCCCCGTAGATTTTGCGGTGACGTAGTGTCCCCATGAGTGACAGAACACTGAGCCAATCACGGCGCAACTAGAGAACATTACCAACCCCTAAGCTCCGTATTTTCCGCTGGCTGCCCCACCTCCACAGAAAGCACTGAGCTACGCTGAAACACCTGCATTTTGGAGCTGCCTTACTCAAGAAAGCAAAAAAGAGACCATGTTTGTATGCAGCTTTATTAACTCAATGATAAAATTTTTGAAATTGTTTGAAAACTGATATGTGACACGTATTAATGCCAAAATAACATGCAAAGCAGGCAACAAAAAAATGAAAATAAAATAAACACACAGTACCTGTCAAAAGTTTGGACACACCTACTCATTCAAGGGTTTTTCTTTATTTTTACTATATTCTACATTGTAGAATTATGGTGAAGACATCAAAACTATGAAATAACACATATGGAATCATGTAGTAACCAAAAAAGTGTTAAACAAATCAAAATATATTTTAGATTTTAGATTCTTCAAGGTAGCCACCCTTTGCCTTGATGACAGCTTTGCGCACTCTTGGCATTCTCTCAACCAGCTTCATGAGGTAGTCACCTGGAATGCATTTCAATTAACAGGTGTGCCTTGTTAAAAGTTAATTTGTGGAATTTATTTCCTTCTTAATGTGTTTGAGCCAATCAGTTGTGTTGTGACAAGGTAGGGGTGGTATACAGAAGATAGCCCTATTTGGTAGAAGACCAAGTCCATATTATGGCAGGAACAGATTAAATAAGCAAAGAGAAAGACAGTCCATCATTACTTTATTTATTTTTTTGCTAAACAGGTGGGACTCAAAACAGGTGGGTCTCTGCCCCACCTGCCCTGAATGACTGGTCGCCACAAATGCAGCGTTCGATTGGAAATCAATGTACTTATGGTGTACCAAAATGAAATGATGCTGTCAGTCTGATCGAGGTGAAAGTCTAGGCTATGTACTGCACTTGTGGTTAAAAACAATCCACAGCTATTTTTTTAAAGAAGCTATTGATCTTCCAAACTCTCTAGTGTAGTATTTTGAAATATTTTTATTTATGTACAAACAGGAGTAATTTTGCCAATTTTATTAAAATTTACCAGGAGCACTCCTACTTCCCGTGGCTTCATGTCAGCTCTATTCATGGCATTTCTATCTGCAACGTAACGTTTGTGTACTGAACATGGCCCAGTTCAATCTCCCGCCCTGAGCGCCCTCACCTCCAGGCTCATGTCACTCTGTGAAGAAGTTGAGATCATCACCTGCAACTGCAGGTTAATCTGTTTTTGGGAGCTACCGCGTCAAAAATACGACACAAGGCAAGTTGTTTTAAAAATTGTTCTTGTGCTTCTCTCAGGTTTATTTGTTTGTAGTTAGCTAGACAGTTCATTAATAAAAAGCCCAATGTGTTTTTGGCGAGCACTTTCCTAGACTGCTCACTCTTGAGCTGAGTTGAGTTGATTAGCTAGCTAGCTAACTTGTTGTTGTTAGCAGCTAGCTAGCTCATTGAAAACATTCTAAAATGTCAGATGATCATAAAAGAGAGATTCACCTCAGGGATTCACAGCTGGGATGTGGATGTAGGGTACAATGATGACTGGATGGTAGGGGTGGCCAAAGAGTCCATTATCAGGAAACGTGGCTCTCAAAAAATATATACATGTTCGCTGTTGGGGTGCTTACCGGAGAAGCAGTGAGAATCAGGGAACCAATGAGAAGTGTGTCCTTCTATGATCCTTTTATTGACCCAGCACGGGATTGTGGGATTGCACCATTTATCACACATTTACAGAGAAGATGTAGCCATACTTCTATGTCGGTTTGTTCAAAAAGGAACTACTGCAGATCCTACAAATGAAGATTTCTGTTGAGGTGAAAAACGACTTAGTCCTAGCTTAAGTGAATAAGAGATTACTTCCATGAAATGTTTTGCAATGCAAATTCTGTAATTGTATTTTGCTAATTTTGAACCTTTTCATTACTTTCATAAGTCTGTTGAGCTGCAGATCAGAATCTACTCAGTTAAAAGAGAATTGCTGCAGTGCCGTTGGTTAGGCCAAAATTGATAGATCATTCAAGCTTTCAATGTCAAATGTTCCTGACAGGAAATTCTTTCAAATAAAGATTTTGGCATAAGTAACAAACCATTGATGTATTATTGACAGATCCCGGTAACCAACATGTTTGTGTACATTAGAAAGGCATTGAAAATGTTACGGTACCCTTCCTTATACAACCTGCTAAGCACTTTCTCTCTTGTTACATCAGGGCTGTGTTCAGGATGAAAGAAAGTAACAAATGGAAACAGCGTTTCTCCACTCAGAATGCCAAGCTAGCTTAGCCCATCTCATGCTCCATTCCATTTTGAACTGACCCTCTAGCCTACAAACACAAACACACACTGGATCAGACAGACAGATGTCAGGGCCATGTGTTACTGATCCATCTCCATCTGCTGTCTCGACATCCCCTACCTCTCTCTCTCTCCTCCCTATGTGTCTCTCCTCCACCTTTGCGCCCTCTTTCAATCCTCCCTCCCTCACTCTTGTCCTGTTAGAAGCAGACACTCTAGCTCTGATACCCCCCCCCCCCCCCCCCCCCCATACCAACACACACACTCAGACATCGGTGTATTCAGGGATGTGAAACGCTTTGAACGTTGCAGATGGAAATGAAAAGAGCAGAAAAAAGGCTAAACAATTCCCTATTCCCTATTAGACGTTCCGTCCTTTTGAACAGGCCCAGTGTCAGTGTCTGTGTCAGACGGTTGGCTGTGATCCTGATTGGTCATCCTCATGTCTGATCTCTAATCTCTGCCTGTCCGTCACTCACTTTCACTCACTGGACTGTGCCTCTCTTTCAGGTATAATCCACCAGATGAAGGGGGAGTATGAGGCAGCGTTGAAGCTCCACAATGCCCACCTGTGTTTGGTCCAGGAGCTGGGGGACCATGCTGCTCAGGGCAGGGCCTACGGGAACATAGGCAATGCCTACAACGCTCTGGGAATGTACGACCAGGCTGTGCGCTACCACCGGCAGGAACTGCACATATCACTAGAGGTGAGGAGACACACACGTGAACACACACACACGTGAACACACACACACACAGAGCGCTCTGGGGATGTACCACCAGGCTGTACGGTATCATAGGCATCAGATATCACTGGAGGAAGACACACCTGGTATTGACCCATCTTTCCTCTCTCAGGTGAATGACCGTCCCTCCCAGGCCTCTACCCATGGTAACCTGGCTGTAGCCTATCAGGCGCTGGGCGCTCACGACCGGGCTCTCCAGCACTACCTGCACCACTTGAACATCGCACGTGAACTACGAGACACACAGAGCACGGCCAGGGCACTAGGTAACATAGGGACAAACCAACAAATGAAGGAATGAAATATACTTTATTGATTCCTAAAGGTAAAGTGTATGTGTGTGTGTAGGTAACCTAGGTAACTTCCACTGCTGTAGAGGGGAGTATGTCCAGGCGGTTCCCTACTACCAGCAGTACCTGACACTGTCACCTCAGCTACAGGACCTGGAGGGAGAGGGCAAGGTCTGCCACAACCTGGCCTACACACACTACTGCCTGGGACAGTACAGAGAGGCCGTCAGGTAGGGGACACACTCCATACATCTCTATGTATAATAATAGCTCTTAAAGATTGTCCTGACCTCTCCAAATAAATACAGAAAGGAAAAGGAAATGAGGAAGGAAACACACCTTTTCTTCTTTCTCCTGACAGGTATTATGAGCAGGACCTGGCCCTGGCTAAAGACCTGGGGGATAAGTTGTCCCAGGCTAAAGCATACTGTAACCTTGGTCTGGCATACAAAGCCCTGGGGGAATACAACAAGGCTGAGGACTGTCAGAGATACCTGCTGTCCCTGGCTCAGGCTCTCAACAACACACAGGTACAGATAGTAACTAGCACAACTGGTATTGGTGGAATGGGTCGTTAGGGGGTCTATGTGTGTTTTGTAGGGGTCTTGGCAGGGGTGGTAAGATTCTGTGTGTGTGTGTCCAGGCTGTGTTCCGTGCACTGGGGAACCTGGGGGATGTGTGTGTGTGTCGGGTTGACGTGGCCGGGGCGGTGAGGTTCTACCAGCAGCAGCTCACCCTGGCTCAGGAGGTCAAAGGCCACAAAATGGAGGCCGACGCCTACTCAGCGCTAGGCTCCGCCCACAGGTAAGCTCCTAGTCCAGTTAGGATTTACATTTGTATTTTATTTATTAACTTCCTGTATGTTTTCAGTTCATATTGACTGAGAATTAATAGTGATTCTCTCCCTTCTTCCCTCCCCCAGACTCCTCCGTCAGTACGACCTGGCCCTCTCCTTCCACCAACAGGAGCTGTCTGCCCGCACCGCTCTGGACGACCAGCAGGGGCAGTGTGGTGCTCTGGGCCACCTGGCAGCCGTCCACATGGCCCTGATGGACTACGCCACAGCCTTCCAGTGCTACCAGGCCCAGCTCACCCTGGCACAGGGACTCAGAGACGCCCGCGTGGAGGCACAGGTCCAGGGAAACATGGGCATCACCAAGATGAACATGGGCGTCCTGGAGGAGGCCATTGGGTATTTTGAGCAGCAGTTGGCCATGCTGGAGCAGCTGAGTGGGGCTGAGTGTGTGCTGGACAGAGGCAGGGCCTACGGGAACCTAGCAGACTGTTATGACTCTCTGGGAGACTTTGAGGAAGCTATAAAGTACTGTGAGATGTTTCTAACTGTGGCTCAGAGTCTCAACCATGTTCAGGACCAGGAGAGAGCCTACAGGGGACTGGGCAATGCACACAGGTAAGGGCAGAGACACTCTCTCTATCCGTCTCTTTATCTCTCTCTCTGTTCTCTGTTCTCTCTCTCTCACCCTCCCCTCTCTCTCTCTCTCTTTATATATCTCTCTCTCTCTTTATATCTCTCTCTCGCTCACCCTCCTCTCTCTCTCTCTCACCCACGTCTCTCTCCCTCTCTCTCTCTCAGCCTCCTCTCTCTCTCTCTCACCCTCCTCTCTCTCTCTCTCTCTCTCATCCTCCTCTCTCTCTCTCTCACCCTCCTCTCTCTCCCTCTCTCTCTCACCCTCCTCTCTCTCCCTCTCTCTCTCACCCTCCTCTCTCTCTTTCTGTTTCTCTGCTGGTCCCTGGTGAGGGAATGGCAGAGTAATGATAGGTCAAGTCATGTAGTTAGACTGATAGAAGCCACAGCTCAGTGTTAGTTTGCAGACACATCCTCTTTCACATTCCCTCCCCTAAGGATATGCACATTTATTTTAATCTCATACTAGCAAAATGAACATGTCCTGAAGTTATTGCCCAATTTGTTTTCTTGTTTACCTTCTTAAGTTGCTCGTATAGCTCTCTCTGGGAAACTAGACACCTTTTGATGTTTGGAAATCCAGAGCTGAGTGTTTTATGTTGTGACTCTTGAAATGCATTTATGTAAATAATTGGTAGGGCTCATTCTGAATGCGATAGTGACTCATCTGCAGCAAGCAGTAGGCCTACATTAGCAACTCTGAATAGGGAAATGGGGGTAAACAAAAACAACTCATCTCCTCCCTCCTCTCCTCCCTTCCTTCCTCCCTCTTTTCTCCCTCCCTCCTCTCCTCTCAGATCTCTAGGTAGTCTCCAGCAGGCTTTGGTGTGTTTTGAGAAGAGACTGGTGGTGGCCCATGAGCTGTGCGGATCAGGAGGCGGAGAGGGAGGAGAAGGTGGAGGATGGGGGAAGGCCCAGGCCTATGGAGAGCTGGGAGACCTACACAGCCAGCTGGGGAATTATGAGCAAGCCCTGTCCTGCCTGGAGCATCAGCTCAACATCGCCTGCACCTCAAGGGTAAGACTTCTACCTCGAATGAATGAATGAATGACTGAGTGATGGGAGGGAGGCAGGTAAATAGGGGTGAATAAAGACCTTTGGCAGTTACCTGTATATATATTAATCTATATGCTATAACTATTTATTCTAAATCTGTTCCTCCCAGGACCGAGCACTAGAGGGCGAAGCGAGCGCGGCGCTGGGTGGAGTGTACCAGCTGATGGGAGAGAACGAGGCAGCTCTACAGGTTGGTGCTGTTCTTATCATGATGGTATTATATTCCCCATGCAGTGTTCTACTGTCTGCCTGTCTGTGTCCATCTGTCTATCAATCTCTCTCTCGCTCTCTCTCTCTCTCAAGTGGCACCAGAGCGCGTTAGAGATTGCGGAGGAGACCGGAAATGGGAGGAGTCAGGGTATGGCCTACGGGAACATGGGACTGACCTATGAGGCACTGGGAAACTACAAAAGGGCCGTGGACTGTCAGGTAAACACACACACACACTATGGTCGTGTTCTCATTGGTATACGATTTGGGACTTGACCTTTCTGTCTCTTGTGATGTCATCAGGAGCAGCACCTGAGTGTGGCGGCGCAGAATAATGACCTCACAGCCAAGACACTGGCGTATGGCAGCCTGGGGAGGACCCACCATGCGCTACAGAACTACACACAGGCTGTCATGTACCTGCAAGAAGGTGAGAGGAGAGCGAGAGAGAGTATGAATGAAGACATGGTTTTTGGAGAAAGAGGGAGGGGAGGAGAGGGTGATTTGATGATGTTTTGAGACTCCCTCTCGCTCTCTCTCTCTCTCTCTCTCGCTGTCTCGCTCTCTGTCTCTCTCCTGTCGCTCTGTCTTCTGTCTCTCTCTCAGGTCTGCGTCTAGCGGAGCAGTGTGGGAGGAGAGAGGAGGAGGCTAAGATCCGTCACCGTCTGGGCCTGTCACTGTGGGCCAGCAGCAACCTGGAAGAGGCCCAGCACCAGGTATCAACCTATGTAGTTTCACAACTTAGCTTCTCTTCAGTCCTGCTGACACCTGCTGGTGGACTATGGAACTGCAGTCTCTGATTCTAACCTGAGGGGTTTTGAGACCCTGTATTGAAAATAATAACTCATTTTGTGTATATGGTGATAGGGGTGTGACATGGGTGTGTATTCAGGCATGAATGAGTATGTGATGCAGGTGTGTATTCTTTTTCTCTCTCTCCAGCTGTACCGAGCGTCTGCGTTGTTTGAGTCGATTCGTCACGAGGCCAAGCTCAGCTCAGACTACAGACTGTCTCTGTTCGACCTGCAGACATCATCATACCAGGCTCTCCAGAGGGTCCTCGTCAGCCTGGGTAACACTTTACTTCCTGTTCTATCTCTCTTGTTATCCATCTCCTTCCCTTTCTCTATTTATCTATCTCTCACTTTCTTTCACTCTTTCTCTACTTGTTCACTTTCTCTTCTCATCCCTCAGTTCATCCCTTTCTCCTCTCCTCCCTAGGTCATTATGACGAGGCCCTAGCAGTGGCAGAGCGGGGTCGGACCCGGGCCTTCGCTGACCTCCTGGTGGAGCGACAGCAAGGTCACCAACCCCTGACCTCTGACGCTTATACTCCGACCCCTGACCCTTACTCCCCGGTAACCGTAGAACACATCCTGGATATGGTCAACAGTCAGAAGTCACTGGTGCTGTACTTCTCTCTGGCTGCAGGGTACCTCTACAGCTGGCTACTGGCACCAGGCACAGGTAGGTATATACATATACACATATACCAGTGGAGGCTGCTGAGGGGAGGACTGCTCATAATAATGGCTGGAATGGAGCGAATGGAATGGCATCAAACACATAGAAACCATGTTTGATACCATTACACTAATTCCACTCCAGCCATTACCACGAGCCCGTCCTCCCCAATTAAGGTGCCACCAACCTCCTGTGACATATACACACCTACCTCTAATCCCTAACCCTGTGTTGTGTTGTGTGCAGGTATAGTGAAGTTCCATGAGGTGTACCTGGGTGAGGGAGGATCTGAGCTGCAGGCCTCAGAGATCCAGGGGGGAGGAGTTAGTGGCTGTCAGACTCTGGAGCAGCAGATCACTGCAGCGAGAGAGGCTCTGGGAGTTGACAACTACTACAGCAGGTGTGTGTGTTTGTGTGGATCTTGCACTTGCTATGGTCTCTGCTTTATTAAAATATTGTTTAGTGCTTCACTGAGAGACTGCAGGCTCTCTTTAACGCTTGGCTCGGTGCTCTGTCCCTCTCTCCCTCTCTCTGTAGAATGGATGGGATATTCAGAGGTGACATATTTCACCCTTCCAAGTGATAATGGGAGCTTGCAGCCTCTCTCTTTCTCACACACACACACACACACACACACACACACACACACACACACACACAGACAGACACACACACAGAGAGGCACACATGCACACACACTCTCAAACACACAATGCACACTGGCAATCCATCACTGAAGTGCTAAATGATCTTTTAATAAAGTAGAGAGAGAGACTATCATACCTCGGAGAGTAATACAGTTTAATACAGCACTGCAGGCTACTGTGTAATGTGTGTTGTGTCAGCAAATGTTATCCCTCACACATTGTTCTCCTGCCCTCACTGACAACCACTGCAGTACTGTTGCCCTAGCCAGCAGCACCTTAGTGTGTGTGTGTGTGTGTGTGTGTGTGTGTGTGTGTGTGTGTGTGTGTGTGTGTGTGTGTGTGCGTGCGTGCGTGTACCAGCAGTGAGACGGAGAATGAAGCAGGTGATCTGTTAGAACAACAGTTTGAGGAACGACTGACATCAGCCACCGACCCTACTGGCTACCTACGCATGGTGTCCAGAAACAACCTCTTTAGCAGGTGTGTATGTGTTTTTTGCAGAGAGTCAATGTTGACTGAAATGTCACCACATTTGAAAACGTATGTCATTCTGTATGTTCCTATGCAATATCTACTGGTTGTAGACAGCACCATTTGTTAAACCACAAGCATAATTTCCCTATTTCTACAGAAGTAGTCAGAGTTTGTCCAGTCTGGTCAGTTCTACAGTGTCTCCAGTGAGAGAGACCTCCTCCTCTCTGCCTTGTAGACCCGGCCCCCTCACCAAACCCCCCCTACGAGCCCTTCACCACCTGCTCATTGCACCTATGGAGGAGGTAAGAGTGTGTGTGTGTGTTTATCCTAACGACACTAATTTTACCATTTGATAGAGATCGAATTACATTATCTGTCTACTCATTCTTTCACTCTCTCTCTCTCTCCCTCTCTCGCCCTAGGTGCTGATGCCTGGTAGTGGTGCAGCGGCCAGACACAGACAGTTGGTGTTGGTGTTAGAGGGAGAGCTGTACCTGGTTCCCTTCGCTCTGCTCAAAGGTAGCTCCTCTAATGAGTACCTGTATGAGAGGTTCAACCTTCTAGCTGTCCCATCTTTAAGGAGCCTGGGGGCTGCAGCCAAGGTTAGTGTATAGTACACACACACACAAATACACAGACTCACACACACACACAGAGACACACACACACAGTGACACACTAAACAATACAACAGCACAACCTGTACAATTCAATATACTGATAGCATACATGTCATACAGTATTAACCATTTTTGTCATTGATTGTGTTTGACTGACTGATCATTTAAACCAGCGTCTCCTCCTCCCCTCTCCCCCAGTCCTACCCTCGTCACAGAGCTCCCTTCCTCTACAGCGGTGGGGGTTCTATGACCGTGGTAGTGGGGGCTCCACGCCTGCCCTCCAGGGTGATGGAGCGTTGGCTGTGGGGGCCGCTGCCCTCTGCCCACGACGAGGCCCTCCGCCTGGGGGAACTGCTGGGCTGCCAGCCCCTCACTGGAACACAGGCCACCAAGGTACAAAAAAAAGAGAGAGTGTGTGTGTTCTGCTCCCACTGTGACTTATTGAGACGCACAAACAGACAACATTCTCCTCACTTCTCTTCTCTAGGAGCGTGTGCTAGCAGCCATGAGCCAGGCAGAGTGTGTTCACTTTGCTACTCATGTCTCCTGGAAGCTGGCGGCCCTGGTTCTCTCTCCCAGCCAGGATCCAGGGGTGGACTTAGGAACACGGCCCAAGGAGAGTGCACCGTGTGGGGGATCACTTTTAAGCGAGAGTGGGGATGTGGGAGCAAGGACAGAGCTACGGGAGGACGGGAGTGAGGACAGAGGAAGTGTGTGTGACGCAGAGAGTGTGTGTGACAGTCCACCGCTACAGGACTTTCTGCTCACTGCGGCCGATATACTGGACCTGAGACTGCCTGTCAAACTGGTGGTGCTGGGGTGAGACACGCGCACACACACACATGCCTAATTATCAAGCAGTTTTAGTTTGTTTTATACTGTATGTCTAAGTTTATCATCTTCTTATCTCTCCTCTCCTCTCTCAGGTCGTACCAGGAGTGTGTCAACAGAGTGACAGCTGACGGGGTGGTGGGTCTATCCCGTGCCTTCCTGGCGGCGGGGGTGCAGTGTGTGTGTGTGTCGCTGTGGCCCGTTCCCATGGCAGCCTCCAAGGTGTTCACACACAGCTTCTACACGGCGCTGCTGAACGGGACCAAGGCCAGTGCAGCTCTCACTGAGGCCATGAAGACTCTACAGAGCAGCACACACTTCTCACACCCTTCTAACTGGGCGGGTTAGTACACACACCCTTCACACCCTTCTAACTGGGTGGGTTAGTACACACACCCTTCACACCCTTCTAACTGGGTGGGTTAGTACACACACCCTTCACACCCTTATAACTGGGTGGGTTAGTACACACACCCTTCACACCCTTCTAACTGGGCGGGTTAGTACACACACTTCTAACTGGGTGGGTTAGTACACACACCCTTCACACCCTTCTAACTGGGTGGGTTAGTACACACACCCTTCTAACTGGGCGGGTTAGTACACACACCCTTCACACCCTTCTAACTGGGTGGGTTAGTACACACACCCTTCACACCCTTCTAACTGGGTGGGTTAGTACACACACCCTTCACACCCTTCTAACTGGGTGGGTTAGTACACACACCCTTCTAACTGGGTGGGTTAGTACACACACCCTTCGCACCCTTCTAACTGGGTGGGTTAGTACACACACCCTTCACACCCTTCTAACTGGGTGGGTTAGTACACACACCCTTCACACACTTCTAACTGGGCAGGTTAGTATAGTATACACACACACACACATGATTCACTCCTCCTCCTGTTTTCTCTCAGGCTTCATGTTGATTGGCTGTGATGTGAAGCTGAACAGCCCCTCGTCTCTGATTGGCCAGGCCCTGGCAGAGATCCTCCAATATCCTGAGAGAGCTAGAGACGCCCTGAGAGTTCTACTGCACCTGGTAACAAACATGCACAACGTTTGCCATATTGCCTATGGCTATTCAAGAGACTTTAAAGAACCTTTCCAAATAATGTGATTTCTTTCCCTCCATCCCTCAGGTTGAGAAGTCTCTCCAGCGTATACAGAGTCGTCAGAGTAACGCTATGTACACCTCGCAGCAGAGCGTGGAGAATAAGGTTTGTGTGCGTTTGAGCTCTGCATATTTACTTGTGTTAAGGTATTTGGTGTTCCTCATTACTTGGTTATTCTGAGTAATTTTAATGAATAACTGTTTTATATGAACCCATCAGGTTGGTGGGGTCCCGGGATGGCAGGCCCTGCTGTCAGCTGTGGGGTTCCGGTTAGACTGTTCAGGTACCGGCAGTAGTCTCCCCGCTGCTGTCTTCTTCCCTACGGCTGACCTTGGAGACCGGCTGCAGCTCTGCAGCACCACCCTGCAGTCACTACTAGGTAACCTATCAATTTAGGAGTGAATCAATCAATTAACCAATCAGACTGTCAGCACAGCTACCATACTCTAGATCCAACATGGTAATCAGTCAGTCAATCAGTCCTCTCTGTCGTCCAGGTCTGCCTCATGCAGCCTTCCAGGCCCTCTGTAAACTGGTCACTGCTGCTGAGACTGGAGACCAGCTCATCAACAAAGTAGGCCTCAATGCACACTCACACACACTGATTAATTTGCATGCTGTATGCTTTATTTGAATGTACATGTGATGAGCCTGGCAATAATTGCATGGGATCAATATCATCATAACCTCAGTGATTTTTATGGCTCATAAACAGTGGTAGTCCCTGCATGGTGTTCATTAACAAGGCCTGTTGCTTTCTAATGGTCTGTTCCTAACAGTTGAAGTCCTATCTCTCTCTCCCTCTTACCCACCACTTGAAGGCTGTTAAACATATGGTGGGAATGGTAAGTAGCTTTCTGGCATGAGAAACTCATACTGAGGCAAAAAAAAGGGGGCAGGGTAGAAATTATAGTGTGAGAAGATGCTACGATAACCTACCTCTCCCGGTCTACAGCTTCACCAGGTATTGGTTCAGCAGCAGTCATGTGACAAGGAGCAGGAGTTCTCATTGGCTCCCATCCAGGTGTCAATTAGTGTCCAGCTGTGGAGACTTCCTGGTTGTCATGAGTTCCTGGCTGCGCTGGGTGAGTCAGTCATCGCCGTACTGAGAGTTGGATATATAATAGCAGAGGCAGCCAGTCTCATCTTTAGAGAGCCAGTGTGGGTGACCGACTAGGTTTCGAACCCAGGTTTCCTTTATGTCACAAGACTGTGTTAGCCCATTGAGCTAAAGCCTAGGCGTTTAGTGTGTGTCATTATTTTCCCTTCTCTGTTTCCCTCCAGGTTTTGACCTGTGTGAGGCAGGACAGGAGGAGGTGCTATTGAAGACTGGTAAACAGGCTAGCAGACGGACCATGCACTTTGCTCTGCAGTCTCTACTGGCACTGTTTGGTAAGAGTCTCCAAGCTCTCTCTCTTAACTCTACATTGTTATGTATGTTGGTTACATAGTCTGGCATCCAGACTTCAAGTGAAACATTCCTATACTTTCATCTTACCTCGGTCTCACCTGTCCATCTTGTCCTCTCTCCCTGCAGACTCTACGGAGCTGCCCAAACGTCTCAGCCTGGACAGCTCTTCCTCTCTTGAGTCTCTCTCCTCCTCCCAGTGTGCCTCCCACTCCCTCCCTCGCTCCCTCCCCCTCAACCTTCCCCAGCCTCCCTTCTCCCCCCCGCTTGGCGACCCAGACGGTCTCTCCTGTGACGCCATCTCCCTCTACAGCCTCAGCTCCCTCACCTCCTCTCTCAGCTTCCTGTCCCGCCCCGAACCTGCAGGAAGTGATGTCATCAGCCAGCGCTCGCGGCAGCAGGAGCTGGAGCGGCACCGCGGAGGAGCGGGGTTATTCGCCTCGCACCGACACACAGGAGGCATGTCGAGAAACAGATTGACGAATCACAGAGGAGTAGGAGGAGGGACAGAGGGGGAGGAACAGGAGGAGTATGAAGGATTCTCCATCATCAGCAGTGAACCTCTGGGGGGAGGGGGGAGGGAGTGTGACACCTTACCCCTCCCTGGGGGACACAGACACCTTAGAGGAGCAGGGAGGGGAGGCGTGGTGGGGAGAGGGTACCCCGTCTCAGTCTCCTCCAAGGGGAGTGTCAGCACTCCCACCTCACCGCTAAAAGTCCTCCCGCCACCCTTGACCATACCCCCCAGCCCTAACACACACGCTAAGTCCCAGGGGTAAGTTATTGCTTTTTAACTGACTAGTTGACTGTTTGCTTCAACTGTTTGCCTCTTGACCTACTTGTCACATCAAATTAACCATCTCTCCTCCCCAGCTCTCAGAGCATGTCTAAAGGTCAGGTGGTCAGTACAGAGGCAGTGCTCTCTGAGTCTGACCAGTCCAGTACAGAGACAGACAGCACCGTCAAGTCCCAGGAAGACAAGCCTCCCCCCATCCCTCTGGACCCCCAGGAGCTGGCCAGCAGGATCCTGTCAGAAACCCAGAGCCACATGCAGGCTGTGGAGAGCCTCCAGAGGGGGAGGACAGGAAGGGCAGGCAATGGAGGAGGGGAGGAGGGGTTAAGGGAACCAGAACGTAGACCTTCCTCCACCTCAGCCCCCCTGACCCCGACTGTGACCCCCACCGGAGGGGGTTTGGGCTTCCGTTCGTCTGAGACCAGCGCTTTCAGCAGACCCAGTAGTAGAGCCAGCCTACAGGCCCGGGCTTCACCTCTCTCCCTCTCCAGCCCTCTCTCACCGCTCCCTGCCCCCCTCTCACCCCTCTCCACGCCCCTCCTCCTCTCCACCAGGTCCAAACCCCCCTCTCGTTCCTCATCCTTACAGAAGATCAGCTCCGGCTATAACAGCCCAACCCTATCCTCCCGCTCTCCCTCCCTGTCTTTCTCTCACCCCCACCCCTCACCCTCCAGAACCCCAGACCCCCACATCCAGGCGCAGCTCAGACTTAAATACCCTAGCTCCCCTTACACCCCCCATATCTCACACTCCCCCAATAGCATCTCCATCTCCCCCAGCTCAGGCCACCCTTCCCCAGTCGGCAGCTTCCCGTCCTTGGCTGCATCCCCAGTCCTCTCCCTGGCCCCCTCCCCTGCCCTCTCCTACTCCTCCACAGGTTCCACCTCGGCCCGCTCCAGCCCAGCCGAAACCCCAGACCTGGGTCGGTTGAAACGGGCAGGTCTGGTGGACGAGAGGGTCCAGGCCATCCACAACCTGAAGACCTACTGGTCCAACGTCACCCAAAGGCAGGAGGTTCCCGGCCCAGGCAGGGTGCTCCGAGGTGGGGGGAAGAAGATGAGCACGGTCCAGAAAGATGTCCTGGGGCTCCTTCACCTCTCTCCAAGACATGGATCCACCAACCAGAACCAGGACACTGAGGAGACCCAGAGCGCCACCAACCCGCCTAACGGACACAGAAAGCTGGGTTCAAAACCGCCAGTGGTGCCTCCTCCTCAGGCTGCTACTGACTCCTCCTTGGAAGGTAGTCCCGGAGCACCCCCATACCCCGTCAGACTGCCCTCTGGGAAAGGCTTCAAGTTCCCCTCGCCTGGGAAGTTCTTCCCCTCCTCTAAATGCTGAGAGGGGTTAGACTCTTCATGGTTAGATATCTGCTCCTGACTCTGAGGCTCTTCTAGTGGATTATACTAGCTGGGCTGCGTGCTATGAAAGGGACTGAACATTACACTAGCAAGAAGGACCACTGGGGACCACCAAAACTGAAGTTCCGATTTGCATTAGTTGAATAGAAAGTGGGAATGGGACACTTTGCGGTGACTGACTGCCTCCTAGTGGAGAGGAAAGGAAGGACAGAGCAGGGCCAGGTCATAAAGGAGAAAAGTGCAGTCACCCGGAAGGACAGGGGGGGGTCAGACAGGACTCTGTATAACCCTGGGTTGAAATCTGCCTGAGATTCCTCACTTACCCTTGCCTCCTCCTACACTGTAAAGACACTTTGATACAGGCAGACTGTATCAGGCTCGGAGACTGTTACAATGACTGAAAATACCAATATGGTATTTCTATTTTTTACCTAAAACGCTCGCTGTTTGCGAAAGTCAAGAAAATGCTAAATGGAATCGTTTTAATTATGATTTATTTGAATAAAAGTATTGTTAATTGTTATCAAGGATCATAACCGTTATTATCGTTATTTTGTTTTGTAAATTAAATCCTGTGCTTTGTAATCAGTATTACGTGTTTTTATATATTAAGAAGCAAACGGTGCACAAAAATAAATAAAAACATTTATTTTTATTGAAGTGCTGAAAAGGCATGAAAGCATGAAATACAATTTCTATGTGGATTTGGTCGGGTCGCTCAAAAAGTTACATATTGCAGCTTTAAACACGCATCTCAGTTCTTTCAATAAAAAAGGTTTGCTCTCTTGTCTCCATGTAATGGTTTATGAAGAGGGATGTTACTGACTGCCTGGACTTTGCTCTTATCTTCTTGATCAGGACTGAATCCTCAAGCATGACATTTTTTCTAGTGTGATCAACTTTATAGACTATAAAATAAGAATTTGAACAAGCTTGCCATAGCAGTAAGAGATGGAGTGGGATGTATGTATCTATGATGATACTTGCTGGAGGTGAGGACTTAGCTGATGAAATCCTGGTTCTTTAGAGCAAAATCCACATACAGATTTTGGTTATGGAAATTGAATAATTGCATTATCAATATTGAGATAGTGAAATTGGTTTAGAAAAGTAATCTAGCTGTACTGTCATTTGGATAGTTCTTGCCCAGAGAAAAAGTATATTATTCTGAAAAACTTGAAATTGTTATGGTTCGAACCAGAGCCATATATCACATATATACAGTCGGACACGTTATTGATCACAAAGAATAGCTAAACGTATTCATGGTCCCATCCATAGCCATTCTACAGCTCACGTCACTTGTGCACAGTTTACAACGTGTGCAAGTTCTGACCAATCGACGACTTACGTGGGCGGTGAACCATTTGTTGTTGATAATTTCTAATAACGTCGACAGCCTTGCGCAGCCGCAGCCCGGTAGGAGAAGATGGTGCTTATCAAGGAATAGTGAGTTGAACTATTTTAAATCTCATTTCGTCGTATGTTGATATGTAATTTATTAAGTCGATGAGACAACTACAAATGTTATTTCAAATTATTGCCACATGTCAGTGTTTGTGTATTTCTGGCAGTTGAGAGGATATTGTGAGCGTTCTGGTCCGGGTGGATCAGGATGTGGATTCATGATACCGGTGTTTAGGCCTAGACAGCAGCGATAGCTAACAAGGTTTGTAGCATGCTAGCTTTGAATGAATCTGAATTGAGAAAACTAGTTAGCTAACGGGCTAACTTTGTGTCTTTACACCTGTACATTCAGAATGGATGTTAACAAGCTAGTTAGCCAACATGGTGCCATACATTTAGGTAGGTCTCGTGAGTGACATATTATTAAGGTTCCATCTCCGGTGGGCTCGCGTTTAGACAAGAATAGATATTGTCAGTTAAATGTTTCTGCGCAATGGAAAAGACCATGCAATTCAAATGGCAGGTAATGCGGGACACAAACTACCACGTTACTTAACGTTAGTTAGCTAACTACTGTATCCAAGTAAATCGTTCACACGCTAGCTAGCACTCAAGCTAACTATCAGCTCGGGTGGCTAACATGCACCATGCATGACACTTAAGCTAATTACTACTAGCTAGGCCGTTATTTTTAGACCGTGTTGTGTTCAGCCTGTCTGTCCAGTCTTTCCTGGCGAAACATGCAAGTCGCAGAGGCTTAGCTCCGTCTGACTTCTCGGATACACGCGCGAATTCCCTGCCTGTTTTGTTCTAAATTTAACAGCTCAAGCTTGTTACTTCAGCTGCAGCAGTTTTCATGGCAACCAAATATCGCTAGCTACCAACCTTAAGTACAATGCCAATAAATCAGGCCCCCACGGCTGTTATCTTGCTTGATACAGTGAGTCTCATCATCATACCACCAAGCCAGCAATGTAATGCACAGACTGTATTGCTCAATGCTGTTTCATAAGTATCTCCTCTAAGAGCGTCTGCTAAATGACTAAAAATGTAAAAAAGAAGAAAAATGTGCGTCTTTAGCTGGCCAAGTAATTCCTGACCATGACTGTCCAAGCGTGTCATCCAGATTTGATTTATGGCTGTCTAGAATTAAATTGCTTCATACCCCTACAGACCCAGGCTCAAGTTGTGTGCTGTTGTTTTGCTCAGGGTGTCACAGGACACATCCCCTATCAGTTGTCAAGACAACTAAAGCGGTGCCTATTTCCTCTGAGGTTTATGGGTGGGGACAGAACAGTCAGCTGGTTTATCTGATACTCCCCTCAGGTGACACAGGAATGACACCACTGGGGACATGACTGAAAGATCAATACATCTATTTGCATTTTCCAAATGTCTTCCATGCAGCCGTCTCTGTGCTTTCCCATGTCATGTTTTATGATGTCTGTGGGAATTCGGTTACCATAGCTAGGGCTTGTAATTGCTCTAATATCTAGAACCAGTATGTTGTGTTGGCATAGTGCAGTGGGCACAGCAGTTTGTGTGTTTCATCAATTGACCTGGTGTGTAAAGCACAGCACACTATCAGAGTAAACTTAACATGTCTCTTTAACACTGAAATGTCAACCTGGAGAGTGTTACTGTGTTGGACTCGACTAACTTTGAATAACCTCTGAATTTTGTGGAGGATCGAGATTGACTCTCTCTTACCTATGACAGAATCGTGATTTGTTTCAGCCACTGCTTGGATTCTGTTTGTTTTTGAGAAATAAAAAGATACACTGTGGTTTGACTGCTTTCCATAAGGGTTTGGTTGGGAGTCGGCCAGTCGGGACTAACTTACCCTACATGGATTTGGAATATGGAGCTAAGAGAATGATATTCAGAGGATAAGTTGTGCTCGTCTCTTTGGCCCAGAAAGAGGCTTGTTCATATTGTTTAATGAGTGCTATTTTTTGGCGGGAATTTAGTAATTTTGACTAAAATATAAATTTGTCAGTTGAATAATGATTTAGTCAAGTTATTGTCAAAATGACACAGTGGGCCGTTTTAGTCAACTAAATGCCCTTTTCATTTTAGTCATCACATTTTTATTTCCTCATTTACCTATAGTAAACATAAAACACCAACTTCCATGTGCACAAACAGCCTTGTCCTACCAACATACTTTTCTGCATAACATCCTATCGCATGATTCTCTTCAAAAAGCCAATGGGCAGAAGAACACATTACTCAGCAGCAGATTAAAAATCACACCCCTTGACAGGGCTCCAGACTAACATTTTCCCCCGGTGGCACTGGTGCTCAGCATATTTACATTTACATTTTAGTCATTTAGCAGACGCTCTTATCCAGAGCGACTTACAGTTACTGAGTGCATACATTATTTTTAATTTTTTTCATACTGGCCCCCCGTGGGAATCGAACCCACAACCCTGGCGTTGCAAACACCATGCTCTACCAACTGAGCTACATCCCTGCCGGCCATTCCCTCCCCTACCCTGGACGACGCTGGGCCAATTGTGCGCCGCCTCATGGGTCTCCCGGTCGCGGTTAAGAGAATGCCAAGAGTGTGCAAAGGGTGGATATTAGAAGAATCTCAAATATAAAATATATTTTGATTTGTTTAACACCTTTTTGGTTACTACCTGATTCCATATGGGTTATTTCATAGTTTTGATGTATTCACTATTATTCTACAATGTAGAAAATAGTAAAAATAAAGAAAAACCCTTGAATGAGAAGGTGTCCAAACTTTTGACTGGTAGTGTATATATCAAATAATTGGCGAGGGCACTAGAACAGTGCAGCACCTGGCCTCACCCTACTAGAATCTGAAGTCAAGTTTCTACTGTTTGCTGATGATCTGGTTTTTCTGTCCCCAACCAAGGAGGGACTACAGCAGCACCTAGATCTTCTGCACAGATTCTGTCAGACCTGGGCCCTGACAGTAAATCTCAGTAAGACAAAAATAATGGTGTTCCAAAAAAGGTCCAGTTGCCAGGACCACAAATACAAATTCCATCTAGACACCGTTGCCTTGGAGCATACAAAAAACTATACCTCGGCCTAAACATCAGCGCCACAGGTAACTTCCACAAAGCTGTGAACGATCTTAGAGACAAGGCAAGAAGGGCCTTCTTTGCCATCAAAAGTAACATAAAATGTGACATACCAATTAGGATCTGGCTAAAAATACTTGAATCAGTTATAGAACCATTGCCCTTTATGGTTGTGAGGTGTCATCAACCAATAATTCACAAAATGGGACAAACACCAAATTGAGACTGCATGCATAATTCTGCAAAAAGATCCTCTGTGTACAATGTAAAACGCCAAATAATGCATGCAGAGCAGAATTAGGCCGATACCCGCTAATGATCTAAATCCAGAAAAGAGCCGTTAAATTCTACAACCACCTAAAAAGAATCGATTTCCAAACCTTCCATAACAAAGCCATCACCTACAGAGAGATTAACCTGGAGAAGAGTCCCCTAAACAAGCTGGGCCTGGGGCTCTGTTCACAAACACAAACAGACCCCACAGAGCCCCAGGACAGCAACAGAATTAGACCCAACCAAATCATGAGAAAACAAAAAGAGAATTACTTGACACATTGGAAAGAATTAACAAAAAAACAGAGCAAACTAGAATGATATTTGGCCCTAAACAGAGAGTACACCCAAAATTAAGGAAAGCTTTGACTATGTACAAACTGTGAGCCTTGCTATTAAGAAAGGTCGCCATAGGCAGACCTGGCTCTCGAGAAGACAGGCTATGTGCACACTGCCCACAAAATGAGGTGGAAACTGAGCTGCACTTCCTAACCTCCTGCCAAATGTATGACCATATTAGAGACACATATTTCCCTCAGATTACACAGACCCACAAAGAATTTGAAAACAAATCCAATTTTGATAAACTCCCATATCTATTTGGTGAAATACCACAGTGTGCAATCACAGCAGCAAGATGTGTGACCTGTTGCCACAAGAAAAGGGCAACCAGTGAAGAACAAACACCATTGTAAGTACAACCCATATTTATGTTTATTTATTTTCCCTTTTTTACTTTAACTATTTGCACATCTTTACAACACTGTATATAGACATAATATGACATTTGAAATGTATTTTTATTATTTTGGAACTTGTGTAAGTGTAATATTTACTGTTCACTTTTATTGTTTATTTAACTTTTGTTTATCCATTTCACTTGCTTTGGCAATGTAAACATATGTTTCCCATGTCAATAAAGCCCCTTGAATTTAATTTAATTTAATTGATATACTGTAGTTTCAGCAGAGCGGAAGAGGCGAAGCGAGAGGGCTCACTCTCGCCAAACTCTGTCCAGTATAAGCCCAATGCGTTTCTATGGGAATAATATGCAGACCTTTTCACCTGCCTTCCCTCTTTTGGGACAGAGCCTCCCATTGTTAGGGGGGAGACATGAGCAACTCGTCATATATAGATATCTGGTTTCAGCCTCTTGCGAATCGGAAAGGAAAGTTGTCGAGTGCGCTGTTAGGATGCTGGATTGCACTAAAGTAAATTGATGTTTCGCAAAATATATATAATTACTCATGTCAAAATAAAATCATTCAAAATACTTCACCAGGGAGCATGACTTATTCACAGAGCATAATTATCTTCTTGAAAGAAAATAGCAGTGGTTGTTTGAAATCACGTGTGTTTGGGTAGTGCGCGTGGCAATGGGTCTAGCTGATTGAGTTGCGGCTGTCAGTGAAAATCGTCTAAAATATGTGTTAAGATAATGTGTCTTGAGTATCATTTAAAATGTTGCATCAAGAATAAGGGGAGGTGTTGTGGCGAAGATATGGTACGTCTCTCTCCAGAATGCATGCATATGTAGGGAGTCCACATTTGGTAATTTCTGATTGTCTTAACTCACAACGTACACCACTAATTTGTTTCTTTGCCTCACACAACTCAACAAAGTCTGTTTTTGTTTTTACATCCATTGCGAATGATTTTCCCAACACTCCCGGCATCGAGCAAAATATATTAGGTTCTGATGATCCCATATATCCAGTGGAAACGTCATAAAAAAACTGCTTTCTGTCCCGAGCGCGCTGGCGCTGGAAACTTTTAGGGCCCAGAATAGGTTAGTTGATACAATGTTGCAAGTTCGTTAGCTACAGCTTCGTGCCGCACCCAGTGATAATTTCATACAATGTTGAACTTCACTATGAATAGCTCAAGTCAAGACCGATAGAAAGGGAGGCAGACAGGCGGAGAAGAGAGATGAATGTGATTGAAAGAACCGGTATTTTCATTAGGATATTTTCTACAGTAATTTTTTTTCGGCTTTAGGGATATGTATTTTACTTAGTTGACGATGGAAGTTATAGGCCTACTGCTGCATTAGCATATAGGCTATCTCGGAGTTCTATACGCTCATTTCTTTAGCCGCCAATGGACCACCGTGTATCGATGTGTCCATATGGCAGACGGTAGTGCTCTCGCCTTAGTTACATTTTAACTTTTAGATTTTTATAATTTTACTTCCGATTTTTATGATTAACCAAGTGACAATGATTGTGAGAAACGATAACTTTATTATTGAAATGAAACTGTTCCACGAAAATGTGCATATAAAAATATTCATAACTTGCACGCAGATCGGTAGAAATGGTAGGCTAAATTGTAAGCTTTCCCGAAACTTGAAACTCACGAGCTGCCTATGGTCTTTACTACTACACCCATTTAAAAAAATGCGTGCAGACATAGGAGGTCCGGTGAAAAAACGGGCCCACCTATGGAAATCAAAGGCAAGTCCAACTGATTCGTTATGGCGCCGGGTCAGATTCCCCCCCCCCCCCCCCCCCCCTGTCAGCTGTCTTCTCCGTGGATACGTTGCATTCGTTCTTATTTGAATCGCACGATAAGTAAAGTAGGTCCAAACGTTGCCCCTTTTTCTACCGGGAGCGTGTAACATGCACCGGGAGCGTAGCCATGGCGTGTGCCTTATTTGCATCACTGATGTGTTGTCGCCAGATTGGAGAACGGTTCAATCTCTCCAAAAACTCTTGTCCAGTCCATTTACTAGTCAGATTTGAGTAACAGATAATTTAGACTCGTTTTCGTCAACTGAACATTTTAATTATTTTCTGGTCAATTGCCACAGAAAAATAGATGTTTGACAAATATTTGTCATTTATTATTTTAATTTTATTTTTGCAATCCCATCAGGAAAGAAACTCTGTTTGGTAATGGTTTCTGCTGACTGTTCTTGAAGTGTGTGTTATTGTCTCTGTCCCTCTCTCAGGTCAGATAGTGAGGTATCACAATGGCATCCGGGAATGCTGCCTCACATTACTGTGGTTGTCAGGGTGAGGCGGGAGTGCTGCCTTACATTACTGTGGTTGTCCGGGTGAGGGGGGAGAATGCTGCCTCACATCACTGGTTGTCAGGGTGAGGAGGGAGTGCTGCCTCACATTACTGTGGTTGTCAGGGTGAGTGGGTGGGATTGCCTGAGTCACTGCTGTGGTTGTCAGGGTGGGGTGTGGTGTTGCCAGGGAAACTTCCTGTGATGTTTCTTCTAGGCAATGATGTAATTTCCCATATCTGGATATTGGCCTTCCTGTGCTCTAACATAGGTGGTTTTTTTTCTGGTCCTGACGAGAAAGAAAGAAAACTGTCGGGGTAGGTTCTCTTTTGCACTGTTCAACCAATCCAGTAAATGCGGATGAGGAGTTAAGATGGAGTGTCACCTTGTTAACATCCAAAAGCGAAGTCGTGTCACAGGCTCTCTTTCCATTTCCCCTGAAAACCCGATGCATCCGTTTGTTTCTGACCTCACTGAGGGTGCCTGTGCTCTGCCATCATAACTTCCTGTTGCCTTCCCTCCAGAGTCCTGACCCACACTGTGACAGGCTGTTGCTGTTCTGTAGTTACACCTGAGAGAACTGTGGTTACACGTGGCACAACTAGGCCTCTCCTGGACCTTGGAACCCAGACTAGAATAGATGGGTCTCTATCTCTCTCTCTGTGGGTGGGTGGATTCCATCTCTACTGTCTCATTCAGGGATTGGTGGGATTATGAGTGGGATTGTCTGGGTTTTGCTGGCTGGTTGTCCAGTTGGTCAGGGCCTTCAGTGTGAAGGAGGCATGCTAGGTCAATGGGCAATTCCACGGTAACAGAGTGGTCCTGAGACTCAGATTTTTCACTTTAAAATGTATGCCAAACAAAAACCAATGATTGCTAAGTTAAACTAACTATACAACTCTATGCAAAATTACAACTTTTAACAATTTCCAGTGAAAATGATACAAAAACACATTAACTTGAAGAACAGTACAGATGCAAAGTTTGTTAACAGAACACAAAACCATCATTCTGGTACCCAACTTTTGCATCTGCACTGTTCAAGTAATGTGTTTTTGTAAAAATGTCTGTGGAAATTGTTAAAAGTAGTCCTTGTACATAGTTGTATGGTTTGTTTAACTTTGCAATCATTCGTTTTTGTTTGGCATACATTTTAAAGTGAAAAATCAGTCTCAGCATCACTCCATTCCATGGTTACTGTGGAATTGCCCCTATACTATAGATCGAAATGGAGGCATTTACTAAAGAAAAGGCTGTACACGGTATATGCTGCCCCCCGTGCTTTACATATGGAGGAAGCTGCTATAGGAGGCAAGGTATATGGAGGAAGCAGCTATCGGCCTAGGTTATAAGGTTAGGTGATATAGCTTGGATGTAAACTCATCCCTGAAGGGCCTAAACACTGGAAAGCACTGTGTAGGCCCATCTCTTCAACCCCCCAGAACAAGCCGAATGAGGACCCAAACGAAATGTTAAACTGTGTGGAGAAATTGTCAGTTCATTGTAGTTCCTCCCTATTACAGTATGTTCAGCTCATTGGTCTGGATGATGAAGAACAGACAAGTCTCACTATGTGTGGGGTTTTTGGCTCTGGTTGAACTCAGCCAATTCAGGCTGAGGTGTGCAGGTTGACATTTATTGGGTTAATAATATGCCATTTAGCAGACGCTTTTATCCAAAGCGACTTACAGTCATGTGTGCATACATTTTTACGTATGGGTGGTCCCGGGGATTGAACCCACTACCCTGGCGTTACAAGCGCCATGCTCTACCAATTGAGCTACAGAGGACCAATCTTGACTTGAATCTTGTCTTGGCTAATCGTAAAAAAATCATGAAAACAAAACATAGCTTTTTGGTTTTAATTTAAGGTAAGGCATAAGGTTAGCAGTGTGGTTAGGGTTAGATTTGAGAACTTTGTGGCTAGGCCAGCTAGTGACCACCCTGCAGAGCTGCCTCCAGGACAAGATTCCTCCCAATAAATGCCAACCTGCCTGAGGCATGGGTTGTGGTGTGGTAGTGTACTGCAAGGGCCCCTTGCATGGTTTTTGGTCTCTTTGGTCTTTGTTTTCTTATGTTGGCTGATGTTTTTTTTCTTACTCTCTCTCTCACAGCCGTGTGATCCTACCGATCTCTGTGCAAGAGGTGAGTAACACCATGTCATAACCCACACCAACCCAATTTTTGTGTTAGTTTCCTGTTTTCATGCATGCAAGTCTGTACATGCATGAAAGCAGGTCATACAGTGGGGGAAAAAAGTATTTAGTCAGCCACCAATTGTGCAAGTTCTCCCACTTAAAAAGATGAGAGAGGCCTGTAATTTTCATCATCGGTACATGTCAACTATGACAGACAATGAGAAAAAAAATCCAGAAAATCACATTGTAGGATTTTTAATGAATTTATTTGCAAATTATGGTGGAAAATAAGTATTTGGTCAATAACAAAAGTTTCTCAATACTTTGTTATATACCCTTTGTTGGCAATGACACGGGTCAAACGTTTTCTGTAAGTCTTCACAAGGTTTTCACACACTGTTGCTGGTATTTTGGCCCATTCCTCCATGCAGATCTCCTCTAGAGCAGTGATGTTTTGGGGCTGTCGCTGGGCAACACAGACTTTCAACTCCCTCCAAAGATTTTCTATGGGGTTGAGATCTGGAGACTGGCTAGGCCACTCCAGGACCTTGAAATGCTTCTTACGAAGCCACTCCTTCGTTGCCCGGGCGGTGTGTTTGGGATCATTGTCATGCTGAAAGACCCAGCCACGTTTCATCTTCAATGCCCTTGCTGATGGAAGGAGGTTTTCACTCAAAATCTCACGATACATGGCCCCATTCATTCTTTCCTTTACACGGATCAGTCGTCCTGGTCCCTTTGCAGAAAAACAGCCCCAAAGCATGATGTTTCCACCCCCATGCTTCACAGTAGGTATGGTGTTCTTTGGATGCAACTCAGCATTATTTGTCCTCCAAACACGACGAGTTTAGTTTTTACCGAAAAGTTCTATTTTGGTTTCATCTGACCATATGACATTCTCCCAATCCTCTTCTGGATCATCCAAATGCACTCTAGCAAACTTCAGACGGGCCTGGACATGTACTGGCTTAAGCAGGGGGATACGTCTGGCACTGCAGGATTTGAGTCCCTGGCGGCGTAGTGTGTTACTGATGGTAGGCTTTGTTACTTTGGTCCCAGCTCTCTGCAGGTCATTCACTAGGTCCCCCCGTGTGGTTCTGGGATTTTTGCTCACCGTTCTTGTGATCATTTTGACCCCACGGGGTGAGATCTTGCGTGGAGCCCCAGATCGAGGGAGATTATCAGTGGTCTTGTATGTCTTCCATTTCCTAATAATTGCTCCCACAGTTGATTTCTTCAAACCAAGCTGCTTACCTATTGCAGATTCAGTCTTCCCAGCCTGGTGCAGGTCTACAATTTTGTTTCTGGTGTCCTTTGACAGCTCTTTGGTCTTGGCCATAGTGGAGTTTGGAGTGTGACTGTGTGAGGTTGTGGACAGGTGTCTTTTATACTGATAACAAGTTCAAACAGGTGCCATTAATACAGGTAACGAGTGGAGGACAGAGGAGCCTCTTAAAGAAGTTGTTACAGGTCTGTTAGAGCCAGAAATCTTGCTTGTTTGTAGGTGACCAAATACTTATTTTCCACCATAATTTGCAAATAAATTCATTAAATATCCTACAATGTGATTTTCTGGAATTTTTTTTCTCATTTTGTCTCTCATAGTTGACGTGTACCTATGATGAAAATTACAGGCCTCTCTCATCTTTTTAAGTGGGAGAACTTGCACAATTGGTGGCTGACTAAATACTTTTTTTCCCCACTGTAAATGCTGTTTGCCTTGATAATACCTTGCAGCTATTTGTCACAGACATGTCTTTCTCTCCACTGCATTCCATTTCCCCTTATTTCTCTGGGTCATGCTGCCGTCAGTGTTTTAACTCCAGCCTTGAGAGATGTGATGTAACAGCAGCAGCAGCCCATAAAGGTTTTAGTGCAGTAAACTGTGTGACAGCTGTAAAGTCACCAGCCGGGAGGGGTCCATTTATCCTGACAGTGAAGGCTATTTACCCAAAGAGTCAGGCTCTACTAACTGAAGGAGATGATTCAATCACCTCACTTCTATGTAAAGATTTACCTCAGGGCGGCAGGTATCCTAGCGGTTAAGAGAGTTGGGCAAATAACCGAAAGGTCGCTGGTTCGAATCCCAGAGTCAATTAGGTGAAAAATCTGTCTATGTTCCTTTGAGCAAGGCACTTAACCCTAATTGCTCCTGTAAGTCACTGTGGATAAGAGCGTCTGCTAAATGACTAAAATGTCAAATGTGCGGTTGTAATTCCAACTACTGTTTGTAGTTAAATATATTCATGATATGGAGTAAGTTGGGCTTTATTGATCCCCAGGCAGAGTTGTAGATGTTCATATAAAATTCCATTAGTCTAACTGTTTGCCTGGCTTCCCCGTTACCTTTAGATGAGCCCAGGGTATCAAGCAAAGCATTAGATTTATAGTGTTGTAAATTAATTTCAGCCACCAGCAATTCACACCTAGGTGTTAAGCCTGCCTCTGACCTTTGTGTGTTTAGACTCTAGAGAAACAGTAGCTCTGTGACTGGGACTGATGACCCCAGCCTGTAGAACAGCAGGTCAGACTTGATAAGATGCTGCAGAATGCTCTCTATCTATCTTCCTCCCTCCCTCTCTCTAGCTTCCTTCCTTCCTCCCTCTCTCTCCCTTGGAATCAATACCAAACTAACCCATGGTTCCAGTTTATCTGAGAACCTCTGTTCATCATCTCTTGTTTTCTTTCTTTCTTGTTTTCTTTCTTTCTTGTTTTCTTTCTTTCTTGTTTTCTTTCTTGTTTTCTTTCTTGTTTTCTTGTTTTCTTTCTTGTTTTCTTTCTTGTTTTCTTTCTTGTTTTCTTTCTTTCTTGTTTTCTTTCTTTCTTTCTTGTTTTCTTGTTTTCTTTCTTTCTTTCTTGTTTTCTTTCTTGTTTTTTTTCTTTCTTTCTTTCTTTCTTTCTTTCTTTAGGATCTGTCAGTGGTTAGCTGAATTGATTTGTGCTAGAGTGACACTGATGTTAAATTTTAGTCATTTAGCAGATGCTCTTATCCAGAGCGACTTACAGTTAATATATACACTGCTCAAAAAAATAAAGGGAACACTTAAACAACACAATGTAACTCCAAGTCAATCACATTTCTGTGAAATCAAACTGTCCACTTAGGAAGCAACACTGATTGACAATACATTTCACATGCTGTTGTGCAAATGGAATAGATAACAGGTGGAAATTATAGGCAATTAGCAAGACACCCCCAATAAAGGAGTGGTTCTGCAGGTGGTGACCACAGACCACTTCTCAGTTCCTATGCTTCTTGGCTGATGTTTTGGTCACTTTTGAATGCTGGCGGTGCTTTCACTCTAGTGGTAGCATGAGACGGAGTCTACAACCCACACAAGTGGCTCAGGTAGTGCAGCTCATCCAGGATGGCACATCAATGCGAGCTGTGGCAAAAAGGTTTGCTGTGTCTGTCAGCGTAGTGTCCAGAGCATGGAGGCGCTACCAGGAGACAGGCCAGTACATCAGGAGACGTGGAGGAGGCCGTAGGAGGGCAACAACCCAGCAGCAGGACCGCTACCTCCGCCTTTGTGCAAGGAGGAGCAGGAGGAGCACTGCCAGAGCCCTGCAAAATGACCTCCAGCAGGCCACAAATGTGCATGTGTCTGCTCAAACGGTCAGAAACAGACTCCATGAGGGTGGTATGAGGGCCCGACGTCCACAGGTGGGGGTTGTGCTTACAGCCCAACACCGTGCAGGACGTTTGGCATTTGCCAGAGAACACCAAGATTGGCAAATTCGCCACTGGCGCCCTGTGCTCTTCACAGCATGACTGGTTTGGCGGTGGGTCAGTCATGGTGTGGGGTGGCATTTCTTTGGGGGGCCGCACAGCCGTCCATGTGCTAGCCAGAGGTAGCCTGACTGCCATTAGGTACCGAGATGAGATCCTCAGACCCCTTGTGAGACCATATGCTGGTGCGGTTGGCCCTGGGTTCCTCCTAATGCAAGACAATGCTAGACCTCATGTGGCTGGAGTGTGTCAGCAGTTCCTGCAAGAGGAAGGCATTGATGCTATGGACTGGCCCGCCCGTTCCCCAGACCTGAATCCAATTGAGCACATCTGGGACATCATGTCTCGCTCCATCCCCCAACGCCACGTTGCACCACAGACTGTCCAGGAGTTGGCGGATGCTTTAGTCCAGGTCTGGGAGAAGATCCCTCAGGAGACCATCCGCCACCTCATCAGGAGCATGCCCAGGCGTTGTAGGGAGGTCATACAGGCACGTGGAGGCCACACACACTACTGAGCCTCATTTGGACTTGTTTTAAGGACATTACATCAAAGTTGGATCAGCCTGTAGTGTGGTTTTCCACTTTAATTTTGAGTGTGACTCCAAATCCAGACCTCCATGGGTTGATACATTTGATTTCCATTGATAATTTTTGTGTGATTTTGTTGTCAGCACATTCAACTATGTAAAGAAAAAAGTATTTAATAAGATTATTTCATTCATTCAGATCTAGGATGTGTTATTTTAGTGTTCCCTTAATTTTTTTGAGCAGTGTATATGTATGTGTGTATACAGTCGTGGTCAAACATTTTGAGAATGACACAAATACTAATTTTCACAAAGTCTGCTGCCTCAGTTTTGATGATGGCAATTTGCATATACTCCAGAATGTCATGAAGAGTGATCAGATGAATTGCAATTAATTGCAAAGTCCCTCTTTGCCATAAATGAACTTAATCACCAAAAAACATTTCCACTGCATTTCAGCCCTGCCACAAAAGGACCAGCTGCCATCATGTCAGTGATTCTCTCGTTAACACATGTGAGAGTGTTGACTAGGACAAGGCTGGAGATCACTCTGTCTTGCTGATTGAGTTAGAATAACAGACTGGAAGCTTTAAAAGGAGGGTGGTGCTTGAAATCATTATTCTTCCTCTGTTAACCATGGTTACCTGCAAGGAAACACGTGCCGTCATCATTGCTTTGCACAAAAAGGGCTTCACAGGCAAGGATATTGCTGCTAGTAAGATTGCACCTAAATCAACCATTTATCGGATCATCAAGAACTTCAAGGAGAGAGGTTCAATTGTTGTGAAGAAGGTGTCAGGGTGCCCAAGAAAGTCCAGCAAGCACCAGGACCGTCTCCTAAAGTTGATTCAGCTGCGGGATCGGGGCACCACCAGTGCAGAGCTTGCTCAGGAATGGCAGCAGGCAGGTGTGAGTGCATCTGCACGCACAGTGAGGCGAAGACTTTTGGAGGATGGTCTGGTGTCAAGAAGGGCAGCAAAGAAGCCACTTCTCTCCAGGAAAAACATCAGGGACAGACTGATATTCTGCAAAAGGTACAGGGATTGGACTGCTGAGGACTGGGGTAAAGTCATTTTCTCTGATGAATCCCCTTTCCGATTGTTTGGGGCATCCGGAAAACACCTTGTCCGGAGAAGACAAGGTGAGCGCTACCATCAGTCCTGTGTCATGCCAACAGTAAAGCATCCTGAGACCATTCATGTGTGGGGTTGCTTCTCAGCCAAGGGAGTGGGCTCACTCACAATTTTGCCTAAGAACACAGCCATGAATAAAGAATGGTACCAACACATCCTCAGAGAGAAACTTCTCCCAACCATCCAAGAACAGTTTGGTGACGACCAATGCCTTTTCCAGCATGATGGAGCACCTTGCCATAAGGCAAAAGTGATAACTAAGTGGCTCGGGGAACAAAACATCGAAATTTTGGGTCCATGGCCAGGAAACTCCCCAGACCTTAATCCCATTGAGAACTTGTGGTCGATCCTCAAGAGGCGGGTGGACAAACAAAACCCCACAAATTCTGACAAACTCCAAGCATTGATTATGCAAGAATGGGCTGCCATCAGTCAGGATTTGGCCCATAAGTTAATTGACAGCATGCCAGGGCAGATTGCAGAGGTCTTGAAAAGAAGGGTCAACACTGCAAATATTGACTCTTTGCATAAACTTATTGTGATTGTCAATAAAAGCCTTTGACACTTAAGGAATGCTTGTAATTATACTTCAGTATACCATAGTAACATCTGACAAAAATATCTCATAACACTGAAGCAGCAAACTTTGTGAAGACCAATACTTGTGTCATTCTTAAATCTTTTGACCACAACATTTACATTTTAGTCATTTTAGCAGACGCTCTTATCCAGAGCGACTTACAGTTAGTGAATGCATACATTATTTTTTCATACTGGCCATGCTCTACCAACTGAGCTACATCCCTGCCGGCCATTCCCTCCCCTACCCTGGACGACGCTGGGCCAATTGTGCCCTGCCCCATGGGCCTTAGACCACTGCGCCACTCGGGAGATGACTGTGTGTATGTGTATATACACGACTGTGTGTGTGTGTGTGTGTGTGTATGTATGTATATATATATATATATATATATATATATATATATATATATATATATACACACACACACACACAGTGAGGGGTGGAAAAGTATTTGATCCCCTGCTGATTTTGTACGTTTGCCCACTGACAGGCATGATCAGTCTATAATTTTAATGGTAGGTTTATTTGAACAGTGAGAGACAGAATAACAACAAAATAATCCAGAAAAACGCATGTCAAAAATGTTATAGATTGAGTTGCATTTTAAATGATGGAAATAAGAATTTGACCCCTCTGCAAAACATTACTTAGTACTTGGTGGAAAAACCCTTGTTGGCAATCACAGAGGTATTTGACCCCCTCTCAATCAGAAAGATTTCTGGCTCCCAGGTGTCTTTTCTACAGGTAACGAGGTGAGATTAGGAGCACACTCTCACAATGTGATTTTCTGGATTTTTTTCCCTCATTTTGTCTGTCATAGTTGACGTGTACCTATGATGAAAATTACAGGCCTCTCTCATCTTTTTAAGTTGGAGAACTTGCACAATTGGTGGCTGACTAAATACTTTTTTCCCCCACTGTAAATATGTGTGTGTGTGTGTATATGTATATATATATATATATATATATATATATATATACATACATACATACATACATACATACATACATACATACATACATACATACATACATACATACATACATACATACATACATACATACATACATACATACATACATACATACATACATACATACATACAGTGGGGAAAAAAAGTATTTAGTCAGCCACCAATTGTGCAAGTTCTCCAACATAAAAAGATGAGAGAGGCCTGTAATTTTTATCATAGGTACACGTCAACTGTGACAGACAAAATGAGAAAGAAAATCACATTGTAGGATTTTTAATGAATTTATTTGCAAATTATGGTGGAAAATAAGTATTTGGTCAATAACAAAAGTTTCTCAATACTTTGTTATATACCCTTTGTTGGCAATGACACAGGTCAAACGTTTTCTGTAAGTCTTCACAAGGTTTTCACACACTGCAGCAGGGATTTTGGCCCCTCCTCCATACAGACCTTCTCCAGATCCTTCAGGTTTTGGGGCTGTCGCTGGGCAACACGGACTTTCAACTCCCTCCAAAGATTTTCTATGGGGTTGAGATCTGGAGACTGGCTAGGCCACTCCAGGACCTTGAAATGCTTCTTACGAAGCCACTCCTTTGTTGCCCGGGCGGTGTGTTTGGGATCATTGTCATGCTGAAAGACCCAGCCACGTTTCATCTTCAATGCCCTTGCTGATGGAAGGAGGTTTTCACTCAAAATCTCACGATACATGGCCCCATTCATTCTTTCCTTTACACGGATCAGTCGTCCTGGTCCCTTTGCAGAAAAACAGCCCCAAAGCATGATGTTTCCACCCCCATGCTTCACAGTAGGTATGGTGTTCTTTGGATGCAACTCAGCATTCTTTGTCCTCCAAACACGACGAGTTGAGTTTTTACCAAAAAGTTATATTTTGGTTTCATCTGACCATATGACATTCTCCCAATCCTCTTCTGGATCATCCAAATGCACTCTAGCAAACTTCAGACGGGCCTGGACATGTACTGGCTTAAGTAGGGGGACACGTCTGGCACTGCAGGATTTGAGTCCCTGGCGGCGTAGTGTGTTACTGATGGTAGGCTTTGTTACTTTGGTCCCAGCTCTCTGCAGGTCATTCACTAGGTCCCCCCGTTTGGTTCTGGGATTTTTGCTCACTGTTCTTGTGATCATTTTGACCCCACGGGGTGAGATCTTGCGTGGAGCCCCAGATCGAGGGAGATTATCAGTGGTCTTGTATGTCTTCCATTTCCTAATAATTGCTCCCACAGTTGATTTCTTCAAACCAAGCTGCTTACCTATTGCAGATTCAGTCTTCCCAGCCTGGTGCAGGTCTACAATTTTGTTTCTGGTGTCCTTTGACAGCTCTTTGGTCTTGGCCATAGTGGAGTTTGGAGTGTGACTGTTTGAGGTTGTGGACAGGTGTCTTTTATATTGATAACAAGTTCAAACAGGTGCCATTAATACAAGTAACGAGTGGAGGACAGAGGAGCCTCTTAAAGAAGAAGTTACAGGTCTGTGAGAGCCAGAAATCTTGCTTGTTTGTAGGTGACCAAATACTTATTTTCCACCATAATTTGCAAATAAATTCATTAAAAATCCTACAATGTGATTTTCTGGATTTTTTTCCCTCAATTTGTCTGTCATAGTTGACGTGTACCTATGATGAAAATTACAGGCCTCTCTCATCTTTTTAAGTGGGAGAACTTGCACAATTGGTGGCTGACTAAATACTTTTTTTCCCCACTGTACGTACGTACGTACATACATACATACATACATACATACATACATACATACATACATACATACATACATACATACATACATACATACATACTGTGGGGAGAACAAGTATTTGATACACTGCCAATTTTGCAGGTTTTCCTACTTACAAAGCATGTAGAGGACTGTAATTTTTTATCATAGGTACACTTCAACTGTGAGAGATGGAATCTAAAACAAAAATCCAGAAAATCACATTGTATGATTTTTAAGTAATTAATTTGCATTTTATTGCATGACATAAGTATTTGATCACCTACCAACCAGTAAGAATTCCGGCTCTCACAGACCTGTTAGTTTTTCTTTAAGAAGCCCTCCTGTTCTCCACTCATTACCTGTATAAAAGACACCTGTCCACACACTCAATCAAACAGACTTCAACCTCTACACAATGGCCAAGACCAGAGAGCTGTGTAAGGACATCAGGGATAAAATTGTAGACCTGCATAAGGCTGGGATGGGCTACAGGACAATAGGCAAGCAGCTTGGTGAGAAGGCAACAACTGTTGGCACAATTATTAGAAAATGGAAGAAGTTCAAGATGACGGTCAATCACCCTCGGTCTGGGGCTCCATGCAAGATCTCACCTCGTGGGGCATCAATGATCGTGAGGAAGGTGAAGGATCAGCCCAGAACTACACGGCAGGACCTGGTCAATGACCTGAAGAGAGCTGGGACCACTTAGTAACACACTACGCCGTCATGGATTAAAATCCTGCAGCGCACGCAAGGTCCCCCTGCTCAAGCCAGCGCATGTCCAGGCTCGTCTGAAGTTTGCCAATGACCATCTGGATGAACCAGAGGAGGAATGGGAGAAGGTCATGTGGTCTGATGAGACAAAAATAGAGCTTTTTGGTCTAAACTCCACTCGCCGTGTTTGGAGGAAGAAGAAGGATGAGTACAACCCCAAAAACACCATCCCAACCGTGAAGCATGGAGGTGGAAACATCATTCTTTGGGGATGCTTTTCTGCAAAGGGGACAGGACGACTGCACCGTATTGAGGGGAGGATGGATGGGGCCAGATCTTGGCCAACAACCTCCTTCCCTCAGTAAGAGCATTGAAGATGGGTCGTGGCTGGGTGTTCCAGCATGACAATGACCCAAAACACACAGCCAGGGCAACTAAGGAGTGGCTCCATAAGAAGCATCTCAAGGTCCTGGAGTGGCCTAGCCAGTCTCCAGACCTGAACCCAATAGAACATCTTTGGAGGGAGCTGAAAGTCCGTATTGCCCAGCGACAGCCCCGAAACCTGAAGGATCTGGAGAAGGTCTGTATGGAGGAGGGTCCAAAATCCCTGCTGCAGTGTGTGCAAATCTGGTCAAGACCTACAGGAAACGTATGATCTCTGTAATTGCAAACAAAGGTTTCTGTACCAAATATTAAGTTCTGCTTTTCTGATGTATCAAATACTTATGTCATGCAATAAAATGCAAATTAATTACTTAAATCATACAATGTGATTTTCTGGATTTTTGTTTTAGATTCTGTCTCTCACAGTTGAAGTGTACCTATGATAAAAAAATTACAGACCTCTACATGCTTTGTAAGTAGGAAAACCTGCAAAATCGGCAGTGTATCAAATACTTGTTCTCCCCACTGTGTGTATATATATATGTGTGTATATATATATATATATGTGTATATATGACATGTTTCTCTGTTCTCTCTCTGTGTTGCAGTACCAAGTTGGTCAGCTGTTCACCGTAGCAGAGGCCAGTAAGAATGAGACTGGGGGAGGAGAAGGCATTGAGGTGCTGATAAATGAACCCTACGAGGAAGAGGGAGAGAAGGGACAGTACACGCATAAAGTTTACCATCTTAAGAGGTACAGTAGAACATTCACACAAACATACATCTGCCAGCTAAGAGATCCATACACTGGGCGAGGATGAAGAGGAGAATACAGATGCACCCACATACACACTAAGGCAGGGTTTCCCAAACTCGGTCCTGGGTGCATGTTTTGTTTTTTTCCCTAGCACTACACAGCTGAGTCAAATAATCAAAGCTTGTTGACGAGTTGGTTATTTGAATCAGCTGTGTAGTGTTTGGGCAAAAACCAAAACGTGCACCAAGGGTGGGCCCCAGGACCGAGTTTGGGGAAACCCTGCACAAAGGCAGTGGTCCTCTGTAGCTCAGCTGGTAGAGCACGGCGCTTGTAACGCCAAGGTAGTGGGTTCGATCCCCGGGACCACCCATACACAAAAATGTATGCACGCATGACTGTAAGTCGCTTTGGATAAAAGCGTCTGCTAAATGGCATATTATTATATTATAAGGCTGCATTTACAGGCAGCCCAATTCTGATATTTTGCCTAATTGACCATTCGCTAAGCCACGCCCCAGAATTGTGGGCAACCACGCTTGAGTCCACTCGCCTCGGATAAGCTCTAGTTTCAAACGCATGGAGGGCAATGGGAAAAAGTTTTGTTTAAATGGCTAAATAATGTAACAGTACACCAGGGGTACTTGCGACTGTGATTCCTGAATTTCAGAGCCTGATGGAATATTTTTAGAATCTGAATTGACACTTTTGTTGCATTGTTTGCTAGCTGGTTAGCTAGCTCTGTCTCATTGACCACCATTAAAACATTGCTAACACTAGCTAGCTAGCCAGTTAATATAACTTGTTTTCCCCAAATGTATGTAATCTGTTTTCGACGTCAGGATACGATTTGAGATTACTAGTTGGCTCCAAAAGTGGTTAGTAACTTTGACTGCATGCTGACAGCACATTCCAAGCCATCCAGTGGCTAGCCACACAAAAATAAATTTTACCAGGTTCATGTGAAGCAATTGTAATGACAGTCCACCACAACATACCCGAGAGTCTCCTGATTAGCAAGGGGTGGTCTGTTTAATTTCATTGTGTGTTAAAAACACTGTTTGAGGTCATTGTGAGGGTTTCTCTCCAGACGTTTGAATGGGGAATTGAGCTTCCCGGGAAAATGTTGACTGAGGTAGTGACGACAACCAAGGGGGCGGGGCTTAGTGAAGGGTCAATTATTGACAAAAGAGCAGATCTGATTGGTCGAAAGATCCGAGTTGGACTGCCTGTGTAAACACAGCCATACACACTCAGATGATTGACTCCTGTCTGTCTCTCCTTGCAGTAAAGTCCCAGGCTGGTTGAGGTATATTGCACCAGAGGGAGCGTTAGTCTTCCATGAAAAAGCCTGGAACGCCTACCCATACTGTCGCACCGGTGAGCACCAGAACTCTTGTTTAAACACTCAATTGAGCCCATCTCTGATTGGGACTGGCTTGCCAGAAGATACCGACCCTACTGTTACGTTTGTTTACAATCAGCTGCACTGGGGTCGGAACGCAATCGTGGTTGCATTAAGACACTGGAGCCGGCGCAAGCTATGGGTCAGAAAACGTACCTCAATGCAGGGATGGGCTATGCCACTGTACTCCAAATTGTACCTTTATGCACACTGCTCCATCAAGAAGAAAAACTGCCTTTTTCATCCTCATGCTAGCTAGCAGTAGCCACAGCAGCCATTATGGAATGGCAGGTCGCGTTGAACAACAAAGGAGCTAATTGGCCGACACTGCCATTCCAAAATGATAGCAGTATTTCAATCTTCTCGATGTACAGTGGGGGAAAAAAAGTATTTAGTCAGCCACCAATTGTGCAAGTTCTCCCACTTAAAAAGATGAGAGGCCTGTAATTTTCATCATAGGTACACGTCAACTATGACAGACAAATTGAGAAAAGAAAATCCAGAAAATCACATTGTAGGATTTTTTATGAATTTATTTGCAAATGATGGTGGAAAACAAGTATTTGGTCACCTACAAACAAGCAAGATTTCTGGCTCTCACAGACCTGTAACCTCTTCTTTAAGAGGCTCCTCTGTCTTCCACTCGTTACCTGTATTAATGGCACCTGTTTGAACTTGTTATCAGTATAAAAGACACCTGTCCACAACCTCAAACAGTCACACTCCAAACTCTAATATGGCCAAGACCAAAGAGCTGTCAAAGGACACCAGAATCAAAATTGTAGACCTGCACCAGGCTGGGAAGACTGAATCTGCAATAGGTAAGCAGCTTGGTTTGAAGAAATCAACTGTGGGAGCAATTATTAGGAAATGGAAGACATACAAGACCACTGATAATCTCCCTCGATCTGGGGCTCCACGCAAGATCTCACCCCGTGGGGTCAAAATGATCACAAGAACGGTGAGCAAAAATCCCAGAACCACACGGGGGGACCTAGTGAATGACCTGCAGAGAGCTGGGACCAAAGTAACAAAGCCTACCATCAGTAACACACTACGCCGCCAGGGACTCAAATCCTGCAGTGCCAGACGTGTCCCCCTGCTTAAGCCAGTACATGTCCAGGCCCGTCTGAAGTTTGCTAGAGTGCATTTGGATGATCCAGAAGAGGATTGGGAGAATGTCATATGGTCAGATGAAACCAAAATAGAACTTTTTGGTAAAAACTCAACTCGTCGTGTTTGGAGGACAAAGAATGCTGAGTTGCATCCAAAGAACACCATACCTACTGTGAAGCATGGGGGTGGAAACATCATGCTTTGGGGCTGTTTTTCTGCAAAGGGACCAGGACGACTGATCCGTGTAAAGGAAAGAATGAATGGGGCCATGTATCGTGAGATTTTGAGTGAAAACCTCCTTCCATCAGCAAGGGCATTGAAGATGAAACGTGGCTGGGTCTTTCAGCATGACAATGATCCCAAACACACCGCCCGGGCAATGAAGGAGTGGCTTCGTAAGAAGCATTTCAAGGTCCTTGAGTGGCCTAGCCAGTCTCCAGATCTCAACCCCATAAAAAATCTTTGGAGGGAGTTGAAAGTCCGTGTTGCCCAGCGACAGCCCCAAAACATCACTGCTCTAGAGGAGATCTGCATGGAGGAATGGGCCAAAATACCAGCAACAGTGTGTGAAAACCTTGTGAAGACTTACAGAAAACGTTTGACCTGTGTCATTGCCAACAAAGGGTATATAACAAAGTATTGAGAATCTTTTGTTATTGACCAAATACTTATTTTCCACCATAATTTGCAAATAAATTCATTAAAAATCCTACAATGTGATTTTCTGGAATTTTTTTTCTCATTTTGTCTGTCATAGTTGACGTGTACCTATGATGAAAATTACAGGCCTCTCATCTTTTTAAGTGGGAGAACTTGCACAATTGGTGGCTGACTAAATACTTTTTTTCCCCACTGTATCAGTGTGGATAAAGGTACAATTTGGAGTACAGTGGCATATCCTATCCCTGCATTGAGGTACGTTTTCCGACCCATATCTTGCACTGGCTTCACGGTGTCTTAATGTAATCCATGATTGCGTTCCGACCCCAGTGCAGCTCAGCGTTAACAAGCATAATGGTAGGGTCGGCATCTTCTGGCAAGGTACTGGCCTACATTTGTAATTTGTCACTGATTATTTTATTGAAAGTAAACTGTTTCCTTTTTTTTCTGTTGCTTGTTTTCTCCATCTGCGGCAGTTATAACGGTGAGTAGTGAGTGAACTGACACACACACAAACACATGCACACTGGGGGCGGCAGGTGGCCTAGCAGCGGTTAAGAGCATTGGGCCAGTTACGGAAAGGTCGCTGGCTCGAATCCCTGAGCCGGCAAGGTGGGAAAGTCTGCTGTTCTGCCCTTGAGCAAGGCAGTTAATCCCCAACAACAACTGATCCCTGGGCGCCGATGACGTCGATTAAGGCAGCCCCCTGCACCTCTCTGATTCAGAGGGGTTGGGTTAAATGCGGAAGACACATTTTGGTTGAATGCGTTCAGTTGTGCAACTGACTAGGTATCCCCCTTTCCCATATTCCCCCAGCCATTGTCTGTGTGGGATAGTTTTGTTGTGTGAATGGATTTGAGACACTCAATCCCATTAGTGGCTTCTATAGCGTGGTGGTGTTGTGTAGCTAGCTATGTTGCTAATAATATCACGCCACAGTTAGCTAGGCAGAGTGAAGTAGTGCACTAACCAGCTGTGTCGTTTTAGCCTGTTGAGGAAAACTCGTTTGAGGAATTAGGCAGAACTCACTTATCAGCATTAAACATTTTATTCTAGCAATTGCAAGGAAGATCACTCTCTCAGGATGATCCCGTAGAAACCTTCAGGACATACCGTAAAGGAACTCTCAGGATTTACCAGAAAGGATCTCTCAGGATATACCGGAGAGGATCTCAAAAATGTTACAATCACACACTCTTTATATAGTTCATCTACACAAAGAACTGCTTACCCCTCCAAGGGGGAGGCAAGCTTACAAAAGAGATAAGGGGTAATTGGCTCCACTTCCTTAGAAGAATAATACAAATGAGACCGGTTCTAACCAGTTCTCACAGCCTGTCTCAGATAGAGGAGTGATAGGATCTTTAAAGCCTAACCAGAGGAAACTAGATTTCCGCCTAGCTAGGTTTTTAGCGCCCGAAAGATGAGCCAGTAATAAATCACAGGTGTGGAAAATTACCAGTGACTAGTACTATTCAACTCAAGCATTTACAGTACATACTGTAGCATTAGACTGTAACAAAACCATTTTGCACCCACAAGCCCAAACAGCTAATCGGTTAATTAGCTTAGCTGTGGAGTTTAAATAGGCCTTAGGCCTCCCAGGACTCCATTCAAGGCTTTCTCAGTATGAGATTCCCATTGGTTCTCCATTCAAGGCATTCTCAAGCTTGCCATTGGCTGACATTTTAAGGCTACTATATAGAGGAAGTGAACACTAAAGCCTTCTAGGAATTCGTTTTCTTCCCACCACAGAATCCATAGAATCAGCTTATCAAAAATGTGGAATGGTACACCCAACATGGCCGCCGTCCCGACCCAGATCGGATGGGATTAATTTATGCTTTGCCAGATTAAAACATTGACAGAGATTTGATTTGTCTCCTGTTCTTTCTTTGCTCACTTCTCTTCTCTATTTTCCTCTACTACCAGAACGAGTATATGAAAGATGACTTCCTGATAAAGATTGAGACGTGGCACAAACCTGACATGGGAACTCTAGAAAACGTGCATGACTTGGATGGTCCTACGTGGAAGACAGTGGAGGTGATTCCCATCGACATCGCAGACAAAGATGTGGTGGCCCATGGGGTGAGTGGACACGCGCACGCACACACACACTATTTGAAAATGTGGAACATTATTTGAATAAATTGATCATTCCTCTATTGCGCATCAGACCGGACATCACTGTATTTGCTAAAGCAGTGAGTTTTTAACCACTCAGCCATGTTAGATCAGTGACATCAAAATGGCTCTTTTCCCAGGTGGTAAAGTAGTCTGTCCCCTGTCCAGGCACTGATGGTTACGCCATCAGGGTATTTGTCTCCCCATGTGGATGAGTTGCGTCACTGCATGTTGACTGGTTGTCTCTGCCAGTCTACCGGTAATCTCGGACACCCAGAACTAGAATCTTGTTAATTGCGTCAAATGCTTGATTAAGTTCTGGGGGGAGAGCTAGCGAGGCTAGTGAAGTCTCCACCCCTCTAAAACTCTGAGCCAGTGTTGGGCAAATCTATGTGCCAAATGTCCCCTCCCCTTCCGAAAGGTGCGAACACCTGCGAAATCGCAATTTGTCCAAATTATCAGGGTTGAAAAATCTGTGTACCGGAACGAAGTTCCTTGTTAGTCGCACAGTCTGCCCCACTACCATTTGTGTTACGTGCTTCTTTCCACAAAAGATTACTGCCATTCTAGTGTCATTCCTAGCCCTGTATCTGCTGCTGTTAGCCTGGCAGTCCATTCCCGTCCGCCAGAGAAACGGCCTGCGCAAGGCACTGTGTAGAAACTCTGATCTATACATCACCTTACTGACATACTGCTGACGTGCCATATTGTACAGGACCCAACATAACAGCCTAATTCTTAGCGTAGATCAGGAGATTTATGCTAGTAGACTTGACCCTGTGTAGTAGTGATGGATACAGTTACATATCGCAATATTTTTTTTTTTGTCCGATCGATTTGTAAAAAAAAATATGTTTTTCTACTTTAGGTAGCGTTACCTAGTGCTAGTCGGCTGTACAGTGCCTTGCAAAAGTATTCATCCCCCTTGGTGTTTTTCCTATTTTGTTGCATTACAACCTGTAATTTAATTGGATTTTTATTTGGATTTCATGTAATGGACACACAAAATAGTCCACATTTGGTGATGTGAAATTTAAAAAATAACTTGTTTCAAAAAATGCAACAACAAAAAAATATGGAAAAGGGGTGCGTGCATATTTATTCACCCCCTCTGCTATGAAGCCCCTAAATAAGATCTGGTGCAACCAATTACCTTCAGAAGTCACATAATTAGTTAAATAAAGTCCACCTGTATGCAATCTAAGTGCCACATGATCTGTCACATGATCTCAGTATATGTACAACTGTTCTGAAAGGCCCCAGACTGCAACACCACTAAGCAAGGGGCACCACCAAGCAAGCGGCACCATGAAAACCAAGGAGCTCTCCAAACAGGTCAGGGACAAAGTTGTGGAGAAGTACAGATCAGGGTTGGGTTATAAAAAATATCTTTGAACATCCCACGGAGCACCATTTTAAATCCATTATAAAAAAAATTGAAAGAATATGGCACCACAACAAACCTGCCAAGAGAGGGCCACCTACCAAAACTCACGGACCAGGCAAGGAGGGCATTAATCAGAGAGGCAACAAAGATACCAAAGATAACCCTGAAGGAGCTGCAAAGCTCCACAGCGGAGATTGGCGTATCTGTCCATAGGACCACTTTAAGCCGTACACTCCACAGAGCTGGGCTTTAAGGAAGAGTGGCCAGAAAAAAGCCAGCGCTTATTTTTATCTTTAAGCAAACACGTTTGGTGTTCGCCAAAAGGCATGTGGGGGACTCCCCAAACACATGGAAGAAGGTACTCTGGTCAGTTGAGACTAAAATTGAGCTTTTTGGCCATCAAGGAAAACGCTATGTCTGGCACAAACCCAACACCTCTCATCACCCCGAGAACACCATCCCCACAGTGAAGCATGGTGGTGTTAGCATCATGCTGTGGGGATGTTTTTCATCTAAATACAGGGAATAGTTATGCACGCTCAAGTTTTCTGTTTTTTTGTCTTATTTCATGTTTGTTTCACAATGAAAAATATTTTGCCTCTTCAAAGTGGTAGGCATGTTGTGTAAATCAAATGATACAAACCCCCCAAAAATCAATTTTAATTCCAGGTTGTAAGGCAACAAAATAGGAAAAATGCCAAGGGGGATACTTTCGCAAGCCATGCACCAAAAGTCCTGTATTTTTCATCCTATAGCTTGTTCTTTTTAAATAGTGAGCCAACCTGTTTCAGCACTTTTATTTCCCTTACTGACCAAAACTGGAGTGGTGGTAATACTATGGTTGGTCTTTCTGAGAGCTGCCCTCTGGGTGGTGTACTCACTCACACGTCTGATTCAGTACATCAATGACTAGAACAAAATGGATGGGTGTCCCCAAGCACTGGAGCTGAGAAACAGTATGGGAGAGAGCTTCTCTGTCTGAAGTCAGGCTACTGTGTCTGTAGTGTTAGTCTCATGTACAGTACTGACTGAACACTCAGGACAGAGAGCCGGTACTATAGCAGGACTGCAGTGCAGTGGCTCCTGTACTCTAATGACATAAGTGAATCAGTGATAGGGCCACGCCTTAATCTGAGGGGCCGTCTGCTGCAGGTGTACACACACACACAGGTCTGACGGATTCAAATAGGGACAAGGGGAGAGCCTGTGTGTGTGGTTGTGTGTGCGCCTGCCATCCTACTGCTCCAATGGCTTTCCTGCATCATAAGGGCATGGCGTTGATCTCTGTTCCCCAGAGCATCATCCACTCTTCTGATTCTACACACAATATGTTAACATCAAGAAATATGGAGCGTCTTCATTCCAGATACTATTAACTGAATGAACATTTGTACATATACAACTCCATGTCAATAGTTTCCCTGTGTGCGTGTTCTCTCCTGCAGGACTATAATGGGGCTGTAATGTGTATATATATATTGTTGTCAGAATCAGGGTTTCCGTTAGGAAAATCTGGCGCCAGACAAGTGACCGGGAGATTTAAATTTATCGGACATTGGAGAAATGTACCGGTCATCCAAATGCATTGGGTGCTAACCCATTAGGCCGGCCACTCATGCAGCCAGCGCCATCAATTAACGAGTGACATTGGTCAAATTACAGAAACACTATTCCATGTTTTGATGTGTAGCATATGCAACATTTTATAGCCTCTAGTTTTTTTTTTACTTTCCTCAAACAATAATTGTCCAACTCACGGTTGAGCTGTCGGAGATTTGAGCACTAAATAGGCCTATTGGCTTAGACGTCCACTATATTATATGAATGCCATAACAAAATTGTTAAATACTTATTGACTCAAGACATTTCAGCTTTTAATTAATTTGTAACAATTTCAAAAATATAATTCCACTTTGAAATTATGGGGTATTGTGTGTAGGCCAGTAATTTTCTTTCTTCAATTTAATCAATTTTAAACTCAGGCTGTAACAACAAAATGTGGAAAAAGTCAAGGGGTGTGAATACTTTCTAAAGGCACTGGACATACTGTATTACCTCAACTACCTCGTACCCCTGCACATTAACTCAGTACTGGTACTTGTATATAGCCTCGTTATTGTTGGATTATATATTATTGTGTTACTATTTCCTTTTTTTATTTAGCAAATATTTGTCGTACTTTTCAACTTCACGGTAAAGTCTGTTGTATTTGGCACATGACCAATAACATTTGATTTGAGGAGCCCATCTGACTAGTATAAAGACATTAATGTTGGTGTCGTAGCATACCGCAGGCATATTTCTTATCTCTCTGGGGCTAAGCGTAAGCTTCTCTTCCTTTTATATACACTATATGACCAAAAGTATGTGGACACCTGCTCGTCGAACATCTCATTCCAAAATCATGGGCATTAATATGGAGTTGGTCCCCCCTTTGCTGCTATAACAGCCTCCACTCTTCTGGGAAGGCTTTCCACTAGATGTTGGAACATTACAAGAACATTAGTGAGGTCGGGCACTGATGTTGGGCGATTAGGCCTGGCTCGCAGTCAGCATTCCATTTCATCCCAAAGGTGTTTGATGGGGTGAAGGTCAGGGCTCTGTGCAGGCCAGTCAAGTTTTTCCACACCGATCTCGACAAACCATTTCTGTATGTGCGCATTGTCATGGCAAAGGGCCTTCCCCAAACTGCTGCCACAAAGTTAGAAGCACAGAATCATCTAGAATGTCATTGTATGCTGTAGTGTTAAGATTTCCCTTCACTGGAACTAAGGGGCTTAGCCCGAACCATGAAAAACAGCCCCAGACATTATTCCTCCTCCACCAAACTTTACAGTTGGCACTATGCAAATGGTGGCGAGGTTTACACCACTCCAGCCTACGCTTGGCATTGCGCATGGTGACCTTCGGCTTGTGTGCAGCTGCTCGGCCATGGAAACTAATTTCATGAAGCTCCCGACGAGGCAATTTGGAACTCTGTAATGAGTGTTGCAACCGAGGACAGACTATTTTTACTCGGTACGCGCTTCAGCACTCGGCTGTCCCGTTCTGTGAGCTTGTGTGGCCTACCACTTCGCGGCTGAGCCATTGTTGCTCCTAGACGTTTTCACTTCACAATAACAGCACTTACAGTTGACCGGGGCAGCTCAAGTACTGACTTGTTGGCGGTGCCACGTTGAATGTCACTGAGCTCTTCAGTAAGGCCATTCTACTGCCAATGTTTGTCTACGGAGATTGCATGACTGAATGCTCGATTTTATACACCTGTCAGGAGTGGCTGAACTAGCCGAATCCACTAATTTGAAGGGGTGTCCACATACCTTTGTATATACAGTGCATTAGGAAAGTATTATTTGCTGCCACCACCATGCTTCACCGTAGGGATGGTGCCCGGTTTCCTCCAGACGTGACGCTTGGCATTGAGGCAAAATAGTTCAATATTGGTTTCACAGACCAAAGAATATTGTTTCTCATGGTCTGAGAGTCCTTTAGGTGCCAATTAGCAAACTCCAAGCAGGCTGTCATGTGCCTTTTAACTGAGGAGTGGATTCCGTCTGGCCACTCAGCTGGTAGAGCACGGCGCTTGTAACGCCAGGGTAGTGGGTTCGATCCCCGGGACCACCAATACACAAAAATGTATGCACGCATGACTGTAAGTCGCTTTGGATAAAAGCGTCTGCTAAAAAGCGTCTGCTAAATGGCATATTCTTATATTATATTATAAGGCCTGATTGGTGGAGTGCTGCAGAGATGGTTGTCCTTCTGGAAGGTTCTCCCATCTCCACAGAGGAACTCTGGAGCTCTGTCATTGACCATTGGGTTCTTGGGCACCTCCCTGACCAAGGCCCTTCTCTCCCGATTGCTCAGTTTGGCTGGGCGGCCAGCTCTAGGAAGAGTCTTGGTGGTTCCAAACTTCTTCCATTCAAGAATGATGAAGGCCACTGTGTTCTTGGGGACCGCCAATGCTGCAGACATTTTTTGGTACCTTTCCCCAGATCTGTGCCTCGACACAATCCTGTCTCGGAGCTCTACGGACAATTTGGTTTCTGCTCTGACATGCACTGTCAACTGTGGGACCTTATCTAGACAGGTGTGTGCCTTTCCAAATCATGTCCAATCAATTGAATTTAGCACAGGTGGACTCCAATCAAGTTGTAGAAACATCTCAAGGATGATCAATGAAAACAGGATGCACCTGAGCTCAATTTCGAGTCTCATAGCAAAGGGTCTGAAATACTTATGTAAATGTCATATTTCAGTATTAATATTTTTTTTGCAAACCTGTTTTTGCTTTACCATTATGGGATATTCTGTGTAGATTGATGAGGAAAAAAGTTAATTTAATCAGTTTTAGAATAAGGCTGTAATGTAACAAAATGTGGAAAGTCAAGGGGTCTGAATACTTTCCGAATGCATATAATAGAGTAGCAGCAGCGTATGTGAAGAGTGTGAAGAGTGTGAAGAGTGTGAAAGCTGAGCACATCGTCTCTCCGTCTGTGACAACAGGATAGTTGTTTTCCAAGCAATTCGATTTTTAGATGTTATACAATCGGAACACTTTTCTTTCTCCCATAGCATCTTTTTCCCCCTAGAAAAGGAGAGATTGGCTCTCGACACAGCTGCAGGGCCCAGCGAAACAGGGGCAGGCAGGCAGACACTTTCATTACAAGATTCATGAGGATAATGCACTTTACTGTTTGACCAAATCATCGTTTTAGCCTCCTAAAAAATAGGACGTTTTGAATGAGGTCAATGAGTACAGCCCGCATTGGTGCGACCAATATAGTTGCAGTCTGGAGCCCTACCTTGTAGGCTTTTCACTATAGGCATACTCTCCAATTTTCATTTTACTTAAATGAAAAAGGACTTCATCTTCGCAATCAATAGTAGCCTTGGCCAAGGCTCCTCTCTCGCTTTCACTCTCTCCTCAGCAGAACAGCAGCCCCGTACAATTTGGCCGGCTACAATTTTATTTATCGGCTTTTCATTTATTTTATCGGCCAAAATCCGGCAATTACCGGCTAACGGAAACCCTGGTTAGTATGCCTGTTGTGTAATGCATGTTGTTGTTCTCCTACAGGGCTATAATGAGTTGTAATGTATATACACTGAGTGTACAAAACATTAAGAATGCCTTCCTAATATTGAGTTTTAACACCCCCTTTGCCCTCAGAACAGCCTCAATTCATCGGGGCATGGACTCTACAAGGTGTCGAAAGCATTCCACAGGGATGCTGCCCTATGTTGACTCCAATTCTTCACACAGTTGTGTCAAGTTGGCTGGATGTTCTTTGGGTGGCGGACCATTCTTGATACACACGGGAAACTGTTGAGCGTGAAAAACCCAGCAGCATTGCAGTTCTTGACACAAACCAGTGCGCCTGGCACCTACTACCATACACTGTTCAAAGACATTTAAATATTTTGTCTTGCCCATTCACCCTATAAATGGCACACATACACAATCCATGTCTTAAAAATCCTTCTTTAACCTGTCTCCTCCCCTTCATTTACACTGATGGAAGTGGATTTAACAGGTGACATCAGTAAGGGATCATAGCTTTCACCTGGTCAGTCTGTCATGGAAAGAGCAGGTGTTTGTACATTCAGTGTATTGTTGTGTAATGTATGTTTGTTTTCTACTTCAGGATTATAAAGCAGAGGAGGATCCTGCTCTGTTCAAATCGACAAAGACAGGCAGAGGACCGCTCTCACCTGAATGGAAGGTACAGGATTTCACCATGTATATCCCCCTGTCTTGTCTGTGGTAGTTGGTCATATTACATTTGACCTCATTAGAAGTGCCGGAAGTTAATGCCCCAAAATCAACATTGTAGAAAATAAAGACATTTGGCCTCATCCTTCCTGTGTTTCTCCTCTGACAGAATGATCTGATGAACAAGATAGACTGTCCTAAGATGTGTGCCTACAAACTGGTCACTGTCAAGTTCAAGTGGTGGGGCCTTCAGACCAAAGTAGAGAACTTTATCCAGAAGGTACAATACTTTTCTCTCTTTTATCCTTTTCACATTGCTTTTAGGGCCTCTAATGAGAAAACAGACTGATGCCTAATATTGTCGTTCTCTGGTCTCTCCTTCCATTCCCTCTCCTCCTCCCTTCTACCTCCTCTCTCTCCTCCGTCCACCTCTCTCCTCCCTCCTCCCTCCTCTTCTACCTCCTCTCTCTCCTCCCTCCACCTCTCTCCTCCCTCCTCTTCTCTCCCCCATCTTCCGTCCTTCAGCAAGAGAAGCGTATCTTTACTAACTTCCATCGCCAGTTGTTCTGTTGGATCGACAACTGGGTGGAGCTGACCATGGCAGACATCCGACGAATGGAGGAGGAGACCAAGAAAGAGCTGGAAGAGGTAACACACACTTAATGTCTGAAATTATTTCATAGGTTTTAGACTTGTGCCTTAGAGCTTGTCGTTTATTTTGGTGCATAGATGGGGACAGTTGTTGATGATGAAAAGGTCACTAACACATGATCCCAGAGGCATTGTGGGATCAGGAACCACAATAAACAACAAATCACCTATCAAGGACTGACCGTGACCCTCACTAACCCCTATGGCCCTAATCTTTGACCCTCCTATGAAGCGCTCTGATTGGTCCAGCTGACAGTTCTACTCTGCTGCCTTTAGATGCGTGAGAAGGGCACCGTTAGAGGAACCTCGGCAACGGAAGAGTAACCCCGCCCCATCTAGGTCAAAGGTCAGAGGCAGGCTGAGTAAGTTCCCTGACAGGATACAAGAAATGACATCATCGTGGTGTCGTGGACTCATCCCGTACCTGCACTCGTCTTCTCATCTCTGTTTCCCCCCCATTCGTTTGTTGCTCATCACCTGTTTTTTTGCCAGCTGCATGTTGCCTGTCTAATCAAACGTTCTGCTTTTGGTTGAATCTGTCGTTCCGTCTATGGTGGTGTTGGGGCTCTACCTGCATGTGGCTCTCTTTCTGTTTCTCGTTCTTTCCTTCACGTCTGAATCTTGTCTCTCTCTCTCTCTCTCTCTCTCTGCAGTTCTGCTGCTCAGCTCCTGCTGCGTGACTTCTTATCCTCAGCTCTTTGAAACCTTCATTCTTATTTTATTTTAAGACTTGCTGTCTTATTAACATGTTGTAGTCTGTTTATTGTGTGTGTGTGTTTTTTATGTGTGTGGTTCCAGGTGTTGGGGCAGCGCTACTACCTTGTTGCTGTCTGTCATCTTTCTGTGTCATGTTGCCTAAAGATGGAATTATCTGTCATGTGGAAAGAGGAGAGTTTTCACTCTGATGGAGATGGGTTGAAGTGCTGTGAAGTGACTGCTAGTAAAGGGGAAACATTATTCAATATTTGATGAACTAAACATTGGCCATTAGTTCACAGTGTAGTAAGTTTAGGTGTAGCTACATTATATGTACCAGGCAATGGCCGTTTGATGGAAAGAAAGAATATGTTCACTCGTCCATCACCTCAGTCTCTCCTTCAGACACCTTTTGTCCTTCACTGTGTGACACAAGATTATAATGTGTTTCTTTCTCCCTCCTTCTTGCCCCAGCTGCGTAAGTCAGGTCAGGTTCGAGGCATGAGTGCGGCTCACGAGCAGTGAGGTCGACCAACCAAACCCTTCTATGATGATGATGATATCACCAAGCCCACAGAGAAGAGGAAGTCGGCTGCTCTACTTCCTGTCTCCCATGATTCATAGGGGGGTTTGTCCTGATTGGTCAATAGTACTGTACCGACCCCCAATCACACGCCTCCTATTCACGTAGACTAACAAAAGCCGTTTTGCATTTAAAAAAGAAAAAATTAAGGGAAAAAACTATTTGCACAGAAAGTAAATTTAAATTGCCTGTAAATATAGTTAGTTAATTATGAGACGGGCTTCATTTGTATTCAGATACACAAAGCCAAGCCTTTTAATCAGACTAGAATTTTATGTTATTTTACAGTCCTCTGTATATGTTATAATTTCCCCCTAAATTGGAATAAGATCACTTATTTAGCAGGTATTGGACCAATTTAGTTTTTGTTACATGTATTTTGTTCCCTGTTGTATACTGTATCTGTCATGGCTCTAGTTGGCTTCATCCTTTTGTCTTTCCCCACCCTCGAGACTAAGATCTGTATCAACCCTTATCTGAGTTGTAGTGGTCTGCAGACTTGAAATGTGTTCTATTCCATATAGTGCACTACTTTTGGCCAGATCTCTGGGTCTGACTAGGGTGCCATTTGGGAAATCGATTTAGCACTTCAACCCCTGGTCTTGGTCCTGTCTGTCTGTCTGACAGGTGGCTGGGGGATGGTTGTTGTTTTTGTGATGATTTGATTTGACCCTGTCCAAGCCAGTTGCTGTCTCTTGTAGAACGTTGAGTGGTTTGGCATACATATGTACGATTCCTGCCCTCTTTGACTGATTTGTTGCTTGTTTGTTTGTTTTGTTGTTGCATTACTGTCCTTTTGATCCGGTGTGTTTTCCTTTTTAATGTGTTAAGGTTTTAAACATTTCGTCCATTGTTTGCCCCAAGAGAGTGTTTGCTGAGTCCATCCATTTCGGAGCTGCTAGAACAGCTGTAGCTAGTACCTGTAGTTCAGGTATCATTCTACTCGGATGATGTAGAACAGATGGAATTAAACCCTCATGCCCCTTTGCTTTCTGCTTCCCTGTGGTTACGTCGCGTGTTAATGACATATAATAATAATAATAATAATAATAATAATAATATGCCATTTAGCAGACGCTTTTATCCAAAGCGACTTAGTCATGTGCGCATACATTTTTTTTAAACGTATGGGTGGTCACGGGGATCGAACCCACTACCCTGGCGTTACAAGCGCCATGCTCTACCAATTGAGCTACAGAGGACCACAGCCCCAGGTCCGCTAAACCATTACCTGTAGAAGGGACAGAAATACATGGTCCTTGTGACTGTCTTTAGCTGTCCTGTGGTACTACCAGGCTAGTTATACTACTGTAGTGTTGAATGTCCTCTTATTTCATATTCACGGTTATAAAATGTGGTCAGGTCTACTCCAGAGCAGGGTTTCCAAACTCAGTCCTGGAGCCCCCTGGTAGTGGGGTGGGGGGCAGGACAGAGTTTGGGGGAAACCCTGTTCTAGATTACCTTTATCTCCAGTACTGTAATTATATATAGTAGGGAGCTGGCTCAAATGGCACCCTGTACCCTATATGTAGTGCACTACTTTTGACAGCAATATATAATAAATAGGGTGTATTACTCTTGGAAAGTTTGTCAGATCAGTGGGCAGTATGCTGTTCAGACAATGCTCTGACAGGTTAGCATTTTTCCTGCTAAGGTTAGGATTGGAGAAAGTGATCTGTGACTTAGGTAAAATATGTTCCACCCCCATGGCTTTCAGCCATACTGTAGTTTTTATTACCCCTGTGAATGTACTGTGTCTATGGGATAATGCATGTCTAAGTATGCAAAGAAAATATTTTAGTGCAGAGTGACACATTCTCCATCAGCGCAACCATGTAGCTACCTGCTGCAGCATTAACAGATAAGGATATTTGATGAAGCATCTCCACTTAAACTAACTGAAGATTTTGATACTGTTTATTCCCGTTATATTGTTTAAGATTTTGATCTCCAGGAACATGAACCCTTGGAGTGAGACACTGTTAAATGTGAAACGGATAAGTTGTATTTCTTTTGTCCTTTGTATTTCAATTTTTTTATGTTTTGTTTTTTTAGATTTTAGCCGTTCCTGTTGGATCAGTGTATCATTGTCTATTGGGTCGAAGAGCTGCATCAGACAATGGCTGCATCTACACAGGCAGCCCAATTCTGATCTTTCGTTCCACTAATTGATATTTTTTTACCAATCACATCAGCTTTTTTTCAGAGCTTATCTGACTGTGTCAAAATATCTGAATTGGGCTGCCTGTGTAAACGCAGCCAATGTGACCCATAACTGTCGCAGATGATGTGGTTTAGTCTTTATAGAAGTACCAGTGATGTGAGCCAGGGTCTGACTGAGGGTTAGAAAGGCCTAATGGAGTATCTCTTAACTCATTCCTGGGTGTCCTAGAGGTGCACCTTTTTCATTCTAGCCCAGCACTAAAACTGATTCCACTAGTTTTCACCAAGCCACTGATTAGTTTAATCAGGTGTGTTAGTGCTGGTCTGGAACAAACTCTGTGCACCCCCCTACCCCCCAGGAATGGATTGAGAAACACTGGCCACCAGAGTCCATTGTATCTGTATGGTCATCATGCCTAAGCACTTGCTAAATATAATGTTAATTTCCTTTGAAATGAAAACAAATATTAAAAATGTATATTTTCTGATCATCAGGTGAATTTAGTAGTGAATGTAAAATGTTAATATTTTTGTTTTCTGTTTGTTTCACAGCTTCTGAGCTGTGTAAGGTCTAGACAATGGAATAACAGAATATATATTAAAATGTAACACAAAACTCCACCCAGCGCTGTGCTATTGATTTGACATCACATTGGATTTTATGTGCTCAAGATTGTAGTTCATCTACTACTGAATATACAGTAAATAGCCTACTCGGTATTTTCATGAGACAAACATTGATACAAGACAAACTGATTAGTTCATTTTATATATATATTTTTAAAAATGACATTCCAGTGTTTTTGTTTTCCATTTTCTAGCAAAAGAAAGAGACCGGATGGGTATCAGGTGAGATGGTACTCCAGATTGTCGACCACTTCGTTCTCTTCGCACTTCAAAATGAGTCCACTAACATCCTCTATAGGGTCCATCTGTCCGGGGGTTTGAGTAGTCCAAAAGTAATCTTTAGATTGATCCTCCCACACTGACCAATCTGGTCAACGTTCCTCCCCTCTCGTCCACGTCTTGTTAAAAAAAGCATCAACTAAACCTACAACCCAAAAAAAAAAAAAACGCGTACAGATCAATATTAATAATAGTCACACAGTCTGCTGCCTTCCGTGGATAGTCTTTCAGTGCCCCCTGGTGGTCATGACTGTAAACATGTCTCCGAGTTTACGGCTCTATTCAATATCGCTGAAGCGTTACAGAATTTCCGATTGAGCAGACATGCGTTTTTTATTAAACCATCGTTTACCGTGAATGCAGTCTCCGCTAAAATTAGATTTCCTCATAACAGGATAATTTGGATAGCCATTCTAGCACTCATACGTAAAAATGTATGCACACATGACTAAGTCGCTTTGGATAAAAGCGTCTGCTAAATGGCATTATTATTATATGGGTGCTAGCAAGCAGGCTAGGTATCAACTGCCAATGAAGTAGGGGCTGGAAGCTATAGTTAGCTTCGATTGGTCAATAGCGTTGCGATATCGCAGAATAATTGCATAAATTAAGTTTTCCCCTATTTTGATCCCACCCTGTTCACGCTCCCTCGCCCATGCTCGCATCACCCAATGGTACCCTCGCCACTTCCCTCCATTGAAAATTAATGGGCCTCAGTTGTTTCATCGCCCCCAACGTGTTATGTGGAAATGCACTATAACGCGGGAACATTGCCTTTAAATGTCAATCACGCTGAGCTTCCGTGATACAGATTGAATAGAGCCCTCCAGTTAGATAGCATGTTCTAATCAATGCATTTATATCAGAACATTCTACAATGCTACTGAACGTGACCCTGATGTCTGTCTGATACGAGTCTCCTCTCGCTGCATGGTATAGGTCTAGATGTAGCTATCAGGTGGAAAATGCCATAGCAACAGAGCCACGTTTTTGGTACAGACAGGATGGGTTTTTTTTAAGACACAAAGGCCGTGTTCGAGAGGATCAAAACCGCAATGTATCATGGGTAAATTGTGACTGACGGATCTACTAATACATTTTACATTTAGCAGACGCTCTTATCCAGAGCGACTTACAGTGCATACATTTTTTTCTTCTTCATACTGAGTCATTATTTATGATGTAAGGTTCTTTGTAGATCAGCCAGTCGGCAGTCGCTCTGATGCTCTCGAACACCATAATTGTGACCGTTTTGGTTAGTGAAATGAATTGTGGGGGATTCAGTGCAGCTCACACAACCGTTGACAAGACAGGAGAGCGAGAGAGGTACACCCTGAAGAGACAACGAAGGATTATTTCAAAACATTTCCCATTTTCATTGCAAATCGGTTGGTTGTCTCCTTCACATTTAGATATCCTAACTTTGGGTTTTAGCCATTGTCAGAGAACCGTTTCCACCCAGATACCGTTTGATACTACAGCATTTATCACTAGCACCTTCTCTGAATAAACAGGTTGTAGAATGATCGGTTTGTCTGGTTTCTCTCCTACAGTGTTAAAACAAACCATCCACTGACTGTCGTAATTGTTACCTAAACCAGGCAAGCTACACACACACACTTTTCTTTGCACCGACAGACTACAAAAATAAGCATCTTCCAAATACATTACTTACAGTATACTGTATGTATTTTCAGATTCAGGTATTCCAATATTTTCCTGTGATTGCTTTTCTTTGCTTTCCAGAAGGTGTTTCAAACAAATAAACAGACGAAAACAAAAACTGAAATAAAAATAAAGACAAACTGGATAATCTTTTTTTTTTTTTTTACACAAAGAACAAGTTGAAAGGGGGAGTTTGGGATTGAGGGGCTGTAATCAGAAAGGCATGGACTGATGGGGATCAGGGATTGGATAAGGGTGATGCATCCCACCCCAGAGGAGAACTGATAAACCAGAGGTGCACAGCTCAGGTCCTCCAGAGGAGAATTGATAAACCAGAGGTGCACAACTCCGGTCCTCCAGGGCTGTGTTCAGTTCTCCCCAGAGGGGTATACTACAAAGCAGGTTCAATGAGTTAGCCAGCTAACTTTGATAACCAGAAATAACTTGATTTCCTGGTTCATTAAGAAAACTAAACGTCTATGTATTTCAGGATATTTAGGCAAGTTAGCTGGCTAACTCCTTGATCCTACTTTGTAGGATCAATATTCCCCTCAGCTCTATACTGACCTATTAATTCACTGGTTGCCCGGAGAGGAGTGCACACAACTCTATTCCCAGGTTGCTGGCTAAGAGTCAAGGCCTGAAATCAGCACTGGAGTTGCGCACTTCTGAAATGAACAGTTCAGAAAGTTTTCAGAGTTGGCCCAGCGTTCAGCTTTCCTTGCGTGTACAATAAGCCAAGAACCCTCTTCGTTCAGCTGTCCTCGTTTTCATATAGTAAGCTAAGCACCATCCCCGCCCCATTTGTTCTTATGAGCAGAGTGTGACTGACAACAGTATACCTGTTTGGGCTGCCAGGTCAGGCTGGGGAAGTGAGGAGGTCAACATGGAAAACAGGAGAAGATCTTCTCATCTGAGTGTCACCATGGAAGCAACAGATGCCGGGGAAAAACAACTAAGGGGAAAACGTGGCTTAACTCTTATTTCATTCACTTTCAGTCAAGGAGTTGATGTTGCTGTGGTAGTTGATGTTCTGTCATCTGCGGACTATGTACAATAATTTATTAGAGTAGTTCTAAAATTGCTTATTTCGTATGTTGCTCTAGTACGTTTGAGGAGCTTCTCTGTGACATCACATATAATAAACTGGAAATATCTGTGGTTCTTTGCTGAGAGAGCAGTGATGGTTCTCACGGTGAGAGATGAAGAAAGGGAGGGAGGGATAGAGTCCTGTTATATAAAGAGACACCCAGAGCGAGGGATATGTGGAAAGGGAGAGGGATGAAGTGAAAGAGATGGTGTGTTGGTGGCAGGCAGACCTCCTTTGAGAGGAGCAGGGGGAGACGGCGCTGTGTGGGGGTGGAGTTAGATGATGGGGTGATCCAGTATAATAGTGATAGTTAGGTATGACAATGTTGATTGAAGGGTGATGGTGGGTCAGATCTTGAGGCTCTTCAGCGAATCAGCTCTCTTCCTCAGTAGATCTCCCAGCTCCTGCAGCGAGCCAAGATAACTACTCTGAACCTTGTCCATGGCTGCTCTGGTGAACCCACACTCCTCCTGGGAGAGAGAGGGTAGGAGAGAGACAGAAAAATACATAAGGGGGAGAGTAAGAAGAGAAAGAAACATGCTATGAATTAAAGAAACTAAGTAAATGCTTAGGCACAAATCTGTACATACACACAGCTAGCTACCCACCCACCCAGCCCTACCAACCTGTGTCTGTGCGTGTCCCTCCTCCAAGGTGAGTGCTGCTAGTTTGAGGGCCGTCAGGCTGGCCTCCTGCCCCTTCACGTGATCCAGAGCCTGGGTCACAACGCCCTGCAGGCTGCCTGTCCACTCCTGGAAGCCACACAACACCACTGGCTACAGGGACAGAGGAAGGGGGCAACGAGTTATTGCCAGAGAAGGGTTGTACGAGGACAAGGGGAGGATGACGGTAGTGAGTGTGTACCATGGCCGTGCTGGTGTCCTTTCTCTTCTTCTTCTTCTTCTGTAGGCTGGACTTGAGCGGTCGCAGGACGCTGGCAGAGTAACTGGTCACCCACAGCACCACACACACCGTCTGACCAGGAGACACATCACCACGTATTACACACACAGTTGCTGTGCATCTGCAATATTTCATATTATAATACATTTACATTTTAGCAATGTTTTAGTGATATATATTTAATGTGACTAAGTGTAATACACTGACCTCGACGAAGAAGACCAGTGTTTCTAGCAGGGAGGGCTGGGTCTTCAATCTGCTGTCTTTCATCTCTAACACTTCTCCTTTACATCTGGATAACATCTCTGGATGGAGAGAGGGGAGGGGAGGGAGGGAGGGCACAGATCAGCATGGGGAATAAGAAGGATCCACTACACCAGTGATAACTCGACTAGCAACCTGAAGCAATGATATCTCCTGTGGCTGACTACACTGTCATTATTACCATGGACCTGTTGTCATCTTTAAAGAAGTCTGATGTCTTACCTTCTAGTTGTACTATTAATGATTTGAAGGAGTTACAGATCTGGGTTTGGAGTTCTGACGAGTCGTCTGGAGAGAGAAATTATAAAGAACATGACATCCTTTCTCCTCTTCCCCTCTCTATTACTCCTCCCACTTCCCCACCCTCTCATATACCCGTCCCACATCCCTCTCTTCCTCCATCTCTCTCTCCTTCCCAGTCCTGCTGCTTCTGTAGATGGACAGATGGTTGGAGGCCAGTGGTACGGAACCCTACATCCCTCTCTCTCCCAATCCCTCCCCATCTCCCCGTCTTACCCAGTCCAGTGGTCTCTAGTTCCTGAAGAGTCAGTGCTAGTTGCAGAGCAGAGGCCTGACAGTGACAGCTGCCACTAGACAGAGCAGAGGCCAGGCGGGAGGAGGGAGGGCCCAGGAATGGGTACTGGAACAACACAACAACAGTTAGTGGTCCTGCGTGGCTCAGTTGGTAAGAGCATGGTGCCAGGGTCGTGGGTTCGATTCATGCTGGGGCCACCCATATGAAAATGTATGCGCTCACTGATGAAAGTTGCTTTAGATAAGCCAATTAGCATATATTACATTATACATTTATTGGTGAAGTGTGTATGTGTGTACCTGTGTCTGTTTCTCTGTGATCTGGGCTGCGGTCTGTAGCGTCTGGTCTAGCTGGGAGAGGAGGGTCAGGAGAGTGGAGCTTTTGGCTGATACACCATTCTCATTGGTCTTATCAGAGTTCCGTGACGAGGGGGCGTGTCCGAGCAGAGCCAATGAGGCGAGGAGGCGGAGCGTGAGAGATCGAACCTTCAACCAGACCGACTCCTCCTCTAGAGACAGATGACGATGCTCCTCAGTCAGCTCCCTGGAACACACACACACATTTTTACAGACTGTCATGGGTAAATACAGTGGGGGGAAAAAGTATTTAGTCAGCCACCAATTGTGCAAGTTCTCCCACTTAAAAAGATGAGAGAGGCCTGTAATTTTCATCATAGGTACACGTCAACTATGACAGACAAATTGAGAAAAATAAATCCAGAAAATCACATTGTAGGATTTTTAATGAATTTATTTGCAAATGGTGGAAAATAAGTATTTGGTCACCTACAAACAAGCAAGATTTCTGGCTCTCACAGACCTGTAACTTCTTCTTTAAGAGGCTCCTCTGTCCTCCACTCGTTACCTGTATTAATGGCACCTGTTTGAACTTGTTATCAGTATAAAAGACACCTGTCCACAACCTCAAACAGTCACACTCCAAACTCCACTATGGCCAAGACCAAAGAGCTGTCAAAGGACACCAGAAACAAAATTGTAGACCTGCACCAGGCTGGGAAGACTGAATCTGCAATAGGTAAGCAGCTTGGTTTGAAGAAATCAACTGTGGGAGCAATTATTAGGAAATGGAAGACATACAAGACCACTGATAATCTCCCTCGATCTGCGGCTCCACGCAAGATCTCACCCCGTGGGGTCAAAATGATCACAAGAACGGTGAGCAAAAATCCCAGAACCACACGGGGGGACCTAGTGAATGACCTGCAGAGAGCTGGGACCAAAGTAACAAAGCCTACCATCAGTAACACACTACGCCGCCAGGGACTCAAATCCTGCAGTGCCAGACGTGTCCCCCTGCTTAAGCCAGTACATGTCCAGGCCCGTCTGAAGTTTGCTAGAGTGCATTTGGATGATCCAGAAGAGGATTGGGAGAATGTCATATAGTCAGATGAAACCAAAATAGAACTTTTTGGTAAAAACTCAACTCGTCGTGTTTGGAGGACAAAGAATGCTGAGTTGCATCCAAAGAACACCATACCTACTGTGAAGCATGGGGGTGGAAACATCATGCTTTGGGGCTGTTTTTCTGCAAAGGGACCAGGACGACTGATCCGTGTAAAGGAAAGAATGAATGGGGCCATGTATCGTGAGATTTTGAGTGAAAACCTCCTTCCATCAGCAAGGGCATTGAAGATGAAACGTGGCTGGGTCTTTCAGCATGACAATGATCCCAAACACACCGCCCGGGCAACGAAGGAGTGGCTTCGTAAGAAGCATTTCAAGGTCCTGGAGTGGCCTAGCCAGTCTCCAGATCTCAACCCCATAGAAAATCTTTGGAGGGAGTTGAAAGTCTGTGTTGCCCAAAACATCACTGCTCTAGAGGAGATCTGCATGGAGGAATGGGCCAAAATACCAGCAACAGTGTGTGAAAACCTTGTGAAGACTTACAGAAAATGTTTGACCTGTGTCATTGCCAACAAAGGGTATATAACAAAGTATTGAGAAACTTTTGTTATTGACCAAATACTTATTTTCCACCATAATTTGCAAATAAATTCATTAAAAATCCTACAATGTGATTTTCTGGATTTTTTTTCTCATTTTGTCTGTCATAGTTGACGTGTACCTATGATGAAATTTACAGGCCTCTCTCATCTTTTTAAGTGGGAGAACTTGCACAATTGGTGGCTGACTAAATACTTTTTTCCCCCACTGTATGTTGTGAACTGTGTGTGTGTGTGTGTGTGTGTGTGTGTGTGTGTACCTGTCCTTGGGGTCCCAGCTGAAGAGGACAGTCAAGTCTCTGTTGTCCCTCATGTTGTCCCAGGGAATGTCATCCTCCTCAGGACACACACCCATCGCCTTCACACTCTCCTCCAGACTTGATGCGCTGGAACAACATAGGAATATGTTACAGGGGTGTGTGTGTGTGTGTGTGTGTGTGTGTGTGTGTTTGGGTACTCACATGTCAGCCTCGGTGTACAGGTCCAGTAACATCCTCTCGGTGCGGACCTGAGCGAAGTGCAGCGATTGGTTGAGCCGGGTTCTAAACGCTATGAATTCTGGGATTTTCTCAAACGCTCCGTACTTATAGGCCTGGATGATGTACTCTGAGGTCTGGGGGAGTAGAGAAAAGAAACAAGGAAGACGAGGTGAGAAAATACTATTCATCAGAATATAGGACATATTTAGGACACATTTAGATGCGACAGGGACTCACATCTTTCTGGTTGGAGTGGAAAAACCTAAGGGAGAAGTTACAGGACTGGGAGGCTGCAGCAAACTGCCCCAACGACCCTGCATAACGAGTTAACAGATACCTGGGAGAGAGGAAAGAATAGAAGGATTAGTGCATTGGTTATGGTAATCCTATTGTATTGTATCATAATGTGCGTGTGTGTTAGGGTTTCCATCAGGAAAATGTGGCACGGACATTTGACCTGCAGCATTTTAATTTACGGACCAAAAATGGTTGCGTAACATGATTAGGACGTCCACCCACAGTTCTCAGAATGACAGAAATCACATTTAGTTTATGGTAATTCATCTTAACAGAACATGCAACGGCATGCGTAATTTTTACCGAATTCCGATGAGCAATTGTAAGACGTTAGAATACATAGGTGGCGCGTTTATAAGGCTAGGGGAAGCTTTCCCTAAAGTAAATTGCCAAAATTATATAGCCTAATTAGCTTACTCCTGTCTATACAGAAATAAATATAATCATTAAAAAATAGGCTACTACACCAGAGAGCATGATTTGGCCACAGAGGATCATTAGCTTCTTTTTTTTTTTTTTTTTATACAACAAAAATAAGATGTGGATTGTTTTTAAATCGCATAGACTACAGTCGGAAGGGCCTGCAATTTGGGCAGCGTGCTGCAAATACCAAATAGATGATTGTTGAGATGCGACTGTCAGTGAAAAGCAGAGAGACCCAGCCAGGCATATCGCAATTTTTAAAATACAATCGCAGAAAAACTGTTTGGAAAACAAATGGCTATTGCTGTAAAGCGATAACAATGAAAAGACTCCAATCTGTCTTTTAGTTATCAAAATTCTCAACTTAATTGAGCGATCTTATTGGCACCAGCAGAGAACATTAGCCATATCCCCGGTGAGTGTGCATATTCACTGTCTTTGTGTCAGTGACACTTTTGTTTGTTTTTGGACAATAATTTCCTCCTCCAGGTTAGATGGACGTCATATTGTATTTGTGTCTCCCCTTTTAGTAGGCCGATTATATGGATCAGACAAGGTCGTTTTTATTGATCTGTTTGTCAGTGTCAGCAGAGTAGGCTACCCTGATACAGGCTATATCCTAGGCCTACTCTAAGTCACTACACGCTGCATTGAACAGTGGGGACTTTTGGGGACTTCCGGTGCCCACGGGGATAGTAACACACACAGACCAGGGTTTCCATTAGCCGGTAATAGCCAGCTTTTGGCCCCCCCAAAAAATGAAAAGCCGATTTTAAATATAATTGGAGCTGGCCAATTATAAAGTCCCATTGAGAAATAATGCATTTTAGCACGTTTTCCTCCAGTAGCAACAAGCTGAGGAGCTGCAGGAGAAATCAGCTGGTTGCTGCTGGAGTAAAACATGCTTTTATAAGCCCATTCATTGCACAACATTTTACATTTTAGTCATTTAGCAGATGCTCTTATCCAGAGCGACTTACATGAGCAATTAGGGTTAAGTGCCTTGCTCAAGGGCACATCGACAGATTTTTCACCTAGTCGGCTCAGGGATTAGAACCAGCGACCTTTCGGTTACTGGCACAACGCTCTTAACCACTAAGATACCTGCCGCCCTAAATACAATCACCTGTTAAAAACTGTTTTATTGCACAATTAAAAACAGCTTGGCTTTTCAATCAATGAATAGGCTAAAATGCATTATTTCTCAATGGGATTTTATAATTGGCCAGCTCCAATTATATTTAAAATCGGCTTTTCATTTTTTTGGGGGGCCAAAAGCTGGCTATTACCGGCTAATGGAAACCCTGGTCTGTGTGTGTTACTATCCCCGTGGGCACCGGAAGTCCCCAAAAGTCCCCCACATGGATAGTAAAACAAGGACAATTCTCCCTCGTGGGGACATTTCCCAGGTCTCCCTTGAGGACAAAGGCTATTTTAGGCTTAGGGGTTAGGTTTAGGGTTACAATTTGGGTTAGAATTAGGTGTTAGGTTTATTGTAAGGAGTTAGGGGAAAATAGGATTTTGCGGGGAAATCTATTTTAGCTCCCAACAAGGATAGTAAAACTTGTGTGTGTACTATAGACCCACCCTATGGTGTCATGCTGTACGTGCTTGGCATCCAGGCTGGAGTAGAGGTCCACTACGGGCTGGAAGGCTCCCAGGCGACAGAACAGCAGCAGCAGCAGTAGTTTGAACTGAGCGTTGGAGGGGCTGAAGGACAAACCCTCCTCTAACACACCTAGACACTGCCACAGCATGTTCTCATCGCCTAACACGCACAGACACACACACACAGTATGTTAACAAACACAGAGAGAGAGACCGAGAGAAAGAGGCAGAGAGAGAGAAAGAGAGAGAGAGCAAGTGAGAAGGCAGAGAGAGAGAATAAGAGAAAGAGGCAGAAAGAGAAGGAAGGTAGATGGAGAGAAAGAGAGACAATGACTCACCAGTTTCTGTCCAGAGGTCGATGTAGACGTGAGCGACCATGAGACAGTACATATCAGAGAACTGGAGCTCTGTCTTCAGACACGACTTCCCTGTTACACACACACACATTAGTCAGACAAACTATTTTCTGGTTCTTCGCAAAATTGTCATTGCATCTCTTCCAGCAGTTTTGTAAGCTAGATGCATCCAATTTTGGATGGATAGACTGAAAGGGATGGATAAAGATAGCCCGATAGAATGGCTGTCCTTACCAAACTGTAGCCCATAGTGGTAGTAAGAGAGAGAAGGAGAGATAGAGGAGTGCTGCTGTCCTTACCAAACTGTAGTCCGTGGTGGTAGTGGGCTTTGAGTTCTGTGATGAGGCGTAGTTTGCCCTCTGTGTCCAGAGCGTGTTGCAGTCCCAGCGCCCGGCTCAGCTGACACACACACAGGTGTCTCTGTAACGCCTTCGTATCCCCCGGAAACCCAAAGCCATCCTCCCCCACCTCCCCCAACGGAACCAACTCCCCCAGACGGTTTTTAAACTACAGGGAGGACGAGAGGAAGAGAGAGAATAGGAGAAGAGCAAAATTGATATTATCATGTCAAACTCATCAGGGGCTTGGTGATCGATTCCCACTACTGGTGGTATTCTGCAGGTGTGTGTGTGTGTACCTGTGTGTGTGTGTACCTGTGTGTGTTGCTCAGGGGGCAGTAGGTGTAGGTATATCTTCAGGTCTGTAATACAGCAGGGTTTGTCTCCAAACTTCCCAAAGAACTGAACCATCAACTCCAACGGATCACCTGTAGACAACCACCAATAAAAACACAACGCAAACAGTCAACAGCCGAGGAAACTGTGGTGTGTGCCGAGGAAACTGTGGTGTGTGCAGAGGCAACTGTGTTGTGTGCAGAGGCAACTGTGGTGTGTGCAGAGGCAACTGTGGTGTGTGCCGAGGAAACTGTGGTGTGTGCAGAGGCAACTGTGGTGTGTGCCGAGGAAACTGTGGTGTGTGCCGAGGAAACTGTGGTGTGTGCAGAGGCAACTGTGGTGTGTGCAGAGGCAACTGTGGTGTGTGCAGAGGCAACTGTGGTGTGTGCCAAGGAAACTGTGGTGTGTGCCAAGGAAACTGTGGTGTGTGCCAAGGAAACTGTGGTGTGTGCAGAGGAAACTGTGGTGTGTGCAGAGGCAACTGTGGTGTGTGCAGAGGCAACTGTGGTGTGTGCAGAGGCAACTGTGGTGTGTGCCAAGGAAACTGTGGTGTGTGCAGAGGCAACTGTGGTGTGTGCCAAGGAAACTGTGGTGTGTGCAGAGGCAACTGTGGTGTGTGCCGAGGCAACTGTGGTGTGTGCAGAGGCAACTGTGGTGTGTGCAGAGGCAACTGTGGTGTGTGCAGAGGCAACTGTGGTGTGTGCAGAGGCAACTGTGGTGTGTGCGTTGGTGCTGAGAGATTAGTGCTTTTTGAGGTCGGTTTGGTTTCGGTTCAATTATTAAATGCACTATGAGGGTTGAATGCTATAACACAGAATCTAACTATTAGTTTGAATAAAAGTCCCATGATGGTAGTGACTGCCCATTACTGCTTATCACTTATTAACTAGCATTTATTCACATTACTTTAATATTTCATTCCAAGTCATCATCTCATCTCTATAGAGCTGCTGCCTATGCTGTCTGACAAAATTACTACTTTAGTAGTTCTTCAAAGTAAATAAGGCATACTTTTCTGAAATATGAATCACTTAGATCATGTGCAGTAGCTTCAGGTAGAGATCTCCTCGCGAAGCAACTGCTTTCTATCCCTCTGGATCGCGTGTTCTCGCCTCTCTCCGTCTCTGTGTCTGCTCCACACCACTGAGGTATAATAAGCTCCACACAGATCGGACGAGTAGGCGGGCGTGCAATGGATTATGGTCATTGTAGTTAATTACCACCTTTTCTGCGCTAAACTAAATGTAGAATATTGGCTTGTTGGAAACTCCCTACTACATCGCACAGTTCGGGCTTGATCTGATTTATCTCTAGAGAAACTGTGCATCGAGCTCACAGGAAAAAAAACGAACCAAATGGAATTCAAATAATTGAACAGAGTTCCAAAAAATAACAGCAGCACTGGTGTCTGTGTGTGTGTGTGTGTGTGTCTGTACCTAGCTCGTGCTCATCAGGACAGCCCCTCTGTCTCAGTCTGTGTATGAGCTCCAGGCAGGCCAGGTAGGGCCCTCTGAGAGGACGAGACTCCTTCTTGTCCTGCTCCTCCATCCTGTCCACCACAAACTTCACTGCCTCTGCCACCGTGGTCTGCACTGGACCCTCCACACAGCTAGAGAGAAGGGGGAGGCAGACGAGATAGTCAGGTTCTTTGTTTGATCAGTCCATCTCTTCTCTTATACAAGAGCAGAATCTCTAACAAGCAATGGCCTCTTCTAATAGTCCGCTATTATATAATATTTTCTCACTCACACACCCTCACACACCCTCACACACCAGGGTTTCCGTTAGCCGGCAATTGCCGGCTTTTGGCCAATAAAAACTTTTGCCGGCCAAAATGATCAAAAAAAAGAAATAAAAAATAGCTTTCTATTCATTGACGGAAATACCAGTCGATGGAAATACATTTGATCGTCATGCTTATCGGTCTATAGGTTAATTTGCATAATATAGTGGAATTTGCATAAACTAGTGGAATTAAATTGGCATATGTGTATTTTCGTTAATCATCAAGTAGCCCATCTTATTTATCCAACACAACTATCAGACGCGCACAGCATTCAGAGCCTATTCTGAGGGGGTTTGTCCTGCTGCTCCTCAGCTGGTTGCTGCTGGAGGAAAACATGCTTTTATAAGCCCATTCATTGCACAACAATTCTAAATGCAGTCACGTGTTAAAAACAGTTCTTGTGCACAATTAAAAACAGCTTGGCTTACTATTTTTATTTCTCAACTTTATTACCGCCTAATTGAAGAGCGCCTCCCATTCACCATTCAAGTGCAAGCAACAGGCTATCAGCTTGTCACCTCCCCTTTAAAAATGTGAGCTGGAGGCATTAGGGCCTATGCATTTTGAAAACATAGGCCTACTTAATTGTTTGAAACCTGAATGTTTTACTTTATATTATGAGGCATGTCTTACCTTGCTTCAAAGTAGTCTATAGGCAAATCCGACCCTGGAAACGTGGAGGCAATTATTTTATAAAGATTTCATAGGCGGCGCGTGAGTTTCAAGTTTGGGGAAGCAATTTATTCTCCTAACATTTCTACCGATCTGCGTGCCAGTTATGATTTTCATTTGCGCATTTCAATAATAACGTTTTCGTTTCTCAGAATCATTGTCACATGGTTAATCATACAAATCTGAATTAAAATGATAAAAATAAAAAAGTTAAAAATTCAACTAATGCGAGAGCAGCAGCCTCTACCATATGGACACATTGATACACCGTGATCCATTGGCTGCTAAAGAAATGAGCGCATAGAACTCAAAGCCTATAGGCCAATGCAGCAGTAGGCCTATTACTTCCATTGTCAACTAAGTTCAAAAACATTAAGTCTACAAATAAAAACAGAAAATCTGATAAATTCAGGTTTTTTCAATTGCATTAATCTCTCTACTCAGCCTGTCTGCATCCCTTTCTATATGTCTTGACTTAAGCTACTCTTTTTATAAATTCCTCATTACTACTGGTGATGGGGAATTGATCAAAATAAACAAAGGACAAACAATTTACACAATGAAACAATGAATGTGCAAGAATTGGAGGGAGACATCTGAGCCATTCTGGTGAGAGACTCCCCTATATCTTCGCAACACACCCCTCCCTCGCCTTCTTGCCTCATCATTTTTTAATTATACTCAAGACACAATCTATACACATATTTTAGATGCTTTTCACTGACAGCCGCAACTCAATAATTAGCCAGGCCTATTGCCACGCGTTCTGCCCAAATTGCGGCCTTGCAAATAGGCATAGTCCTACAAGCTTGTGATTTCTAACAGTCCACAGCTATTTTATTGTTTTTAAAGCTAATGATCATCGATTCCTCTGTGGATGTCATGCTTTCTGGTGAAGTATTTTGAATGATTTTATTTATGTATAGACAGGAGTATAACCTTTTGGATGCACCGCCAATGAAAGACTTCCTCATGTGCCATTTCTCTCCTGTTCTATTGGTTTTCATACAGTGAGGGAAAAAGGTATTTGATCCCCTGCTGATTTTGTACGTTTGCCCACTGACAAAGAAATAAGTCTATAATTTTAATGGTAGGTTTATTTGAACAGTGAGAGACAGAATAACAACAAAAAAATCCAGAAAAACGCATGTCAAAAATGTTATACATTTATTTGCATTTTAATGAGGGAAATAAGTATTTGACCCCCTCTCAATCAGAAAGATTTCTGGCTCCCAGGTGTCTTTTATACAGGTAACGAGCTGAGATTAGGAGCACACTCTTAAAGGGAGTGCTCCTAATCTCAGCTTGTTACCTGTATAAAAGACACCTGTCCACAGAACAATCAATCAGATTCCAAACTCTCCACCATGGCCAAGACCAAAGAGCTCTCCAAGGATGTCAGGGACAAGATTGTAGACCTACACAAGGCTGGAATGGGCTACAAGACCATCGCCAAGCAGCTTGGTGAGAAGGTGACAACAGTTGGTGCGATTATTCGCAAATGGAAGAAACACAAAATAACTGTCAATCTCCCTCGGCCTGGGGCTCCATGCAAGATCTCACCTCGTGGAGTTGCAATGATCATGAGAACGGTGAGGAATCAGCCCAGAACTACACGGGAGGATCTTGTCAATGATCTCAAGGCAGTAGGGACCATAGTCACCAAGAAAACAATTGGTAACACACTACGCCGTGAAGGACTGAAATCCTGCAGCTCCCGCAAGGTCCCCCTGCTCAAGAAAGCACATATACAGGGCCGTCTGAAGTTTGCCAATGAACATCTGAATGATTCAGAGGAGAACTGGGTGATGGTCAGATGAGACCAAAATCGAGCTCTTTGTCATCAACTCAACTCGCCGTGTTTGGAGGAGGAGGAATGCTGCCTATGACCCCAAGAACACCATCCCCACCGTCAAACATGGAGGTGGAAACATTATGCTTTGGGTGTGTTTTTCTGCTAAGGGGACAGGACAACTTCAAAGGGACGATGGACGGGGCCATGTACCGTCAAATCTTTGGTGAGAACCTCCTTCCCTCAGCCAGGGAATTGAAAATGGGTCGTGGATGGGTATTCCAGCATGACAATGATCCAAAACACACGGCCAAGGCAACAAAGGAGTGGCTCAAGAAGAAGCACATTAAGGTCCTGGAGTGGCCTAGCCAGTCTCCAGACCTTAATCCCATAGAAAATCTGTGGAGGGAGCTGAAGGTTCGAGTTGCCAAACGTCAGCCTCGAAACCTTAATGACTTGGAGAAGATCTGCAAAGAGTGGAACAAAATCCCTCCTGAGATGTGTGCAAACCTGGTGACCAACTACAAGAAACGTCTGACCTCTGTGATTGCCAACAAGGGTTTTGCCACCAAGTACTAAGTCATGTTTTGCAGAGGGGTCAAATACTTATTTCCCTCATTAAAATGCAAATCAATTTTTAACATGCATTTTTCTGGATTTTTGTTGTTGTTATTCTGTCTCTCACTGTTCAAATAAACCTAGCATTAAAATTATAGACTGATCATGTCTTTGTCAGTGGGCAAACGTACAAAATCAGCAGGGGATCAAATACTTTTTTCCCCTCACTGTATCAACTTTCTTTCATTGTCCAGAAGCCAAAGGCACAGTCCTAGTCATATTAGCAACCCATCCTAGTTGTTGCATCTTTAGATTCCCCCTCTTTCTATGTTTCTAATGGAGATTTTCATCTCTATCACATATGGAACCGCTCTCATCGGGTGCGCTGTTTAGAATGGAGTTTTCCCACAAATTGCATTTTGGCAAATGTTTGAAAATGACGTTTTATTGGCTGCTTCATTACAGGAATTGAATGTTCTGTTAAGTTGCATTACCATAATCTAAATGTGATTTCTGTCATTCTGAGCACCGTGGGTGGACGCCCTAATGGGTCCGGTAAATTTCTCAAATGGCCGATAAATTAAAAGCTTCCTGGTCACAATTAATTTTCTCCTTTCCCCCTTCTGATAACCAGGTGGCGAATCGCATCTCTGCATGTCTGGCAGACATATCAGTGTGGATGTCGGATCATCACCTCAAGCTGAACCTCGGCAAGACGGAGCTGCTCTTCCTCCCGGAGAAGGACTGCCCGCTCCATGATCTCGCCATCACGGTTGACAACTCCATTGTGTACTCCTCCCAGAGTGCAAAGAACCTTGGCGTGACCCTGGACAACACCCTGTCGTTCTTCGCTAACATCAAAGCGGTGACCCGATCCTGCAGGTTCATGCTCTACAACATTCGCAGAGTACGACCCTACCTTACACAGAAAGCGGCACAGGTCCTAATCCAGGCACTTGTCATCTCCCGTCTAGATTACTGCAACTCGTTGTTGGCTGGGCTCCCTGCCTGTGCCATTAAACCACTACAGCTTATCCAGAACGCTGCAGCCCGTCTGGTGTTCAACCTTCCCAAGTTCTCTCATGTCACCCCGCTCCTCCGCACACTCCACTGGCTTCCAGTTGAGGCTTGCATCTACTACAAGACCATGGTGCTTGCCTACGGAGCTGTGAGGAGAACGGCACCTCCTTACCTTCAGGCTCTGTTCAGACCCTCCACCCAAACGAGGGCACTACGTTCATCCACCTCTGGCCTGCTAGCCCCCCTACCTCTACGGAAGCACAGTTCCCACTCAGCCCAGTCAAAACTATTCGCTGCTCTGGCACCCCAATGGTGGAACAAGCTCCCCCACGACGCCAGGACAGCGGAGTCACTGACCACCTTCCGGAGACACTTGAAACCCTACCTCTTTAAGGAATACCTGGAATAGTATAAAAGTAATCCTTCTACCCCCCCTCCCCCACCATAAAAAAATAAAAATAGGGTGGTTGTCCCACTGGCTATCATAAGTTGAATGCACCAATTTGTAAGTCGCTCTGGATAAGAGTGTCTGCTAAATGACGTAAATGTAAACGTAAATGTCACATTGTCCGGCGCCACATTTTCCTAACGGAAACCCTGACACACACAGTACTCACTACTCTTCTTCCTTAGGTAGGCTCCAGGACTTGTCCATCAGATGGAAAAGAGAGTCAAAGTAGGAGAGATAGAACTGCCAATCATCAGGACTGTAGAGAGAAGAGAGAGAGAGAGAGAGAGAGAGAGAGAGAGAGAGAGCGAGAGAGAGAGAGAGCGAGATCAAGACCAACTACGTAAGAGCAATGCTGAAGTGTGTGCATAAATGTGAGTTTGTATATGAATGTGTTTACTCACTTTTTGAGCAGTAGCTTGTAGGACAGAGCATTGCATTCAGGCCAGAGCTGCAGTCGTTGGTACATCATCATACACTTATTCTCCCTGCTCTGCAATTCACTGGTCAACTTCTCTATGAGACCGCAAACATACACAGAGTGGGTAGAAAGACATGAACAAGTCACACAGCGAACAAGTCACACAGCAAACAACCCAGAAGCTGCACAAATCTGCTCTCCGAGTGTCTCACACACAAAATCTCTGTCCACTCTTACCTCCCAGTGGACCGCGGACCACGTCCAGAGCCTCCACACACTTCCCCAGCCGCTCCAGGATCATAAAGTACAGTTGCACCTCTGCCTCAGCCTCGATCTTCTCCTCCTTGACCATCTTCTCCACCATGCGTTCAGCCAGGGGCAAGAACATGGTCTGGGCCAACTTCTCATCCTGCGCAGAGATGGCCTGAAACACACACAGTCACACACACATACAGACAGACTCTCACAGTCACACATACAGACAGACTCACACAGTCACACACACATACAGACAGACTCTCACAGTCACACAGACAGACAGACAGACTCACACAGTCACACATACAGACAGACTCACACAGTCACACACACACATACCGACAGACTCTCACAGCCACACATACAGACAGACTCACACACACATACAGACAGACTCACAGTCACACACACATACAGACAGACTCTCACAGTCACACAGACAGACAGACTCACACAGTCACACATACAGACAGACTCACACAGTCACACACACATACCGACAGACTCTCACAGCCACACATACAGACAGACTCACACACACATACAGACAGACTCTCACAGTCACATAGACAGACAGACTCTCACAGTCACATAGACAGACAGACTCTCACAGTCACACAGACAGACTCACACAGTCACACACACAGACAGACTCACACAGTCACACACACAGACAGACAGACTCACACAGTCACTCAAGCTATATATTTAGTGAGAGACCATGCCTACCTGCATGACCAGACTCATGACAGACCAGAAGTAGTAGGGGTTCTTAGGAACGATCTTATACAAAGCCATCCCTGCCTAGAGAGAGAGAGAGAGAGAGAGAGAGAGAGAGAGAGAGAGAGAGAGAGAGAGAGAGAGAGAGAGAGAGAGAGAGAGAGAGACGAGAGAGAGAGAGAGAGAGAGAGAGAGAGAGAGAGAGAGAGAGAGAGAGAGAGAGAGAGAGAGAGAGAGAGTTAGAACAATAGAAAAGAAGACAACTTAGTATTTGTTGACATCATGTGAATATTGAAGTCACCAGTTGGGGGTAGTTAACCCTTTGACACATACGATCACATATTTGTGATCATTGTTGACTGGTCCCTGCAGCGTACCATCACAAATATGTGATTGGAACAGTAGCAACAGAACGTATGATGCAACAAACGCATCTAAACAGCATTGTTGTCTGAAAAGCATCTAAACAATGTTTTGTACGGCTGGGAAATAAAGGTCTTCACAACTTTATTCCTCAATTTCACAATTTATTGTAAAAGATAAATGCAAACTTCATCATTCAAACATCACACGGAACACATCCACAGCCAAACTCATTCCATAAAATAGTCTAAATAACAGGTTGCACTGAAAAAAAACTAAATATAAGTTAGCGACCTAACAGCTAGACTTGTTTACAATGTACCACATCTCTGGTGAGCACAAGGGAGAAATGTAATATCGTTTAGAAAAGAGATGCGTGTCAGCTAAGCTAACAACAGCTAAATTCTTTATGATGGCAACCATGTTTGTTTATGTTAGACAAGCGAAAACTCCCTAATCCCAGAATACCATTCACTATAAGACGCAAATAAACAAAGTCAAAGATGGCTGCGCCCATTGGCTGAAAAATATTAACTTAGTTTGGCTACTTTTCAGCATATTACAAATCTTTGATTTACTTGTTACAGTGTATACAAGAACCGGAGCACATGACTTGACAAGTTGTTTACCGTTTTTTGACAAATCACAAAGCAAATAAAATGTTATCACCTAGCCTACCTGTAGTGCGAAAGCTAAACAGGGATGAAACCCTCTCTCCCTCCCATCCCGGAGGACCTGAGCCCTAGGACCATGCCTCAGGACTCCCTGGCCTGATGACTCCTCACTGTCCCCAGTCCACCTGGTCGTGCTGCTGCTCCAGTTTCCACTCTTCTGCCTGCGGCTATGGAACCCTGACCTGTTCACCGGACGTGCTACCTTGTCCCAGACCTGCTGATTTCAACTCTCTCTCTCTACCGCACCAGCTATTTCAACCTCTAAATGGCCGGCTATGAAAAGCCAAGTGACATTTATTCCTGATGTACTGACCTGTTGCAACCTCCACCCGGCACAACCAGAAGGGGACTGGCCACCCATCAGAGCCTGGTTCCTCTATAGGTTTCTTCCCAGGTTTCTGCCTTTCTAGGGAGTTTTTCCTAGCCACCGTGCTTCTACATCTGCATTGCTTGCTGTTTGGGGTTTTAGGCTGGGTTTCTGTATAGCACTTTGTGACATCTGCTGATGTAAAAAGGGCTTTATAAATACATTTTGATTGATTGATTGAAACCATTTTAGGGGGGTTTGTGGGGGGGTCTGAGCTGGCAACCCTGAGGTACCATAGAACACATTCTGATGCCGCGTTCAAAACAACTGGGATCTCGGAAATCTCCGACTTCAGTGCGTTCAAGACAACTGGGAACTCAAAAAATAATTATTATAACATCGTTTTGAACGGTCATCCAACTCGGTATTCCAACTCGGGAACTCGGGCCTCTTTCTAAAGCTCCAACCTTCCGACCTGAAGATCACTGACATCATGATTTGTCCTCATATTTTTCAGAGTTCCCAGTTGTCTTGAAAGCACCACAAGTCAGTCTAGTGGACTATCCCTTGTTATAACATCTTTGGTCTGACAGACGCTTAACGTGGCAACCAGAATGTATGATGTCAACAAACATGGCGGCACACATAGCTATCAAATAGCTTAGCATTAGCTCATCATAATCAGTACAACCTTCAAAAAAGTATTTTACACACATCATATGTGTCCATTACAATCTATGCAAGAATCGGAACGCATGATTTCTCACCAGTACTTGAAAACATGTAAATAAAACAGTAAATACATTATGATCCATACATACGATATGCTACAGTAGCAACGACAACACGATATACAGAAAATAAGGCACTTACTTTGATAGGAACACACACATGTCCAAAGTCCAATTTGTAAGGAAAACAACAATGAACGCAATGCGGGCGCCAGCCAGAAAATGTGCCGGGGGAATAGGTTTGTGCAAGGCCTGTTCTGACTAGAGATGCGCAATGTCTTCATACTTGATCTGGGGAAACCCTGGGGAAGTGCTTGGGCTCTCGTTGAAGAGAGAAGTTTGTCCTGCTCAGTAAAGCCTCAAACATAAATTGTCCTCAACAGTGAAATGGGCTACTTCTTATGTGAATTAATGAGGAGGCGGAACACACCTCAATTTAAACTGTTAGAAAATAAAACTTGTTAGAAAATCATTTCAAATGGACATTTTGGAACAGTGAGTGCATTTTGACATCACGCGCAAAAAAAACTCACGCTGGGGCAACTGGAACTCACACATGAATAGGTTAAAGCAGTTGTATTTAATGTTTGTGGAAAAGCTGGGGAAGTGTGTGTGTGTGTGTGTATGTGTCTGCGTGTGTTTTCTGACCTGCTGCATCTTCTTGTACTCTCCAACACGGGCGTAGGCCATGAACAGGTGAGAGTGATACTCTTCACTGAGGGGAACCTTCTTCACCGCAGCTTCATACAGCTTAGTCACCAACTCAGCTACAGACAGAGGAGGGATGGGGAAGACTCAACACCATCACAGCATCTAAGGCCTTTGCAGACTATGTTGGATTCAGTCTTTTACAATCATCACGTCACACTGTGCAATGTAACTAAATAAAAATATTGATATCAACCTGGCCAGCTTGTACGATTTGCTTCAGTTCTGTCACCACATTCTGCCGACGTAGGCTATGTCAACTGTCAACTGTAGCGGTGTATTTGATCTGCGCATGTGCCAGCACCAGCTTATGCTCGAGTACGGAAAAAATGAAAGTATGCAGAGTTTTCACATACAAACTTTATATGTCCGAACTCAGAATCAAATAGGCTTCCTTAAAATAACATGGTCGCTGTGGTACATTTATTTTGATTGGCGATTTGGTGCATTTATCAAAATCCCATCAGGTAGCCTGATTTCAGATTATTAGGGAAATCGTTATTTTTGCACAGCATGTAAACGTTTAAATCAAACTATTATATTAATCTGACTATTCACAATAATGTGCATACTTAGTGCCGGACGTATTCCTATTGGTCAGTCACCGGGATCGGCTTGTAACACCAGCCACACTACACGATAAATGCAAAACAATTCTGACACTGCCAGAACTTTGTCGGAGCTTACAACCGCACGCAGTGGTACTTAAAATCGGCAGACCTAGACCCTGTCACTCTGAACGAGCAAAGACGTCCAACAATCGTTTACGACCTAACAATTTGCCTACGAAGTGGACATTTTGTCTGGGACGGAAAGAATCATGGCATAAGACAGCTAAAATCGTACAGTGTATGGGGGCGCTTTAAAGATATTTCACAGAGTTCTGTGTTTGGGGGGGGGGGGGGGGGGGGGGGGGGGTGGATGTGTGTGTGTTTTTGGTTTTACCATCCTTGTGGGGACCAGAAGTACTCAAAAGGATAGTAAAACAAGAACAATCTGGAAAAGTGGGGACATTTTGCTGGTCCCCACAAGGAAAAATATCATGTTAGGTTTAGGGTTACAATTAGGGTTAGGGGTTAGGTTAAGGGTTAGGGAAAATAAGATTTTGAATGGGAATCAATTGTTTGGTCCCCACAAGGATAGTAAAACAAATGTGTGTGTGTGTGTGCGCGTACTCACGGCGGTGCATCTCCCTGTACAGTATAGTGAGAGCCTGTAATGAGTTGTCGTCGGTGGGTTCCAGGGTCGCCACCTCCTGGGCCAGGCTAAATGCTTCATCCTGTTTCCCTGTTCGCTGCAGACCGATGGCTTTCAACACCTGGGGAGAGGGAGATCTGCCTGAGTAACATGCCACCACCATCATCATAGGGGGTAGAGGTTAGGGGCACGGTTTTAGGTAAGACCTAGGGGGTCAGTTTTGGATATAAGTCCTCGTCTCTCCTTCAGTCATTAACCCAACTTAACTTACAGCTGGTGGCGAGGAGTTTTTGACCAGAGCAGGAAAAACTCTGGGCTCCATCTTGGGTCCTAAATACAGCCCAGAGCCAGAGTCCCACCCACCTTGGCACAGTGCAGGTCCTTGTGTTTCTTCAGCAATTTGTCAGCCTGCTGGATCGCCATCTTGTTGTTGCCATTGTCCAGGTAGTCTGACGGGAGATGACATTACAGAATCAGTCAACCTACTCCATACAGTAGTATAACACATACACGTAAAACGGAGGATGTCCAATCAAAAACACATATTTTGACCAATGGGTAAAATATGTGAATTGTGTAAATAATCCTCTAAAACAACCAATGGTCCAAACCTCATGTGCCTATCATAATAACCTTTCAAAAGTTATTGGAGTTTTTACCCTTGTAGGATGGCCAAAATTAGGCTTACTAAAACGAGAAAAAAATAATTGAAAATAAGGACAATTGCACAGCAGAGCATCGCGTCAGCTAGGCTGGATGCTGTGAGAGAATAAAGGCTACCTGACAGGCTCACTTTCCCGTTGAACTCGAATAAGCAGGACATAAAACAATATAGAGGTTAGATAGATATCGATTTTGAGACATGACATGTAGTATTTCTTTATTTTAGTATACGCTTTTTATATTCATGAAAAATTCATGTGTTTTATGTAGCGTATCTCTGAAAGCGTATCTCTGAAATGTCAACTGAGCGTACCATAAGCTTTTTTTTTTTTTCAAAGGCTTTTATATGTAATTCAGCTTGTCATGCTAATTTAGCTTCTTCTTTTTTTCAATGCACACACCAAGACAAGCACGCACACAGTCCCTTTAACAGGGCAAGTTGGGGTCTAGACTTCAGGACAGCTGGATGCCAAAATTAACCCTGCAAGACAGACACAAAGTGCTCTACAGCTACACAATGTCATCAGCCCAAATGACAGCTACGCCTACATCAATATGTCTCGTGTTGGCCATCAGGGTTTCCTATTCTTCATAAACAGCTATATTTTCATTGTGTTCAGTGTCCACTCATTGACAGCCTCTGTCAAGTGATGATAATCAACTCTACATGATTTCAGCAGAGCATTTGAGGAATGGGAAACAGAGAGAAAGCTGAGAGACCAAACAGATGTCTCAACAACGGTGCATGTAATTAGAGCAGTATGAAAATAAATCTAACTGGATCTAGCTAGCTATCTGTATGATGAAACACGTCACTAGAATGTCATCGAATGTCTCAAATCAAAGGCTACAACACAACCAGGCATATCAAGCTAGCCAACCTTAATCCTCTTATACCCATCTGACACATAACAGCAGGCTAACCAGCTATAGCCTTCCTGCTTTGTAGCTAGCTAACCGATGAGTTAACAGAGTTGGTATCAGCATCAGAGTGAGACACGAAATCAAAAACACCCGCTAATAAAAATCAAGCTAACCAGCTAGCATCACAACTATTGCCTCTGTAACGTTACCAGCCAAACCATTGCATTCTTTACTAGCTACCTACCGTTAGTTAGCTAACGGTAAAATGCATCTGACCAATTTGTGCAACTAATACACCCAGGTGTATCTGACCAACTAACTAGTTAGCTAAACGTTAGTTAGGCATAGTTACTGATATTTCTGTCGCATACAAAACTATTTGTAATAACGTTACGGCTCAGATCCATCACGGTTTCTGCATGCTAAAATGGCTAGCCAACACCGCTAACCTTTAGTTAACTAGCTAGCTGTCAAATAAAGGAGAACTGAATTTAGTAAGTGGGAGAGAATGATCGCTGAAACTCTTTTAGGGTGTCGTTCAAAGCAAAGATGTTTCACCGTGCATTGAATAACGATGGGCAAAATGTCTGCAGTTGTGCGCTGTCAGAATTGTGCTGACATCCACTCAAGCCAAGGTGCACTGTCATTCGGCGCTGCAGGCGAATTGAGTCCGGGGCTGGGACTTCGGGGGCCCTGGTGCTGCCCACCGAGTCCGGGACACAAGTTACTGATCAGACGACCACTCCGGTACATCGATAAACAATGACAACACATTTAACCAGACACAGATGTGCTGTTTCCCTGCGAATTGTTACCGTAAATGGGTCTAAGTCTCCGGTCGTTAGGGTCTTGCACATGGCCTCTCGCCGCCATGTTGGAGGTTACCAGTATATGTCTGAGCATGCGCAGTCGCGTCAAACCGGCAGGAATTAAAAGGGGCAGTAGGATTTATCTGAATGTTCAATCTACTCAATACAGCAAATGCCAAATAAATGGTAAAATACCGTATCAGTATGTCAACTGCAGTGGTGTAAAGTACTTAACTAAAAATAATTTAAAGTACTACTGAAGTAGTTTTTTGGGGTATCTGTACTTAACTTTACTATTTATATTTTTGTCATCTTTTAATTTTTACTTCACTACATCCCTAAAGAAAATTATGTACTTTTTACTCCATACATTTTCTCTGACACCCAAAACTACTCGTTTCATTTTGAATGCTTAGTAGGACAGGGAAATGGTCAAATTCACACACTTATCAAGAGAACATCCCTGGTCATCTGCCTCTGATCTGCCAGACTCACTAAACACAAATTCTTCATTTGTAAACTATGTCTGAGTGTTGGAATGTGTCCCTGGCTATCCGTAAATTTAAAAAACGCGAAAATTGTTCCGTCTATTTTGCTTAATATATGGAATTTGAAATGATTTATACTTTTACTTTTAATACTTAAGTATATTTAAGCAATTACATTTACTTTTGATACTTAAGTATATTTCAAACCAATTACTTTAAAGATTTCTACTCAAGTATTATTTTACTGGGTGACTTTCACTTTTACTTTAGTCATTTTCTATTAAGGTATCTTTACTTTTACTCAAGTATAACAATTGGGTACTTTTCCTACCACTGGTCAAAAAAAGCCTGGCGGGGAGCCGCGTTGCGCCAGTAACCGAAAGGAGCCGACAAGGTAAATATCTGCAGTTCTGACCCAACAATTGCTCCCCGGGCGCCGATGACTTGGATTTCGAATAAGGCAGCCCCCCACACCTCTCTGGATGGGTTGAATGCGGAAGACACATTTCAGTTGAATACATTAAATTGTACAACTGTATCCCCCTTTCCCAACTGCCATTTACCCATACTGTCATAATTTGAAAAGATTATGTGGTTTTGTTACATGCAGTTCACAATGACACATGATTGTTGTGTTAAACTGTGCCACTAGGGGTCATTCTTGGTCTGTCAAACTCTGGTCAAACCTTTAAAAAAGATTGTTGTGCTCTGATCTGCTCTAATTTTATAATTTTAATTTAAAATGTCTCCATTAAAATGTCATTGATCATAATATAATAATACCCTATGTATGGGAGTGATATACCGATCTACGTATCAGGATGATGTCTTTAACTAAACAACTGCATATCACTTGAAATGGTCCCCACTCCAGTCCTTACCCAGATAATGTGTTGTACTTTCTTCACCACTACATGGCCATAAAAATATATGGTCTACTGAAACTAGACCTTCTATAAATCTTTTTCTGTCTACCTCTGGAGAGGTGAGCGTTGACTGAGACATCACACCAGCTCTAGGTGAGAATGACAACGTGAATGGACAAAGAGTAAATTAAGAAAAGGATACAAAGCTTTCTTTACCTTTGTCATTTATTGACTTGGTTGGAACCCAGAGATGTTGGAGAACAGGAAGACACTGAACCATTTCTCAGAGGAGAAAGGAAATACAGCACTATTATCCAGTGCTTGACTTGGGCAGAAGATAACTGGAGCTGACTACCGGCACCTCACATTTTCTACTGCTTGAGCTCCTGCACCTCTTATAGAATATTAGCACAAAACTATTGTGGAGCTCCTGTACCTAAATATAAACAGTACCGGCACCCAAAATGAGTACTGGCACCTATTTCAGTGCAAGTCAAGCACCGCTACTATCATATGAAATGCCCATGAAAAGCCCTCATGCAAAAAAGGGGCATAATTTTAGCAGAATACATTGATCCATTTCACATTGCATTACTCAAAAGTTCTAGGCAATATCCATTTTATTGTAGTATTTATTTTTTACAGTCACTTCCAGGGCCTGGCCCTATGTGGTATCTGGCCCCCAGGTAAGGGCTGACATGCTGACCTGGGCAATTATATATTTTTCGTCATGATGTCAATCTAGTAACCCGGAAGAGGTTTGTAACAGGGGTCAGATCGAATTTCATAAGTAAATTGGTGAACTGGAAAATAAATAATTTATGGAAATGTGATATCGTATTTTGAGGTAAGACGGTGGTATGTGGGCTCGTTAGAACGTCGTTATATTAGCTAGCTAGTGTTTCGTTAAACGTCATTTGTCCCTCTTTTTAGCCAGGCATTTGGCTTGCTAACGTTAGATGCTAGCTCGCTAGGATAACTTGCTAGCTAGCTGTTATCCAGTCTTTGTTTTGTTTTTTCGTCGAGAAGAATCGTCATTATTTCATAACACATGAGTGTGTCACTGGTCGTTATCCGTCTGGAGCTCGCAGACCAGTCTCTTTCTCCACAGGATTTCCAATACACCGCTGGTGAGTTTAATTATTTCAGTTTTAATACTGAAGTCACCATCTTGCTAGCTACTAGCAGCAGCTAGATATATAGCTAATTTAACTAGTCCGCAGTGACGTATGGTGTTTGTTTTTGCACTCTTCCTCACAGGAGTATTATTTTATAGACAACTAGCTAGCTAGCCTAATACATTTAATATTATGTGAAGCAGGCAAGAATAACTAAGTACTTCCGAGTCACGGATTTTCGGAAATCCTTCAGAATAAGAGTTCCGTCCTGTATACGTTGTAAATTAATAATTAGGGTGAAAATGATGTCAAATGTGCACAAATATTGATATAGTTTATACTAGCATACAAATAATAATTAAAAGTTTATTTTTTTCAAGTCTGAATGGTCAACAATTATTTTTGTGTGTGTACTCCTATCATTTATTGGACCATACACAATTTTCTGTACATTGTGTCCAGTAAAAGGACCATTCTACTCAGGAGCACTTGTAGTTTCCAAATCCAAAGAGTTTACACCCAGAGGAGCGTTGCTGCTAATTTTGCGGACCTTAAGAGTGGCCAATCAATTTAAACCCAATCTTTACTTTTTTTCACATTGGAAATACAAATTGCTCTTCTTACAATTTTCTGTAGGTTGCGTCGCAATAAAGTGTGTGTGTGTGTGTGTGTGTGTGGGGGGGGGGGGGGGGGTCCATTCTACTCAGTAGCACTTCTACTTTCCAAATCCACTGAGTTTACAGCCAGAGGAGCGCCAATCAGCTTTAATCCAATAGTTTTTTCATATTGGACATGCAAAAATAGAAGATTAGATTTAAGCTGATTGGCCACTCTTTTAAGGGCCGCAGTGACGCTCCTCGGAGTGTAAACTCTGTGGATTTGGAAACGAGAAGTGCCTCTGAGTAGAATTGGACCCCCCCTTGTACTGCGACACAATGTACAGACAATTGTGTACGGTGCAATATGTATGTCCAGTATGAAAAAACAATTGGATTTAAGCCACTCTTTAAGGTCCGCAAAATGAGCAGCAACGCTCCTCTGGGTGTAAACTCTGTGGATTTCGAAACTAGAGGTGCTCCTGAGTAGAATGGATCCCCCTTTTTACTGCGACAAAATGTAAAGAAAATTGCGTACGGTGCAATAAATGATAGGCGTACACACATAAAAACATTGTTGACCATTTAGGCTTGAAAAAATAAACAAATACATCATATTTCTTATATAAATACTTTTAATTATTATTTGTATAATAACTAGTATAAAATATATCGATAATTGTGCAAATTTTCATCCTAATTATTAATTTACAAAAGTATACAGGACATGATTCTTATTCTGAAGGATTCCAAAAAATCTGTGACCTGGAAGTACATAGTTATTCTTGCCAGCTTCACAGTGGTAGAACATAGAGCAGCGGAATAATTCAGTTTGAGGAGTCAGGCAACAGCATCAGAGCAAGTCACTCCCTCCTCTTACCAGCAGAGACCTGCTCAGGTTACTGTTTCTGGAACACATTTGTATGAGTAATTCAGCAATGATGGCAATAGGTATTGTATTGATCCAGAAGTTGATGCTTTGTGTTTGCCTATTCACCCTCTTTCTCTCCCCCTCTTGCTCTCTGGCCCTGTAGTTGAGGATATGTCAGAGGAGGATTTGCAGGAGAAAGCTCTGGGCTCAGCCAGGCTCTCTCTGAGTGGGAAGACAGAGCTGGAGAGAGCAGCAGTTCTACAACAGCACATCGGCAGCAGAGCCATGGGAGACATGGTCATCGAGACCTTCGCACCCAACCTTGGTAAGAATCAGGGTGTATAGCTATATGGATGACATATTTAATTAATGTGATGCTGTACACGAACCAATGCATTATTATTTGTTGGCATGTAATAATACTAATACATGTGGTGTGTGTGTGTATAGGGAGATGGTATGTGTTAAAATATTCTGAGATTTCAGAATTACTAACTAAAGAAAATACAGCTGTGGGTATCAATCTCAGTCAGACTTTATAGGAATAGAAACTACTAGAAACCTCAATTTCTCCCCTGTAGATAAAGAAGAGGGTGCGCAGGCCGAGGGACAGGAGGGTGGAGGAGCCCAGCTCCTAGAGGATCAACCAGACGGGAGGGGTCCAACTGAGGACACTACTAAGGAGGGCCCTACGGAGGTCAGTGCCGAGGGCACAGAGGCGGCTCCAGACTCGCCCTCCAAGCAGCTTCCAGACCAGATCTCCTTCTTCAGTGGAAACCCCTCGGTGGAGATAGCCCACGGCATCATGCACCTCTACAAGACCAAGTGAGTCTCTGCTGCTATACACAACACTGAGTACGTTTACATGCAGACTAATAATTATATGTATGTTCCTAAAAACCAATGTGGAGGTGGGAGAGGAGGGACATGAAGCGTGTCACGCGTCAAATAGAACCAAGTTCTATTTTAGCGCCTGGCTACGCAGACGCTCGTTGACGCGCCCTAGCAGTTTGGATGAAATGATTGAATAACATGTATATGTACATTTATTTTGCAACGCGAGCGGTGTGGTCAGCATGTTGCTGTGAGAGAGTGTCTGGCCAAGGTCTGTTGAGGAAGGTGAACAGGTCATTTGTAAACATCATGGAGACCGGGTAGAGAGTAACTGCTACCAGAACGCTCGACCGCAAAGACAACATTCTAGTCGTCCGTTTGTTCAGAACCTAACAGTGCTCATTGAGTCTGAACCCATTGGCTTTATATTTCCATTCAATAGGCTTGGGCGGTATCCAGATTGGGATATTCTGTAATATCGGCACTGAACACAAGGGGCGCTATTTTCAAAAGGTTAGCAATGCTAACAAGTACATGTAAAATCCCATAGCGAATGCTAGCTACATGCTAAACAGCGGATTGCGAACATTTTATACAGTCTCTGACAAACTATTTGCAGGACAGACTTCCCAGCTCATGAAGTTATACAAGTAACTAAAAAAGGCTACTCAGTTTGCTGCACACTCAAAATAAATATTAGACAGCAAGGCTCTTGATCCAGGAGAAGCTTGATTTTGCAAGCTAACCAGCTAGATAACTACTAAGTTAGCAAACCAAATGCACAACTACAGAGCATTTAGCACATTTTAAACAGTTAACTTAATAGTTACAATATCTAGCTGGCAAACAATTAGTTGTGAATTCCATACTGTAACTATGGTACCAAGATGGCGTAGCAGTGCGGTCGTGTACTCTGTAGTGTGTCCGTGTAAATAGCCTTTTATATATTTCTCAATCTCACTTTTCATCTTTCAACTAAATATACTTTCCTGCAACCCACCTCACCCAATGTGGAACGGATTCTATTATTTCTTATACCTTTTTATCTTGAACCTCTGGCTGAAGCTAGCCAGCTAACTAGCTACTTGCTATTACATTGTCCGTGGCCTGCACTACCTACCAGCCAGCTCTAGCCTGGACAATTATCGGCCAGTCTGCACAGTCTGCACAGAGCGCTATCGACCCAGAACATATCAGATTTTCTGCCGGAATCACTGAATCACTGGACCTTAACACCGGATCATCGCAACTAGCTAGCTGCAACCGAATGGATGTTGTTGTTGGCTAATCAACCCCTGTCCCGAAGCAAGCACCAGTTAGCCTTGAGCTAGCCTCGAGCCAGGCCCATCTCCCGGCTATCTACCTCTCTGTCAACCGGACGGGACCTCCTAGTGTCGACACGGAGCCCCGCTGATCCATCACGACTGGTCTGCCGACGTGATCGTCTGATGCGGTTTCAACAGGCTTTCCGTTGCGACAACCATGAAGATCCATCTGCTAGCCCCGGCCCGCTAGCACACGCAATCAATAGCCGTGCCTCCTGCTCGCCTGTGCCGTAGCAGCCATCGAACTGCTCCCAGACTCACCTATTGCTGTTCACTGGACCTTATGATCACTCAGCTACACAGCTGATGCCTGCTGGACTGTTCCTTTACACGGTACCCCATCCTGTTTATCTGTCCTGTTTATCTGTTTAGCCTCAGCCCAAACTTTCGTCGCCATTACCAGTTGTTGTCTTAGCTCTCTTGAATAACACCTGTGATTGCTTTATGCCTCTCTCCCATGTCAATATGCCTTGCCTACTGCTGTTTCGGTTAGTTCTTATTATACAATTTCATTGTAGAGCCCTCAGTCCCGCTCAACCTGCCTCAGATAGCTCCTTTGTCCCACCCCCCATACACGCGGAGACCGGCTCAATTGGTGCCTCCAGTGATGCTATCGCTTTCATCGTTACCCAACGCTTAGGTTTACCTCCACTGTACTCATATCCTTCCATATCCTTGTCTGTACATAATGCCCTGAATCTATTCTACAACGCCCGGAAATCTGCCCCTTTTATTCTCTGTACCCAACGCACTAGAAGACCAGTTCTTAAAGCCTTTAGCCGTATCCTTATTCCTCTCCTCCTCTGTTCATCTGGTGATGTAGAGGTTAACCAAGGCCCTGTAGCCCCCAGTATCACTCCTACTCCCCAGGCGCTATCATTTGCTGACTTCTGTAACCGTAAAAGCCTTGGTTTCTTGCATGTTAACATCAGAAGCCTCCTCCCTAAGTTTGAGTTATTCACTGCGTTAGCACACTCCGCAAACCCTGATGTTCTAGCAGTGTCTGAATCCTGGCTTAGGAAGGCCACCAAAAACTCTGAAATGTCCATCCCCAACTACAACATTTTCCATCTAGATAGAACTGCCAAAGGGGGCAGAGTTGCAATCTACTGTAGAGATAGCCTACAGAGCTCTATCATACTATCCAGGTCTGTGCCCAAACAGTTTGAGCTTCTACTTCTAAAAATCCACCTTTCCAGAAATAAGTCTCTCACTGTTGCCGCTTGCTACAGACCCCCCTCAGCCCCCAGCTGTGCTCTGGACACCATATGTGATTTGATTGCTCCCCATCTATCCTCAGAGTTCGTACTGCTTGGTGACCTAAACTGGGATATGCTTAACACCCCGGCCGCCCTACAATCTAAACTAGATGTCCTCAATCTCACACAAATTATCAAGGAACCTACCAGGTACAACCATAAATCCGTAAACATGGGCACCCTCATAGATATCATCCTGACTAATTTACCCTCTAAATACACCTCCGCTGTCTTCAACCAGGATCTCAGCGATCACTGCCTCATTGCCTGCGTCCGTAATGGGTCCGCGGTCAAACGACCACCCCTCATCACTGTCAAACGCTCCCTAAAACACTTCAGCGAGGAGGCCTTTCTAATTGACCTGGCCCAGGTATCCTGGATGGATACTGCCCTTGACCAGCACAAAAACATCCTGTGGCGTACTGCATTAGCATCGAACAGCCCCCGCGATATGCAACTTTTCAGGGAAGTCAGGAACCAATATACACAATCAGTTAGGAAAGCAAAGGCTAGCTTTTTCAAACAGAAATTTGCATCCTGTAGCACTAACTCCAAAGTGTTTTTTTTTTGTTTGTTTGTTTAGCAGACGCTCTTATCCAGAGCGACTTACAGTTAGTGAGTGCATACATTTTCATACTGGCCCCCTGTGGGAAACTAACCCACAACCGTGGCGTTGCAAGCGCCATGCTCTACCAACTGAGCTACAGGGGTTCATGGAGAATAAGAGCACCTCCTCCCAGCTGCCCACTGCACTGAGGCTAGGAAACACTGTCACCACTGATAAATCTACGATAATCGAGAATTTCAATAAGCATTTTGCTACGGCTGGCCATGCTTTCCACCTGGCTACCCCTACCCCGGCCACCAGCTCTGCAACTTGCCCACCTCTGCCACGCTCAAGGTCCTAAACGATATTATAACCGCGATCGATAAAAGACTGTCCAGCCGTCTTCATCGACGTGGCCAAGGCTTTCGACTCTTTCAATCACCGCATTCTTATCGGCAGACTAAATAGCCTTGGTTTCTCAAATTACTGCCTCGCCTGGTTCACCAACTACTTCTCAGAGTTCAATGTGTCAAATCGGAGGGCCTGTTGTCTGGACCTCTGGCAGTCTCTATGGGGGTGCCACAGGGTTCAATTCTCGGGCCGACTCTATTCTCTGTGTATATCAATGATGTCGCTCTTGCTGCTGGTGACTCTCAGATCCACCTCTACGCAGACGACACCATTTTGTATACATCTGGCCCTTCATTAGACACTGTGTTAATAAACCTCCAAACGAGCTTCAATGCCATACAACACTCCTTCCGTAGCCTCCAACTGCTCTTAAACGCTATTAAAACTAAATGCATGCTCTTCAATCGAACGCTGCTTGCACCCGCCCACCCGACTAGAATCACTACTCTCGGCGGGTCTGACTTAGAATATGTGGACAACTACAAATACCTAGGTGTCTGGTTAGACCGTAAACTCTCCTTCCAGACTCACATTAAGCATCTCCAATCCAAAGTTAAATCTAGAATCAGCTTCCTATTTCGCAACAAAGCCTCCTTCACTCATGCTGCCAAACATGCCCTCGTAAAACTGACTATCCTACCGATCCTTGACTTCGGCGATGTCATTTACAAAATAGCCTCCAACACTCTAATCAGCAAATTGGATGTAGTCTATCACAGTGCCATCCGTTTTGTCACCAAAGCCCCATATACTACCCCCCATTGTGACCTGTACGCTCTCGTTGGCTGGCCCTCATTACATATTAGTCGCCAAACCCACTGGCTCCAGGCCATCTATAAATCACTGCTAGGCAAATCCCTGCCTTATCTTAGCTCATTGGTCACCATAGCAACACCCACCCGTAGTATGCGCTCCAGCAGGTATATCTCACTGGTCATCCCCAAAGCCAACACCTCCTTTGGCCGCCATTCCTTCCAGTTCTCTGCTGCTAATGATTGGAACGAACTGCAAAAATCTCTGAAGCTGGAGACTCTTATCTCCCTCACTAACTTTAAGCATCAGTTGTCAGAGCAGCTTACCAATCACTGCACCTGTACACAGCCCATCTGTAATTAGCCCATCCAACTACCTCATCACCATATTGTTATTTATTTTGCTCATTTGCACCCAAGTATCTCTTTTTGCACATCATCTTCTGCACATCTATCACTCCAGTGTTAATACTAAATTGTAATTATTTTGCACTATGGCCTATTTATTGCCTTACCTCCATAACTTACTACATTTGCACACACTGTATATAGATTTTCTATTGTGTTATTGACTGTATGTTTTGTTTATCCCATATGTAACTCTGTGTTGTTGTTGTTTTTATCGCACTGCTTTGCTTTATCTTGGCCAGGTCGCAGTTGTAAATGAGAACTTGTTCTCAACTGGCTTACCTGGTTAAATAAAGGTGAAATATATATATATATAATTTTTTTTAATGGTTGAAAAACCATCTGTGGCTATTTTCAAATATCCCCCGGAATACGTTATATCGCCCAAGCCTACCATGCAGTAGACATTCTGTACTATATCCAGAGCGACTAGAGTATACCAAAGATATTATAGTTCATTGAAAAGATTTCTCACTGGCATTATGAGACAATTTAGTTTCTCCTGACTGTCCCGTCGCAGCAAGATGACATCACTGACGGAGGACATGCGTCGCAGTGCCATGCTGTGTATCCTGACGGTCCCCTCCACCATGACAAGTCACGACCTCATGAAGTTTGTGGCACCATTTTATGATGTCATGGAGCACATGAAGATCATACGAGACTCCACCCATAACCAGTACATGGTGCTGATCAAGTTTAGTAGCCAGGTGAGATTAGTAAGACCATAGAACACTACTGTTGTTGTATCTGAAGGTCTGCTTAGAAACTGTTTATAATTATTCACATTATTACTCGGTCTCTCTCTGTCTGTCTCTGTCTCCGTCTACCCCTTTCTCTCTCCAGGCTGATGCAGATAGTTTCTACACAGCGTGTAATGGCCGTACTTTCAACTCCATAGAGGATGCAGTCTGTCAGCTGGTCTATGTGGAGAGAGCTGAGGTCATCAAGTCTGAGCAGGTACAGTATGTACACCAGTACCTCTAATGACTGTCTGAGCAGTGCACCTGACATAGATTTAATCATTTCTCTCTGTTTCTGTCTCTCTCCCTCAGGGCGCCAGTCTTCCAGTGATGGAGCTGACAGAGCTTCCTAAGTGTACCGTGTGTCTGGAGAGGATGGACGAGTCAGTGAATGGGGTTCTCACTACACTCTGTAACCACAGCTTCCACAGCCTGTGTCTGCAACGCTGGGAGGACGCCTCGTGAGTATATACCAGCACATACACACACACTTCAACCTGATTCGACTCACAGCATGACCCTGTGTTCATTTCTCCATCCTCCCTCTCTCTGGTCAGTGGATGACCGTCATGTGCTGCTGTTTTAGTCCTTTTGTGGCACAACATTTGAGCAAAATGGCATTGTGTTTTAGCATGGGGACAATAGAAGTGGTACTGTGCATTTGGTGTTTTCATGTGTGTGCATGTGTAAAGGTGTTGACTGGAGTGTACTGACTGTTCTGTTCCAGGTGTCCTGTGTGTCGGTACTGTCAGACCCCAGAGCCTGTAGAGGAGAACAAGTGCTTTGAATGTGGAGTACAGGAGGTAAACATTATTTACACACTAAAATCAACACTACATACATTTGCAGACATCTACAGGAACTCGTTTACAGTTGCTAATGTTTTCCCTCCTACGCCCCTCCCCCTGGCTAATGTTTTCCCTCCTACGCCCCTCCCCCAGGCTAATGTTTTCCCTTCTACGCCCCTCCCCCTGGCTAATGTTTTCCCTCCTACGCCCCTCCCCCTGGCTAATGTTTTCCCTCCTACGCCCCTCCCCCTGGCTAATGTTTTCCCTCCTACGCCCCTCCCCCTGGCTAATGTTTTCCCTCCTACGCCCCTCCACCCCAGAACCTTTGGATCTGTCTGATCTGTGGTCATATCGGCTGTGGTCGCTACGTCAGTCGTCATGCCTACAAACACTTTGAGGAGACGCAACACACGTACGCCATGCAGCTCACTAACCACCGTGTCTGGGACTATGCTGGAGGTACAGGAGACTGTGGAGGGCTAGGGGCAAGAGTACAGGCTTCTGTCTCTATATATAAACTCCAATGTATATAAAACGGGGATGTGACAAATATACAATTACATTTTAGTCATTTAGCAGACGCTCTTATCCAGAGCGACGTACATGAGCAATTAGGGTTAATTTCCTTGCTCAAGGGCACAGACAGATTTTTCACCTAGTCGGCTCTGGGATTCGAACCAGCAACCTTTCGGTTACTGGCCCAACACTCTTAACCGCTAGGCTACCTGCCGCCAAATCTATAATTGTTCTTAACATTTAAAGTCACATTTACATTTTTTTTTCTTTTTTCAACGCTAAGAAAAAATATTTAAATGACTTGAATTCACAATTCAGAGATGATCCTGCGTATGACTGCTAGGGGGGAAAATGCAGTTCAATCTATTGCAGTCCTGGCTACCTACCAGACAGCACTCACCTTACTGCTGTCCCCCACCCACTCAGCAACGATGGTAGTTAATGCCGTTTTAGGTTCTCTGCACATATAATTATGGCGCCGGAGGAGATGGCTGCCGTTCTATTGTGTGTTTTTTCGCAACTTATTTTGTACATTATGTTTCTGCCACCGTCTCTTATGACCGAAAAAAGCTTCTGGATATCAAAACAGTGATTACTCACATCGTACTGGACGAAGATTTTTTCTTTAACGAGTTGGACACAAAGGATTTACTTCAGACACCGGACAAGGCCCAAATCCCCGTCATTCGCATGAAGAAGAGACAGAGATATAGGGGTCGTAGGTCGGGGTGCCTTGTAAGAATCCGACGGCGAGTGGGTAACCCGCCTCTACCATCAGTCCTATTAGCCAACGTGCAATCATTGGCTAATAAACTGGATGAGCTCCGATCAAGACTATCCTACCAACGGGACATTCAAAACTGTAATATGTTTCACCGAGTCGTGGCTGAACAACGACATGGATAACATACATCTGGCTGTGTTTTCCGTGCATCGGCAAGATAGAACAGCTGCCTCCGGTAAGACAAGGGGTGGCGGTCTGTGTCTATTTGTCAATAACAGCTGATGCACAAAATCTAATATTAATGAAGTCTCTAGGTTTTGCTCGCCTGAGGTAGAGTATTTCATGACAAGCTGTAGACCACACTATTTACCAAGATAGTTTTCATCTATATTTTTCGTAGCTGTCTATTTACCACCACAAACAGATTCTGGCACTAAGACCGCACTCAACAAGCTGTATAAGGCCATAAGCAAACAAGAAAATGCTCACCCAGAGGCGGCGCTCCTAGACTTTAATGCAGGGAAACTTAAATCAGTTTTACCTCATTTCTACCGGCATGTTATATGTGTAACCAGAGGGAAAAAAACTCTAGACCACCAAAGCTCATCACTAAGCTAAGGACCTTGGGACTAAACACCTCCCTCTGCAACTGGATCCTGGACTTCCTGACGGGCCGCCCCCAGGTGGTAAGGGTAGGTAACAACACATCTGCCACGCTGACCCTCAACACGGGGGCCCCTCAGGGGTGACTGCTCAGTCCCCTCCTGTACTCCCTGTTCACCCATGACTGCATGGCCAAGCACGACTCCAACACCATCATTAAGTTTGCAGACAACACAACAGTGGTAGGCCTGATCACCGACAACGATAAGACGGCCTATAGGGAGGAGGTCAGAGACCTGGCAGTGTGGTGCCAGGAAAACAACCTCTCCCTCAACGTGATCAAGACAAAGGAGATGATCATGGACTACAGGAAAAGGAGGGCCGAGCACGCCCCCATTCTCATCGACGGGGCAGTAGTGGAGCAAGTTGAGAGCTTCAAGTTTCTTGGTGTCCACATCACCAACGAACTGTCATGCTCCAGACAGTCGTGAAGAGTGCACAACAACACCTATTCTCCCTCAGGAGACTGAAAAGATTTGGCACAGGTCCTCAGATCCTCAAAAAGTTATACAGCTGCACCATCGAGAGCATCCTGACTGGTTGCATCACCGCCTGGTATGGCAACTGCTCGGCCTCCGACTGCAAGGCACTACAGAGGGTAGTGCGTACGGCCCAGTACATCACTGGGGCCAAGCTTCCTGCCATCCAGGACCTCTGTACCAGGCAGTGTCAGAGGAAGGCCCTAAAAATTGCCAAACACTCCAGCCACCTTAGTCCTAGACTGTTCTCTCTGCTACCGCACGGAAAACGGTACCGGAGCACCAAGTCTAGTTCCAAAAGGCTTATTAACAGCTTCTAACCCCAAGCCAAAAGACTCCTGAACAGCTAACCAAATGGCTACCCGGACTATTTACATTGACCCCCTACTCTCTGTTATTATCTTTGCATAGTCACTTTACTTCTACCTACATGTAAATATTACCTCAATTACCTCGACTAACATCTGCCCCTGCACATTGACTCTGTACCGGTACCCCCTGTATATAGCCTCTTTACTGTGATTTTATTGTTGCTCTTTAATTATGTTATTTTTCAATGTTCTTATTTTTTTCATTGTATTTATTGTTTACTGAAGTTTATTTAGTAAATACTTTCTTAACACTTATTTTTTCATAAAACTGCATTGTTGGTTAAGGGCTTGTAAGTAAGCATTTCACTGTAAGGTCTACACCTGTTGTATTCGGCGCATGTGACAAATACAATTTGATTTGATGTGTCGCACTTCTCATCAATGTGATGGCTCGTTGCAGTGACGTATGACAGCGTGTTCATAGACGTCCAACAATCTGTTGTTAATACCACAGATGGTGTTTGAGAGCTCGCGCTTTGTACTTGCGGAGCAATCATTGTACAATTTCGTCACGGTTTTTTCGACATTGCATCTTGTAGTCTGGTTCTAGATATGCCATCAGGGCAGTGAAGCCGATATCCTCTACCATTGACAATGGCTGCATATCAACTGCAATAATTTCTGTAATCAGCGCTGTGATTTTCTCACTCCGTCCCTTTTAGATGGTTAAGCATTGCACCTGTACTGCCACTGTAGCTCAATTGCACCTTGCAAAGTTTGTATTTATTTCACCACCTTCTCATTTAACTTTCTCAAAGTATTGCCATACAGGACTTCGCTGACACATTTGGTGCGGCTGGTTTCCGGGTTAAGCGAGCAGTGCGGCTTGGCAGGGTCATGGTTCGGAGGACGCATGGCTCTCGACCTTCGCCTCTCCCGAGTCCGTACGGGAGTTGCAGCGATGGGACAAGACTTTAACTAGCAATTGGATATCAAGCAAAAGGGGTAAAAGTACAAAAATAAATAAAAAATAATACAGAACTAAGCTGCTGTCCCTTCCCTGTCTTACTCTGCCATTTTTTTCGAACTGTTAACAACGAAGACTACGTGCGACGCGCTTTATTTCCGCGGCAAATAATTTTAAAGATGCATATCTCCTACTAACGTTACAGCATTGTTGCATTAGGTATCTGTTTAATTTAAATCCCTTTATGATGATGATCGGGACCTGTTAGTGGTAGTTTTGTGATAACTGCACTGTGATTCTCATTTAGTAAAAAACTAAATAAACGTTTTTAGTTTAGGGATTTTTTTCTAAACGTTAACGATCCCAATGTCGTTTAAACGTTCACACCCCTAATATAAAACCTTGTGTGTAGCACTGCAACGGTGTTTGACTGATTGTGTGTGCGTGCGTGTTGTAGATAACTATGTGCACAGGCTGGTGGCCAGTAAGACTGATGGGAAGATGGTTCAGTACGGGTGTGAAGGAGAAACCTGTCAAGAGGAGAAGATAGACGCTCTGCAACTAGAGGTCTGTGTGTGTGTGTGTGTGTGTGTGTGTGTGTGTGTGTGTGTTTGACTCCATATTTTTCATTCCAAAAGTGTGACAGCTATTAGTTAACATGGCACACTGAATTACAGCAGATATGTCTCAACCAGAATTATGTTTCCTCTTCCTGCAGTACTCTTACCTGCTAACGAGTCAGCTGGAGTCCCAGCGCATTTACTGGGAGAATAAGATTGTTCATCTGGAGAAGGACACAGCGGAGGAGGTAGGATAAGAATCAATGCTGCATGTCTGAAATCATGTCTCTATCTATCCATTCAGCTAAATACCTGATTCTGTGTGTGTGTGTGTGTACACGCATCTGTCCAGCTAAATGCCTGATTCATGTATGCTTGGTGTGTGTGTGTGTGTGTTTCAGATCAACAACATGAAGGCAAAGTTTAAGGAGACCATAGATCGCTGTGATAATCTGGAGCGTCGGCTGGGAGAGCTGGCCAAGGACAAACAGAGCATGGACAAGAAGTAGGTGGATCCTCTCACACTGCAGGAAGCTGTCAATCATCCTGACACAGTAGACTGTTAGAATCTGACTGTGGACATAGTCATGTTGTACTGTAGGTTTTTGTAAACTAGTGGGGAGAGAGGTTGTTAACTGCTATTGAAAATCTGGGTGTCTCGGTAGCACCATCTGCATATAGGTACATCTTCCTTGTTCTCTCTCCTCCTCCAGGTATGGTCAGTTGTCGACCCGTGTGACAAAACTTGGTCAGGAGCTGAAAGAGGAACAGGAAATGAACCACTGCCTGAGAGACAATCAGGGTCAGCTACAGGCCCAGCTGGCTGAAGAGGAGCGCAAGGCTAGAGAGACTGGTGAGTCAGGGGGAGGGAGAGACTAAAACCTAATTCAGGGTGAGACTGGTGAGACAGGGGAAGGGAGAGACTAGAATCTAATTCTGGGAAAGGGAGAGACTAGAACCTACTTCTGGGTGAGTCAGTGGGGAGGGAGAGACTAGAACCTAATTCTGGGCGAGGGAGAGACTAGAACCTAATTCTGGGTAAGACTGGGGCAGGGAGAGACTAAAACCTAATTCTGGGTGAGTCAGGGGGAGGGAGAGACTATAACTTAATACTGGGTGAGTCGGGAGAGGGAGAGACTAGAACCTAATTCTGGGTGAGATTGGTGAGTCGGGGGGAGGGAGAGACTAGAACCTAATTCTGGGGGAGGGAGAGACTAGAACCTAATTCTGGGTGAGTCAGGGGGCACGAGAGACTATAACCTAATTCTGGGTGGGAGAGACTAGAACCTAATTCTGGGTGAGTTGGGGGGGAGGGAGAGACTAGAACCTAATTCTGGGTGAGTCGGGGTGGGAGAGACCAGAACCTACTTCTGGGTGAGTCGGGGAGACTAGAACCCTCCTTTGTGGACATAGTCTCTATCTGGGAGTTAAATGGATGACAACATTTCATCTTATCTCCTTGATGCCTTTAATCTCTCTCTGTCTCTTTCAGGCAAGCGTAAGGATGGTGTGATAGCAGAGCTCCAGGAGCAGCTGAGAGATGTCATGTTTTATCTGGAGACCCAGCAGCAGATAGAAGGTCTGCCTCCAGAGACCAGGACTGAGATACAGGAAGGACACATCAACATCGGCGCAGCTGCCACTCCCGCCTCAGGACCCTCCACCGCCATAGGCCGAGGCCGCAGGGGGCGGTCAAAAAGGGGGAAGTAGGAAGTAGAGAAGACACAACCAGGAAGTGGAGCGAGGAAGAGATGTCGGTCATCACTAGTTACCACAGCCACAAAGTCATAAACCCCAGCTATTTCTACAATTTATCTTCTTAAAATGTGATTTTAAACCTGATTTTAAAATGTGATTTTAACCCTAGCCTTAACCACACTGCCAACCTTTACCTAACCATAACCTTAAATTAATTTACATTAATTTTCTATGATATAGCCAATTTTGACTTTGCGCCTGTGGTAACTAGTGGAAGCCAGAGATGTCAGATGCCTGAAGTGACCCACCAAAATGACATTATTAAAGTGTGTGAGTGCGTGTTTGCGCAATTGTGTGCGTGTGTGCAAGTGTGTTTGTGCTTTGCAAAAGGACTTTGGCTCCTTAGACACTATTCAAAGAGGATTTGGTTTTAAATATACTTAAGTATCAAAAGTCAATGGAATTGCTAAAATGTACTTGAGTATCAAAAGTAAAAGTAAAAACCATTTCAAATTCCTTATATTAAGCGAACCAGACTGACTGCACAATTTTTGTTTATTTTTATTGACGGATAGCCAGCGGCACACTCCAACACTCAGACATAATTTACGAACTAAGCATTTGTGTTTAGTGAGTCCACCAGATCAGAGGCAGTAGGGATGACCAGGGATGCTCTCTTGATAAGAGTGTGAATTGGACCATTTTCCTGTCAAAATGTAACGAGTACTTTGGGTGTCAGGGAAAATGTATGGAGTAAAAAGTACAATGTTTTCTTTAGGAATGTAGTGAAGTAAAAGTTGGCAAAAATATAAATAGTAAAGTAAAGTACAGATACCCCCAAAAACTACTTAAGTAGTACCTTAAAGTATTTTTACTTACAGTTGAAGTCGGAAGTTTACATACACTTAGGTTGGAGTCATTAAAACTCGTTTTTCAACCACTCCACAAATTTCTTTTTAACAAACTATAGTTTTGGCAAGTCGGTTAGGTCATCTAATTTGTGCATGACACAAGTCCTTTTTCCAACAATTGTTTACAGACAGATTATTTCACTTATAATTCACTGTATCACAATTCCAGTGGGTCAGAAGTTTACATACACTAAATTGACTGCCTTTAAACAGCTTGGAAAATTCCAGAAAATGATGTCATGACTTTAGAAGCTTCTGATAGGCTAATTGACATCATTTGAGTCAATTGGAGGTGTACCTGTGGATGTATTTCAAGGCCTACCTTCAAACTCAGTGCCTCTTTGCTTGACATCATGGGAAAATCAAAAGAAATCGGCTAAGACCTCAGAAAAAACATTGTAGACCTCCACAAGTCTGGTTCATCCTTGGGAGCAATTTCCAAACGCCTGAAGGTACCACGTTCATCTGTACCAACAATAGTACGCAAGTATAAACACCATGGGACCACGCAGCCGTCATACCACCCAGGAAGGAGACACATTCTGTCTCTTAGAGATGAATGTACTTTGGTGCGAAAAGTGCAAATCAATCCCAGAACAACAGCAAAGGACCTTGTGAAGATGCTGGAGGAAACAGGTACAAAAGTATCTATATCCACAGTAAAACAAGTCCTATATCGACATAAAGGCCGCTCAGCAAGGAAGAAGCCACTGCTCCAAAACCGCCATAAAAAACCAGACTACGGTTTGCAACTGCACATGGGGACAAATATTGTACTTTTTGGAGAAATGTCCTCTGGTCTGATGAAACCAAAATAGAATTGTTTGGCCTTAATGACCATCGTTATGTTTGGAGGAGGAGAGGGGGGCTTGCAATCTGAGGAACACCATCCCAACCGGTTGCAATCTGAAGAACACCATCCCAACCGTGAAGTACAGGGGTGGCAGCATCATGCTGTGGGGATGCTTTGCTGCAGGAGGGACTGGTGCACTTCACAAAACAGATGGCATCAAAATTATGTGGATATATTGAAGCAACATCTCAAGACATCAGTCAGGAAGTTAAAGCTTGGTCGCAAATGGGTCTTCCAAATGGACAATGACCCCAAACATACTTCCAAAGTTGTGGCAAAATGGCTTAAGGACAACAAAGTCAAGGTATTGGAGTGGCCATCACAAAGCCCTGGCCTCAATCCTACAGAAAATGTGTGGGCAGAACTGAAAAAGCGTGTGCGAGCAAGGAGGCCTACAAACCTGACTCAGTTACACCAGCTCTGTCAGGGGGAATGGGCCAAAAGTTAAACAATTTAAAGGCAATGCTACCAAATACTAATTGAGTGTATGTAAACTTCTGACCCACTGGGAATGTGATGAAAGAAATAAAAGCTGAAATAAATCATTCTCTCTACTATTATTCTGACATTTCACATTCTTAAAATAAAGTGGTGATCCTAACTGACTTAAGACAGGGAATTCTTACTAGGATTAAATGTCAGGAATTGTGAATTGTGAAAAACTTATTTTTCAAGACCTCTGCAATCCGCCCTGGCATGCTGTCAATTAACTTCTGGGCCACATCCTGACTGATGGCAGCCCATTCTTGCACAGTGGCGGCTCCTGAAAAAGTTCTCAGGAGGGGCAATTTTTCTGATGATTTAGGTGACCTACACACGTGCACGAGTCCGTGCACGCGATTCCAGATATCTTTACCTCTGAATAAACTGCCTTTATTATACCATATCCACCCTGTCCAAAGTCTCTACTTGGTCTCAGTTCTCCAGTAAACTTGTGATTATCAACAGTACACAACGGTAACAAACAATTGGGGGAACTCACGGGGCAGATAGTAACCACTTAAAAGGAAGCGATTCCCAAACCTTCCATAACAAAGCCATCACCTACAGAGAGATGAACTTGGAGAAGAGTCCCCTAAGTAAGCTTGTCCTGGGCCTCTGTTCACAAACACAAACAGACCCCACACAGCCCCAGGACAACAACAACAACAACAACAACACAATTAGACCCAACCAAATCATGAGAAAACAAAAAGAGAATTACTTGACACATTGGAAAGAACAAACAAAAAAACAGAGCAAACTAGAATGCTATTTGGCCCTAAACAGAGAGTACACAGTGGCAGAATACCTGACCACTGTGACTGACCCAAACTTAAGGAAAGCTTTGACTATGTACAGACTCAGTGACCATAGCCTTGCTATTGAGAAAGGCCGCCGTAGGCAGACCTGGCTCTCAAGAGAAGACAGGCTATGTGCACACTGCCCACAAAATGAGGTGGAAACTGAGCTGCACTTCCTAACCTCCTGCCAAATGTATGACCATATTAGAGACACATATTTCCCTCAGATTACAGCGATCCACAAAGAATTCGAAAACAAACCCAATTTTGATAAACTCCCTTATCTACTGGGTGAAAAACCACAGTGTGCCATCACAGCTGCAAGATTTGTGACCTGTTGCCACAAGAAAAGGGCAACCAGTGAAGAACAAACACCATTGTAAATACAACCCATATTTATGTTTATTTACTTTCCCATTTGTACTTTAACTATTTGCACATTGTAACAACACTGTATATATACATAATATGACATTTGAAATGTCTTTATTCTTTTGAAACTTCTGAGTGTAATGTTTACTGTTAATATTTATTGTTTATTTCACTTTTGTTTACTATCTACTTCCCTTGCTTTGGCAATGTTAACACACGTTTCCCATGCCAATAAAGCCCTTAAATTGAATTGAATTGATAGTAAGGTCGCAATGACACAGAAAGCAGTTCAATGTCGGGGTACAGAGTCGCTCTCTTACCAGGATCGCGGTCCGCTCTGACCAGGGTGAAGGTGGCCGGCTCCACTTCTCTGTCCGGGACTCATCCAGCCAAGTCTCCCAGCTGTATTGTCATTCAGCTGCCAGCAGCGTTTTCATTATTTAGTCCGTTCGTAGCGGGTATGTACACGATCAACAAGATCAGTCCAAAACCAACCACTGGAAATCCATGGTTGGCAGAATGTTTGTAAACTAAGTCTACAAATTAAAAACATAAAATAACGCCGCACTGCAGGTCGCAACAGAGACGCTGATAGCCGCCATTGTCTTAGTTACGTTCAACGTTACGTCACGTATGACGAAAGCGCGTAAGTGCAAGCCCACAGACACCCATAGAGAATGTATTGAAAGCTTTGAAATGTGAAAAAAATAGATTTTACATGACAGGCTATGAGAGACTTCTGGGCGATTTTCAACTTGACTGAAATCGCCCCAAAAACGGGCGGGGCCATTTGAAGCACGACTTTAGCCTGATTTGACATTTAGTGGCTGGCAGATCAGACGTGAACACTGATAACTGCTGTTGCCGTGATATAATTGATTAGAAAAAAAATCCCTTCCTTTTCCCGTTTGGCAGTGCGTCGCCCATATCGCCCTATTGAAAAAGCCGTCCCTGTTCTTGCATAATCAATTCTTGGAGTTTGTCAGAATTTGTGGGTTTTTGTTTGTCCACCCGCCTCTTGAGGATCGACCACAAGTTCTCAATGGGATTAAGGTCTGGGGAGTTTCCTGGCCATGGACCCAAAATGTTGATGTTTTGTTCCCCGAGCCACTTAGTTATCACTTTTTCCTTATGGCAAGGTGCTCCATCATGCTGGAAAAGGCATTGGTCGTCACCAAACTCTTCTTGGATGGTTGGGAGAAGTTTCTCTCGGAGGATGTGTTGGTACCATTCTTTATAGATGGCTGTGTTCTTAGGCAAAATTGTGAGTGAGCCCACTCCCTTGGCTGAGAAGCAACCCCACACATGAATGGTCTCAGGATGCTTTACTGTTGGCATGACACAGGACTGATGGTAGCGCTCACCTTGTCTTCTACGGACAAGGTGTTTTCCGGATGCCCCAAACAATCGGAAAGAGGATTAATCAGAGAATATGACTTTACCCTAGTCGTCAGCAGTCCAATCCCTGTACCTTTTGCAGAATATCAGTCTGTCCCTGATGTTTTTCCTGGAGAGAAGTGGCGTCTTTGCTACCCTTCTTGACACCAGGCCATCCTCCAAAAGTCTTCGCCT